TCTTCGATGAAGAGGCTAGATGAGGCCGCGAAGAAAAGAATCGAGGTGACAGAAGGTCGAAGAGAAGGGTGTGCTTATATAATATGTAGGACGACTTTTCCGTTAAGAGGAGAGGAAGCCGAAGAGCTGGCGGCGATGCAAGAACGAATCGCCGAAATGGCGACTTTCGTGCGTGAGGACCCTTCGATTTTCCTCGTCTTCTTCTCTAAAACGTATTACGCGCGTGCAAAATTTAAGAGTCTGTGAGAATTAAAACAACGACTCGGTCGACGAGAATCTAATCGATTTCGAGCTACGCGCCACGACATCCCTGACTTTAGGTCAGAGCTGCGTTTCGTAAAATTAGACTTTTAAAGTGACGGTTAAGAAATAAAATATGCGTCAATATGTGGATATCATTACACGAGTTTCCACTTTGTATTCAAATGCTAACTCAGACATTTAATGTCTGAGTAATTATTTAATGTCTCTCAGTAAGACAATAAGATAATCAAATTTTTGATAAAATAGCTCGTTCAATTCTCTATATTTTAATATATTTTTTAAGTAATGAAATTGATCGCTTAAATCTATATTATTAGCATACTTAAATTATTATCGCTTATAATTAAAGCGGTTATAATTAACAGTTTTTGTGATTTATAGCTTAAATGAAATTTCAGAAATAATTTAATAGCATTGTAGGTCTCTTCACCTAATATTACAAACATTGCAATTTTACGAAACAGAGCCCTGCTAATAATTCATCAATAAATGATATACGATTAGTTTCAGAAAAGTCTTCGGAAAAAGATACTTGGTACTAATACTTAGTTTTTGATAAATTATTTTCTATTTCGTAAATCGTTATACAAGACAAAGAAAGGAAGAAATAGGTTCTATTTGAAAGAAAAATAAAAAAAGTGATTCGAAAATCGGAAAACGATGATATTAAACGTAGCAAAATGATAAGCGAAGAAAGAAACATCTTCGCGAAATTGCGTTGTGATAATATAGAACACACAAGTTCTATATGTAATTTCAAAATTTAATTAAAGGCTGAATTCTTGCACATCTAGTATCTAAATTGTAGAATATGAGACGCGAATGTTTACTCGCAAATAGAGTCTTTAGGTGTAAATAAAGAGATCATAGGTAGAATTTATCGCACGAACGATGTTTTTCCTAAACAACGTAATGTGCTGCTCCCAAGTATATGTCGCTCCTTGTGTCGAATACACAAACTCGAAAAGCACATCAAGTAAATGTTAATTTTTAAACGAATAAATTTGCAAACTTTGCAAATTGCATTTCGCTCGACTCAACGCGAACAAGTTATTATCTAGATGGGCGAAAACGTATTTCATCGTGAGTGATTCCTAGCGTTATTCCTGATGTTGCGGTACCTTCGCTACGTCGTTAATTTTCCCGTCTTCCTTCTTAGAAGAGCTTTAGGAGAGCTATTTTAGCATGGGATTAGATTAACGTAAATAATATCGCCATAAGTGTATTCATAATGTCGACTCGCAAAATGAACGTCGTTTTACTTCTCACCGATTCTCGTCGACCGTGTTCACCACACACACATACACACACACATATACTCACTTTTACACACACACACACACACACACACACACACACACACACACACACACACACACACACATACAAACACATTTTAACGCGTACCTGTTTTCTTTACCTCTCGATATCCTTTTTCTCGTCACGCGATATCCCGAAACGCAGAGTTCTCTATTTTTTCACTTGAATTATATTTAGACGTCGTAGGTTTATAGGGTGAATCCTAAACGGTTGGATATGTGGAGTGCAGGGCGTTAGATGAAACATCTCGCGATGGAAAAGTACACGCATTCGTGGACGGAATATTCTTATATTGATAAGATCTTGGTAGGAACGAAATTTTTAATCGCATATTAAATTTAAAGTTTTAATCGCGAACTAAAGTATAAATTTGTAACGTAAAATTAAATAGAAAATCTTCGGGAAACCCGAGTTATATATAAATACGTCGTAATATGTAATATTTTGTAAAAATTTTATATTTTACACGGCTTTTTAAGTGACAATTTAAAAAGAACTTCCAAGAAATAACAGCTCAATTCAACATATCGATCAAATTCATTTGTACTACGCACAATATTGATTGTAGATATTTTACGACGGCGGGATTATAAGACTGTAAGTCATAGAATAGCTATTAAACGTCAGAAATTTACTCGAAGGTTTAAATAGCTTTGTCGGAAAAAAAACGGCAATTTGATAAACATACATGTCAAATTTGAAGTTTTCACTTCCTCGAGAAAACGTAACGAGTTCTGTTGCGCCCGCGTAACACGTGATCATTTCCAACGCGAGGAATTTTCAGATTGTACTTTGCAAGTACACCGACGTTTAGAAAATCCCTCTATTTATGTGTAACACGATAAGTCTTCGGATGATCTTTGATCTTCCGTTAACTTCTGGTAATGGTCCTCCAGAGGACAAGAAAGGAAGGCTATCTGCTTTCGCCATGCGGATTAAGTGGAACAAGACCGATGCAGTCAGACGTCCAATGAATGTTTTTGAATATCGAGAAATCAGTCAATATTTAGATTTCTCTTCTTTATTGATATGTCTTCTTTTAATATCGTTATTATTTTGAAATAAAATTATGAAATTAAATAATTTAATACATTTTACATCTATTTTAATAGATTTTTTTACACTAATAATGTGTTTAATATATATTGTATGAAAATTTTAATTACTAATTTTAAATATTATTTTTATATAAATATATTTTTTTCAAAATATATTTGTACAAAATAATAATAATAATCAAATTATAATAAGCTTCTAGAAATCTAGACATTGCGACATTATATCCAAAATATCCGATGAATTCGACAGAGATATATATATATATATATTCGACAGAGATCTTGGATATATACATGTCCAGAGAAAACTGAATATTCTGAATAAGAAAACATGCATTAGACATCGATACTGTACGAGGAAGCGTCGTCGAAGAGGCGCGAGACAAGAGGAAGACTTGATACGCGAGGATTCCGGATCTCGCGGTGAGAAAGTCAATGAGAAAGTCATATACATATATAATTCGATAGCTTCTATATCGCAACGCGGTTAGAAAGTACCATGCGTAAAATCCTTAGGCCTTAGATCGCGAATTTACGAGGACGTTGTTGAAGAAATGTCTATTATACGAATGTTGATGTTATTTGCGAACGCGCGGCGAGAAGCCGAGGATGATGAAAATGGAAGTTATTCAAGAGAAAGAGAGAAATTATTTGAATGGGATAGACAGCTACATCTATATATAAATATATACATATATATCTATACTTATACACACATACACACACACATACTTCTATAAAAAAAATTATACATATATAATATGTGAAGAGAGATGCGTGTGCGTGTACGATGCGTGTGTAGGTAGATAGATAAGAAAAAAGAGTCTATCTGAAGCTTTCGCCGGTATATTTTCGTAGCTCACAGCGATTTATATACCTTTGCATTCACCCTCCTCCCTAAACCGTTTCCTTTTCAAATACATCTAAGTACTTGTTAAGGGCTATACCTGGCTTAATTATAGACGAATAATACATTAATCGAGTTTCTAAACATCGATGATTCTCGAGATGACGCACGTTCTGTTCCAAACATATCACGCTTAAAATAATTCCGCTCGTCGAGGCGGATAGAGATTTCGAGGTTGTGACAATCCTTATTTTTCTACCGTGTACTGGTATAAGATCGTAAAGCGTCGTATCGGTGAACATTCGATCGTGTAACGCGAAGACCTCTGACATACAACGATCGTTTCGCTCGCGCGCGAACATTGGAAATTGGACGTTGACTAATTGACACGATTAATTAATCGTATCCGAGTTGCAACGTTCGCAAAATGTGGTTGCAATGGTCAAGCTGGGTATGCCCTGACCAATCTATTTCCTGGTCCCTCCGTCCCATGAAACTCCTACATCGTCTCGAGGATGGAACCGCGACGACTTGGATCCGGCAAGACGATTTCCCCAGGGAAGAAAAGACCGATTTCTCCCTTTCTCCGACAACCCAGACATTTTCCGCCGCCTCGGCGACGTTCCGCGGTCTCGCTTGTGCGAAAGACGAAACGCCGTCCTGGGGACGACCGCTTCACACGCTCGCAAGGTCAGCTTCATCTCTAAAAGCTTAAACGAAACGGTGCTCTTCGGAGTTTGCGCCTCCTGGACGGGAGACGAATAATATACGCTCTCGCGAAAAACCGGCACTATGAAAACTATGTTACCATACTGATGATGATGATGATGATGATAATAATAATATGATGAAGAAAAAAAAAACGCAAGGAGACGAGTTTGTTTTCGCGCGTTGTCAACCTCTTGTTTCCGCTAATTTTTACGCGATTTTTTGCGGAAACTGATCCTTCTTAAGATCCTCAGCAGGTTCAAGACCCTGGCGGATGCTACGGAGGAACCACCGTGATGGATCACGCGTAAAGGAGAAGAGAGATCATTCATTTCTTTTTATTTGTTTATTTCTTTGGCTGTAGATCGCAACGACACATCCATCGCAGCTCGTTTCATTCCAAATCGCGATTCAGTTAAAATTCATAACGAATAATACATTACAATTAGTATCATCGTAAAAAGATAATTTCTCTTTTCGAAAAACGGCATTTTTTTCCTCTTTCAAAAAAGCTCAAATTAAGTATAAATATTATATATATTTTAAATAATTTACATATTTTAATATTTATTTCAGAACATAATTTTAGAGACTTATGTTACTCCTATTTTGGCTGAGGCTTAATATTGCTAGTAATATCATAATTCCAAAGTTACAATTTGAAGATGGAATTATGACAGAAAAAAAGCTTTGCGCACTAATTAGAAAACATTTTCTTTCCTTATATATATTCGTCTCGGACAAAAAATACTAAAATAAATCCATAAAAAAGTTAAATGGTGGATGTAAATTTGTTTGCGCAGGTCGAGTACTCGCGGATGAGACAACTGCATTTTGCATTCCAAACGCAAAAATCCCAACATGCAAGTCGAGTATTGGTAAACTACTTTCATCGAAAATTTATGTTTTAATTTTAATGACGATCATCCAACCGTTTAAATCATGTCAACGAAATTATCAGACATTCAGATTATCTTAATTCTTTTTTCAATCAATCAAGAATACAATCAACAATAACAAAGATAATCTATAATCTCCTACACCATATTATCATGACGAAAGAAAAAGAAAGAAGAGAGGAAAAAAGGAAATTACGTTCCTATGCTGTCTCACATCACATTCATATATATTCTTCACATTTTTCGTTCTTCTCTCTATTCTTTCCTTGCTTACTAATTTCCTGTTCCATTTAAGAGAAGAACGCGCTCAATTCACATCGACTGACAAGCATCGATACAAAACTCGCCATGCAATACAAAAACGATCGATCAAGGATCAAGATCATCGCGCCACGCACTCCATATTCTCTGTCTCATCTCGTCATCTTAGAAGGGCATAAAAATTCAACACTCATAGTCTTCGATTACGATCGAATATTATTGTATTGAAAGCATTATAATCATCAAGAATTTCATCAGTTTCGCATCATTACGTCTGAATCATTGGATTCAGATTCGATGCCGATCCTTGCCTGTCACGGAATCATTCTCTCTAATCATCGATTTCTGCTCTCATCTTCTCATAATCATCGAATCGCAAATTGATTAATAAATACACATATGGAAAATATATCATCGCACGATAGATCGATAGTTCTCATGATGATCATTATCGTCTTTCTTCGAATCGTGCAATTCGCATGGAAACTTAGGTCCAGCATGTTGCATGTCTCGTTAGGAGTTTACATGATGTTACATGATGTAGTGATATCATCGCGCAGCAGCCACTCATTCACATCATTCACGTCGTTATTGTCGTCATCTTTATCATCGATAGTCATCAAGATATTCATCGAGGCTCCTTGTAATATTGTCCTTTCGTTAATAGAATTAAAAATTAATTATCTTAATTAATTGCAAATTAATCAATTATCTTTATTAATTGCAAATTATTATTAAAAATTTTATAATCAAAATTATATATGTATTGTAAAAATATGTCTTATAATCCAGAATCTGTTTTATAGTAAAAAATAATTGTAAAAGAATCTAAAAGATTTATCGTATTATACGAGAGGACTAATCGCGAGGAATTATCGCAAGCTCATTCGTCCAGCATCGGTTCTATCGAACGATCGTGCAAATTCTCTCGGCGAGATCAAGCGAGTATCGCTTCTTATTCATTCGTTCGCGGTGTCGTCATCCTTTCGATCATCGAGGATCATCGTCGAGAGAAACGCATATCTCTTAAGCAAGCGTTTCATAGCGCAACGACTACGCGATTCGCTCTCAGCGATTCATCGGCAAGTATACGAAACAAGCCTGCCGTCATCGTTTCGTAACCCCTCCCCTGAGTTGTCTCTTCCATTTTTTTTACCGTAGAAACCTTGATGTCGTAATTAACAAGACGCATGCCCAATTCCTTTCGATACGCCCCCGCCAACCTCGCTCTCGAGGTGCTGTATGCATGCTGCACGCGCAAGCAGAGAGTGCATCCGCCATGTAGCTCTATCGTTTCATTCGGCGAATAAGACGCACGTGGACGTGCGCATGAGACATACGTCAGGACGATGATCCTCGTCCGCGAAGGTCCACGAACGTCGGATTACCTGTCGGAAGAACCCATTAATTCGGCAGCGCGTCTACGGAAAAGACGGAAAGGATCATTCAGTTTGTCTACGAGTCTTGTCGCGTCTCGACAGGATAATTTCTTCAATCGTGAGAAAGCTTTTCTAGTCTCAGCTACCTGTAGTTGCGATGTCCTCATTTGTATCAGATATTTCCTAGGACCTATCTTAAAACATAACGTAAAACTTGATCAAAAAAATTATTGTAATAATCAAAATAATATTAAAATGTCAAAATATCAAAATAAATATTATAATAAAAGAATGAACCTTTTGATTTTTAACGAAATATAAGAAAAAAAGAACTTGAGAGAAAGAATGTTAAAATCAAGATAATTATTTACAAATTTTAGACAAGTATTTACTGTTAATAAGATAGGTTCTACAAAAACAAAATTGTGTAAGAATCATTTTCATTCATTTTACTTTGTTAATTGGAAAAAATTGAAAATTGGAAAATTGGAAAAAATTGATATCAAAATAATGTCTTCACGAACTAAGTTGAACAACACGACTCGTAGATAAATCAAATATTACCTTTTGCCCGATAGATTTTAAGGTATAACTAGCATTTAAGATAAAGTTAAGTTAGCGATAAGTTAGCAATGAATGGCAGTCCCCAATTCCGCAGAATTCTTCTTACAATTGAACAAATTAATAATGAATCTTATAATCAGGAATCATATATTTTTAATAATGTTTCGAAAATAATAAAATATATGTGAATTTAAGGAAATAGTGAAATGTAAATCAGTGAAACAACTAATAACTTTCAATTAAACTGTGCATCTTAAATTATATAAGTGTATTCCAAATTCTTTAATTTTAATTTTAAAAATTGAACTTGTTGAGTAATTTGAAGTTGATTTTTCCTTCTTTAATTAAAATAAAAAAGAATATAATAAAAAAGAAAAGTTTCTCGCGAAATATACATATATAAACTTATATCAAATCTCATTGTCATATCTCATGTAAATAAATTTAACTCTTTTATTATTTTATATAATTTAGTTTAATTTTTAGATAATTAAAGATTCGATTATCAAGATATTTAATAAAAGACTTCATTGTATAAAAAAAATACAAACTTGAAAAATTTCTTGAATGAAAAATCAACTTTTTGAATTCACGCCAAGGAATCTATCATAATAATTAAGGTCGAAAATTTCGGATACCTAAGATATGTGAACATATAACAAGCAGACGTTTCATCCGAAAGAGGGATAGCGGAGTTGGGTGGCCTTCGTGGTGAGCGAAGCATTATTAAATGTGGTGCCCCAATATTCTAGCTTTCTGAGGAGGTAAGAAAATTCTTCACCCGCCTAAGAAACTCTTCCAAGCTACCCTTGTTCCCCCTCCGTTTCCGTCTACATGATTACCGTATTACGTAACGAAGTGTCTCGATGTATACCGTAGTCATTGTACTTGTTACTCTGTATATCTCTTTTTTGTCTCTATCTCAAACTCTCTCTGTCTTCTCTCTGGCGTGAATCGTTGACCGACTGTGTGTCGCAATCATTATCACGCATCTCACGTAAAAATTAAAATTACACATTGGTCTCTAGACGAAACCTCGATGTGGTTCCTTAGAGAAAGACCGTCACTCTCCCAAATTCATCATCAAACTCATAAGACCAATCGTCAATTCCTTGTTGGAAGAGCGATAGATATAAAGGACTTTCATTCATCTCCGCTTTATCATTCCAGTATCGTCATGTGCGTGTGCGTGCGTGTATGTTCGGCTTAATGACCCTGTAGATGATCACATAGACGTCACATTATCGTCGTAGTGACAAAGTGACCGATCTTCGTCACTTCGCCGATGATTTTGAAGATGGACGCGGGAAGATATTCTCGCCATATATCTTGATAGCTGCTGTCGATTAATCGATAGCCAGATGCTAGATGGGAGAGAGCTGATTTTTCGAATTTATCTTCTCAAATAAATATACGCAGAAATGCAGATCTTTCATTTTCACACATTGAAAAAAGAAATATCGATCGATCATTTCTCTTCTAGTATCTTGATTAAATATAGTACGCATGACAGAGGTCCTCTATTTTTACTATTCGTATCAATAGTTTTTGCATATAATTAGAATTCTTTTGTGCATTTCTTATTTTACAAGAAATAAAAAAATTATTTTGTTATATAAAAAAAATAGTTCACAGAAAAACATTCTGAACAATAGAAAAATATTTGGCCAAAAATATAAAATATTATATTATTGCGAAAATAAGAATTTAAGAATTTTTAGAAAATAAAATTTATTTACTTATATATTTAAAATCAAATGACCTATCAAAAGTTATTAATGCATGGTGTTTAGAACCCGAATTGCCTTATATAGGACAAATTTAAATTTTTAACCTTTAATTATTATTTTCCAATTAAACGAATTTTTTAAACTTAATGTCTCTCGATTTTAAAATTAAAATTGTTAGTTCTTGCAATATTTATTATATTCAAAGAGGGCCTCTTTGTTTAGATAGCGATTAGCTTAACTTACTAGTAGTAGCTGTTACGTATGTTACGACTCTGCTTCGAGATCGTCGCGAGATTTCGCGAACGGCGTTATGTCGCGACGAGCTCCATTCACATGGCCTGCTGACAACACCAGTGTAGATGAGACGAGCGTAGGTACGTACACGAAAATAAGAGAGACACATTGACATGACATATCCTCATCTGCACCTCCGAGAGATTATCCTATTTCCCCTCTGTGTCATTCTGTTTCCATCACATTTCGCTCTATACACATGTGCATATACATGTATATTTATATATAAATATATATAATTTCATGTATATATAAAAATATATATGTATATTTTTTACACTCTCAAGAAACACTGTTCGTGACTTTGTAACGTTTGCATCGAATACGCTGCATGCTTTATAAAAATCCTATCCGAGTACGACGACGATGTCTTTGTTATTTCTTCTTTGCCTCTCTATTATATACCCCAGAAATTTGTAGATAATAAGAGCTGTCGGCTCTCGCTCAATTAAGTCGATCAACTTCGACAGGTTAATTAACTAAACGAAAGATTTCCCCTTCTAGAGCATAGTATTAACCATTGTAGATAGAAGTTAGTTAACCATGATTAGTACTGAAAGAGGGGAGAGAAGAAAAGAAAAGAAATATTATTTCAAAGTTAAAAAATATATTAATAAATTTCTCTGTGCGAGTTTAAAGTTCAAGGAATCGAGAGCAATTCTTGAATTTAGATCTGAAACTGGGATGCTTGCTTACGTAGGTTCTTGTCTGACTTTATAATTAGGTCACGAGATTGTAATAGCTCATATATCAGTATCTTTCATTAATTCGATCAAGAAAGGTACATAAACGATCGAAAAGCGGTCTTGCGGTCGGATCGAAATAGGATGCGACTTGATGCAATTTGATTTTTATTCTCCGGATATGGAAACTTCTCACAGAATCGAACTTCTCGCGCTACGTTGACGTAATTTTAATTAAAGTAATCTCGATCTTTCTCTCGAGAACAGCTCGTGTCAAAGTCCAACGGCAATTAAGTAACTTGGTAAGTGGTTATATCACACCACAAGGTTGTTCTCTCAGAAACCAATTTCTCGCGCAATTTGGATCAAGAATATTTTAAGTTACGCGATGCACAGGTGCAAGAAAGTGATCGTATAAAAGCATGAAGAAAAATATTTTTTTCCATTGTGAGATTTTATTGCGATGTTACTTAAAAATTAAAATTATAAACATTAAATTTTGGAAATTATTAACAGAACTTGTCGTGTTTTTGGTAGTTTTTTTCTTCAATCTTTCTTGAAAATTTCCGTTATCGATTGCTCCATTTCAAACTTAAACGCACTCATCGCTATGAATTTGCAAGGAAAAGTATTATTATTATTAGGACTAGCAAAATGTCACTGAGTCCTTATGAAACTATTACCGTCGTCGTCATACTCGGACGCATGGCGAAGAGCCGGCAGGCAATTTTTTGGCCTCCGTTGCTCGTCGCCAATACACCGTCTGTTGTCGTCGTCGTCGTCGTCGCCAAGACGGTCGGAGCACAGGAACTGATCCTCTCCTGGACGACGAATCTTTTCGCAGCTGGACGAGCTCCGGACAGAGGTACAACGACGGGACCAAGAGCTGCTGGCAATGTCGGCCAAGATGAAAACGCTGGAGGAGCAACACCAAGATTATCAGAGACACATCGCCGTGCTTAAGGAGTCTCTCTGCGCCAAGGAAGAGCATTATAATATGCTGCAGGCCGATGTGAGTATAAATCCTAGCTTCCTAATTTTTTTTTTAAAGATGAAATTGTAAAATTATATCTTTTTATTTTTTCATTTAGGAAAAATGGTAATAAGTTTTAAAATAGATTTGCATCTATAAGAGATATATACATATGAAAAATAATGATTTATGAATCTTTAATTAAAGGAAAATAATTTTTTAAGATATAGAAATATGTTTTTGTATTATAATTATTTATAATTTGTTTATTTTCTATTTTATATGATTATTTGAGGAAATTGAGTAAAAGTAAATTTGCTATTGCTCGTTAATATCATTTCTCATAGAAAATTTATTTTTTGCTTTCAAAGAGAACAATCCTTCAAAATTACAAATTCTTTAAATGTCTGAGAATTTATAAGCATTTTTGCCAAATATGTTTTCGGTAAACAAGTTTATCACCAATTTTATTTTCTGTTACACCGATTCGAAACTAGAACGCGGCCGCAATCGATACCAAATTTCTAACCACACCACCGAAATTCAGATGTTTGTTTCGAATACATTCTCTACTTCCTATGTGAGAACAGTGAAATATACTGCATCTCTCCTAATGCTATTATCTAAAAGCATGTATACGAGTTTGTTGTTTTAAATGAAAAAGTTGGGTCAATTTTTTCAGCTTTTACAAGTTCTCGTATGAGCCTTTACGAGTTCTTTTAAAAACGTCGATAAAAGCCGAAGCGAATGTAGAGACTTGAAAAATTCTGTCGGTAGTCTAACGTGAAGCAAAACTAAAACGAAGTTGTGAAATCGATTTTAAACGAGGTGAAAAATGTTGTCTCAACTCATGTATATTCTTATGAATTTTAAAACGATTATCGATACAAAAAAAAGATTTCTTAATGCAAATTTATCTTGTCTTTTATTCGAGAGAAAAGAGATTTTATTGTTTTTCAATATTCTCCAAGATATAAGATTTCTGAATCTTTGTCTTATATTTTGAAAAAAAAATTGAAAATGATTATCTGGCCAAAATTGAAATCATTCACCAAACAAACCAAGATATTAGGAAAATCTCTTTCGAATCTCGCAAGACAAATTCGGGAAAAGAGAGAAAAAAGAAAAACATCCTAAGCCTTTGGAAAAACCTTTCTAAGCCGAAGAAGAACTTTCGAAAGGGTATAATCGGCACGTGATTTCGATCAGCTGTTTGACAAATCGGTCTTACGAGTCGGAAGTCAAGTTAAAGCTGCAGCAAATTGCGTGTTCGGGAGAGGCCACCATTGGGGAGAGGAAGGCCAAGCCGTCGTGGAAAACTGGGTCGAGCTTCTCTCTTCTCGTCTCTCCACCCTCGATTTCAACATCGTGGCGCTTTGCGTCGCGGCGTCGCGTGTACTTGCGTCGTACGTATTGCGCGTTGAATATTCCGGATTGGACTCGCCTAAAGACTTTTCTTCTCGTTCCGGGACCTTGGCAAACCATCCTCTACAGTCCTGGAAATTTAAAAATGTGCTCGTTTCGCAGGTCGAAGAGATGCGACAACGGCTCGAGGAGAAGAACCGGATGATTGAGAAGAAGACGCAGGCGGCGATGCAGGCGCAACAGGAGCGCAATCGCATGAATACCGAGCTGACCGAGATCAAGGATCACATGGACATCAAGGACCGTAAGATCAACGTTCTCCAGCGCAAGGTAAGGCCTCTTCTCGCTCTTTATCTTGCTTGAACTTTCCCGTTGGAGTCACAATCTTCGATAGCCTTCGTCTATTTTCATATCGCTTTCGTCTCCTTTCATCCGCTTTCCGCAATACGACCATTCTTGCACGGACTCGTTTCCGCTTTATATTCATCGAGAATCCTACCGTGCTTTATCGTGATTCATAACTCTCGGAACGGGCGAGCATTATGGGAAAATTGCCGGGACGAAGCAGACAACTTTCGCGAAATAAATTTCCTTATCGCGCGCATGGCAGCATTTCGTCTAAGGAGATACAAATGTAAAAGCGGACGAGTCCGGCAAAGTGTATTTTCTTATCACGTGGAAACCAATTAGCGCTTAAGGAAATATTTACCTTGAGCACAGAGCAGATTGCGAGTCGATAGAATATTATTCGTTTCTTTAAGAGAAAACTGCTGAACGAGCTATACAGATTTTTATTATCGTATATTTTTTTCTCTATTATCTCTCTTGAAATCTTATTTCGCTTGCAACGTGTTCTTGCATATAGATAGTATCATCTTTGCATGTGATTGAAAAAGTCAGCACTAAAAACAGTAAGACATTAAATAATAGTTCCCCCGTTATTATTCTAATTATTACAAGAAATTGTTTGAAAAAATTATATTTTAGAAAGCTACATTTGTTAAAATAATTTACAATAATAATATGTAACAGCAAATATAATCCACATATTTATATAGATATTATATAATGATATATGAAGAGTAAAAATAAAATGATAGATTTTAATTAAACAGATATGATAAATAATTATAATCATTATTACCGAAATGATATAGGAAATCTATTTTAATTTAAAAATAATTCGGGACAAAAGGGATTATAATCGACGAGAGTACGTTTCGCATCCTAATATAATACCTCCCACATAGTAAAGAAATGGAATGCGCATGAGTACGAGTACAAATTCAATCAATCGTCTCGAATTGCAATCGGTTCTTTGAGGAAATTCCAGAAGCTGATCCCACGAGGGATGACGTACGTGAGCTGACACTGGGTAACGTAATTCAGAATCGGTATCGATTGTATATTTGATAATCAGTATATATTAAGACGAGAGAACTTCGTGTATGTCCCATCGTGAAAAGAATATTTTGCATCTCTCGCATCGAATTTTAAATAAAATTCGAATAATTATATTTAACGAATAATATATTTAATAAATTTGAATAATTATATTTAATTTATTATTAATAATCTATATAAAAAAATATTTTGTGGGAAAAAATATTGTATCGAATAGACAGAATGAAAATATGTCAAAGTCATACATTATGCTTAATATTGCAATTCTCGAAGTCGAAGAGCAAAACTAATAAGTTCTATAAATTCTCTTTTAATTACCTCTGTAAAACACGCTATAAAACACATTTATACTAATCTCAGCTCTTGGCTCGTATGAAAATTATTCTAAATCCGCTTTGATAGAGCCTTCGCTTTTGATTATCCCTTCATCAGCTTTATGAACGCGCAATAAAAGTCTCGCCTTACTTTCACGTTTTGACAACGGACATGAGATTTCCGGATTAAGGGCGCGCACCGTGTACTCACGTAAAGTACCGAGCACTAATTGTCGGGGCGACTGAGAAAGAGCGAAGCTTGTACTCGATGTGTTAATACCATCTCCCCCGGTGATGTTGCAACGCGGTAGAGAGAAAGAGAGAGAATGCGCATGAGTGTCGGAAATTCGGCCGTCGATTTGGATGGCATGTGATGTGCGCGCGCGCGTTTATATGACGTTTCTTACAATGTTTTTGCTAGTCGATGTACAGTAATCGCGAGCGCAAATGCAGTTTGCGAGAACGTTGCATTGCGTTTGCACTGTGTTTGCGCCCGCAAAATTTTCTATCACACTTTATTTCTGTATTAATTCGCACCATTCCTTTTTTAGTGGCGTTCCATAGGCGATGAAGTATCATTATTGTATCATTATCATTATAAGATTAAATTCCTAATTTATTTTTATTTTTTTACCGTATCCTTTATTCTAAAATTTTTTTCTTTTGCAATTCTCGAGAAATTAACTCCATAGAACAGCGACAATAAATGTAGAAGGATGGACAATGAACTCGTCCTGCGACTATACTTATTAGTTTGCAATATGTTCTGTCATTTCTGATTGGTGAATGTATTTGTATGAAAATTATGTTGTTAATTGCGATTATTTTGCGTTAATTATGTTATGTGCAAGAGAGGAAATATTATATTAATTGGTAAAATATAAATACATTATTCTAGAGATCTTTTCCTTTTACTCTTAATTATTTTATTATTTAATTAATAGATAATAGTAAGTAAATTATTTTATTTAATGTTAATCGTATAATTTATATTGTATTACATGCGCTTATATGTGTATAAGTTGTAATTTATATATTTCATTTGTTTAATCGTACCCTTATGTCGTTATTATTTATCATAATCATATTTATGTTACGTATGCTATTTATATGATCTATTATTTGCTTTGACACGAGCACCGTATTTATTTTTACATTAGCGTGTCTGTCGTTACGATGATGTCTGAGTATGATTATGTGAATAAAAGAAGACCGACGAAAGTGCGTTGGCAGGTAGGTGATGACGTGAATTTACGTTAATTAATAACTTCATTAATTATCTCACGGGACTTCATTAGCTACGCAGCAATTAACGGATAACGCGTCGAATTTACGATTCGCGTGAAAATCGTCCCATATTTAATTTTCTAAATGTAATATACATTTCGCGATACACCAATTTATCTTTCCACGCCTTTTTTTTATCCTTCCTTTTCATAAAATATGTAGTAATTAATTATACTAACTATACTAACATGTACACATAATTTGATATAAAATTTTTCATAACGTCACAATTTGACTTTATCGTAAATTAAATGTGGAGATCAAATTGTTTGACTTAAACAAAGAATAGTATCATTTCTATGTACAAAAGTCAAATTAGTAATTTTCGATTGTTATTAGTAATTAACGATCGACTAACAAATCAACTGATAAATAAGATAGCACTCTTCGTCCTATGACTGAGTCCGTTGTTGACTTTAGATCGAGAATTTGGAGGATCTGCTGAAGGAGAAGGACAATCAAGTCGACATGGCCAGGGCCAGGCTGACGGCGATGCAGGCGCATCATTGCAGTAGCGAGGGTGCACTTAGCAGCCTTGAGGAGGCGATTGGAGATAAAGAGAAGCAAATGGCACAATTACGAGAGCAAAGGGACCGAGCCGAGCAGGAGAAGCAAGAGGAAAGGGAATTGCATGAGAGAGAGCTCGCCGAATATAAAATGAAGATACATACTTTGGAGTCTGAGGTGAAATTAAATGGAAAGCTGAAAAACGGGAAAGACTTATCATATATTTTTTCTGAGTTATTATAAATCGTTTGCTCAAAAACAAAAGGCTAAATTAAATAAATTAAAATAAAAAGCTTACCGTGACGAATAAATAAATAAAAGAATATTTACAAGATGCAATAAAGATGCTTAAAACTATTTTTTTTATATTTATTTATTCATTTAGCTTAATTCAATTTTTATAATAATGTGTTTTGCAATATATATACAATTAGTTTTATATATTTATGTTGCACGTTTACATTTATAAATTCGTACTTCAATAAATTATGCATGTCTAAAAAATAATTAATCTATTATCTAAGAAAATGGCACTAACAATTGTCCACGTATTCATCGCTAGGTCGAGAAGTTGGGTGCGCGACTGGAACGAGCACAGGCGGAAAAAGACCGATTGGAGGCGAAGCTTGAAAGCTCGCAATCCGAGCTCGGCAAGAGCAAGGCCGAGCTGGACAAGGCCGCGTCCGAGGTCGGGCGCAGCGGCGCGGACTGGGAGGCGGCGAAGCAGCGGTTAGCCAGACTGGAGCTCGAGAACGAGAGGCTGCGGCACGATATGGAACGATCGCAGGGATACGGTAGAGGTACGCTGAATTCGTCTCAGGAAATGGAACGTATTCAGGAACGAGCTGACAAATCGGCCACCGAATTAAGGAGAGCTCAGGCCGAACTGAGGGTCACGCAAGCGGACAACGAAAGGGCGCGTGCCGAGGCCGCGACCCTGCAAGAAAAGGTAATTATTATATTTTTTATTTTAATATCGTACAATGCATATATATATATTATATGATATATAAATTTTTATATTAAATAAATATTCGAACGTGTGTTTCAATGCCAATAAATTTAAATTAAAAATTGATATAGCTTAAAAATTTTGCAGCCTTTTTTATGAAAGCTGTTAAGTTTAGTCTATCGTAATTTATTAAAAAAGTTATTAAAAGTGCTTTTCATATTTTTTATGAAAACTATATCATACATCTTAAGCTATATCTTAATTCATTAATACAGGTACGTTAACAAGGTAAACTGATACACTATATCCTAATAAGAAAATTGTTATTTACGGCAAATGGAAAATATCTCTCGTCCTAAATTATAAGAGAGACGAAGCTCTCTTTCGAAGCACTTCGATCTCGCAATTGCCTAAAATATCTCGATTTCTGGCGCCTTTCTAGTGAGAATGCGCTATTTACACGCCAATTATAGCATTTATCGATTGATCGGCACAGAAGTAACCTGAACTACTTTACTGGAGCACACGTCGCCTCACGGTAGTCTATTAATGGACGGCTAAAGATCCGCTTTGGATCACGACTCAGCAGTTCCATTTCGACGAGCACTTTCCTCGAGGACTTAATCCGTATCGGTCGCGTATTTACAATCGGTTTTAATCGATTCAAACACGTTCCTTGACATCTATTTCTCCTTCCTCGGCTGCGCCTCTTTCTTCCTCGTTCTTATTTTCCTTGCTGTGCTATCTTCATCCTTCCAATAGGATCCAATTTCCAATCACGCCTCCGTCCTGTAACCGGCAGCAGAGTAACGATTCCGCCGTTTAAGTGACTGGAAAATTGCTCGCGCGTATTACCATATCACCCGCTTGGAACATGGAAGGAACACGGCTAAACGGTGTGCTTAAATTCACATTTTGCTCGTCTAGGCGTTGAGTTTGCCGTGAGATTCTTGCGCGCGGAGGGACCAGTTAATGACGGGGAATAAAAAGTGCCACAAAAATGGATAACATAAATCTTTCTGAAAGTAAAAAGTTGGTGTTACAAGTAATTTCTTCGTAATTGAAGAACACTCTATCATCATTTAAAGAATATAAGCACGTGGAAAAGACATTTTTCAACAATGTTAAAAGTATGATACGTTTTAATTAAAGAAATGCAATTTTTCTTTTTATGTCATGCTTTATAAAAGAATTTGAATTTGCTCAAAGACTTTGATCCTGAATTGGATTAAATATGAAAAAGACATTTGCAAAATTTTCTGTTTTATTCTTCAAGGTGGAAAAAAGTCAGGGCGAGGTGTACAGGCTCAAGGCCAGACTGGAGAATGCTCAAGGAGAGCAAGAGAGTCTGCGAGAAGAATACGATCGAGCACAGGCGTCTGTGGCTCGTCTTCATGCCGAGAGAGACAAAGCGATTGGCGAGCTCGAAAAGTCGCAGGAGGAACTCGAACGTACACAGGCTACTCTCGGCAAAGCGCAACTTCAGCAGGACAAATTACAAAATCTCTTGGATAAAACACAGAGCGAGGTTGACAAGCTGCAAGAGAAACTCGATAAGACGCAGACAGAAGTTCGTAGAGTAAGTAGTTTCGAATAAATCAAAAATAATGTTATTTTAACTCTAATTTTCTGCATATCAAAAGATTGTTAACATTTTCATCAAATTATGTATATATTTTATTCATCGATTTAATTATATGCAATGCAATAATTACTGTAGATGCAAATGGAGAGAGAGAAACAGAATTACGATTTTGAAAACCTACAAAGTCAACTTGACAAGGCGTTGGGGCAATCGACAAGGATGCAGAAAGAGCGAGAGGCGATTCAAATCGAAGTCGATAGACTGCAGGACAAATACGAAAAGGCTCAAGTGAGTACAATAAATCAAAAATATAATTAATTATAAGATTTATATTTATAAATCGATTGCTAATAATGATTTGATTCGTGGCATGATCGTTTCTTTAGGTCATAATGCAACGGTTGCAAAAGGAGAGGGACAGCTTCCAGGAGGAAATGGAGAAGATGCACGAGAGAATAGAACTGCAGCAGAATCAAATTGGAAAGATGCAACGCGAGAAGGAGAATGTACTTTCGGAACTCGATTTAGTCAAGGAGAGATGGGAAAAGGCGCACAACACTCATCAGAAATTGACGGTGAGAATTATTAATTTTTAGTGATCATTATCCTTTTAAATCTCTTACCCTCTTTGTTTATATCTTAAAAACATATACATACGTGTGTGTATATTACAAATTACATAATAAAGCATGCTTCGCTTTATGGACTGATGTAGGTATAATATTATTTTGCAAAAATATAAAAAATTACAATGTAAAAGAAAAATAATTAATAATTTCTTTTTTGTTTTTTTTCTCGGTGAAATAGTTGGAGCGAGATGACGCTTTGACTGAAATCCAGATCTTGAAGGAGAAACTGGAGAAGGCTCAATATTCCCTGAATAAAGCTCACGAGGAACGGGAGAACACCACGAAGGAATTCGAGAAGATGTTGGAGAAATACGATAGGTACTACGTTTAGCAGATATCTGCATCGGAAAGACTCAATCGCTTTGAGTGTATCTCAACGAGTGTTACGTTCAGTAAACGTAACGATATCTTCTTAATTTTACTTGACTTTATATTATCGTAGAAAAATATTCCAAAAAAGATATTCCAAATAACTTTATGCAAACATTTTAATTTTACATATCACTGACAGAATTTTCGCAAATGTAGAAAATTAGGTAGATCGTAGCGAAAAAGGCAGAGGATATTCCGAGGCTAAATATCTCACGGCGATGTGGCAGGGGGCAGAGCGAGGTGTACCGTCTGCAGAACCGCATCGACGTGATGGAGGCGGACAAGGACCGGCTTGAGCTGGAGGCGGAGAAGCAGCAGATGCTGGCGGCCAAGTCACGCGAGGAGGCGCGCAAGGCCCAGGAGGAGCTGGCCCGGGTGCAAGAGATGTACGACCGCGCGGCGTTGCAGCTTGGCCGTACCAAGGAGCACGAGGAGAAGTCCAAGGAGAGCATCGATCGGCTTAGCGTCGATCTGGAGATGGTGCGCGAGCGTTACGAGAAGTCGCAGATCGAGCTGCGACGCTTGCAGAACGAACGCGAGAAGGTGGTAGCTGACAACGAGCGCATCAGCTTTGAGCTGGAGCGCGCCCATTCGCAGCTCAACAAGGCGCAGGCAGCCACGGAGAAAACGCAGGAGGAGCTCGCACGTATGCAGCTAGAGATCGAGAAGATGTACGAGAAGCACGATCGTCAGCAGGCCGAGGTGAGAAAGGCGCAGGGCGAGGCCGAACGACTACGCGCCGAAGCGGAGAGCGCTCGCGAGGAGTGCGAGAGGTATGCGACCCGTTTCGGCAAGTACCAGGAGAGCCAGGAGCGACAGAAGGAAGAGCACGAGTGGGCGAAGCTGGAGGTGGAACGACTACGTGACCGTCTGGAGAAGGCGCTGGCGGAGCTCGAACGCGCGCGGAAGGCTGAACAGGACGCCTCGAGGCTACGCGCCGATCTGGAGCGTGCGGAAGGCGTGCGAGGTAAATACCAGTACGAGCAGGAAAAATGGCAAAGCGAAGGTAGTAGGCTACAGCAGGAGGTGGACAAGCTGCGCGAGCGGCTAGATGGCCGCGAGGCCGAGCTCAAGAGGACACAGTCGGGCAATGCCGAGCTCGAGGCGAAGCTGCACGAGGCGCAGCTTCAACTCGAGCGGGCACGCGACGAAACTGGCAAGGCTTCGGCGCAGCAGGAGCGTAATCGCTCGGAGATTGAACGCGCGAGGATCGAAGCCGAGAAGATCCGTGACCGGCACGATAAGATAAAATCGCGAGCGGAAGCTCTCGAAGCGGACAACGAGAAGCTGCGCGTTGAAATCATACGGTTGGAGCGACTGATGCAGACCGAGGGTAAGACAAGATCGGAGAGCGCGAGCATCGAGGTAGAGCGTCTGCGAGCCAGCCTAGACAAGGCTATTGTGGCACGCGATCAAGTCGAACTAGAAGCCGGTAGACTAGCGAAGGAACTTGAGAAAGCGCATCTACAGACCACCAAATATCAGGAAGCTACTGAAACTACCAAGAAGGAACTCGAGCGTCTCGCTGCGGACGTTCAATTGCTGAGGGAGGAACGTGAGGCGTTACGTCAAGAGCTGCGTCGCGTGCAACAGCAACAGCAGCAGCAACAACAGCAGCAGCAGATAGCTGGAAACGAAGAGCTCGCCCGACTGCAATACGAACTGCAGTTGGCGCAGCGCGAACGTGACAAGATGGCAGCAATCCTGGAGAATCGAGAAAAGCACTCGGAAAAGTTGAAGGAGAAGCTAGAAGCGGACGCGAAGCAGCTGCAGGTTGAGCGCGATCAGTTGGTGATACAGCTGGAGAAGTCGCAGGAGATGTTGGTGAATTTCCAGCAAGAATTGAGCGCAAACGAGGCCGAGCTCGAGCGTCAGCGCGAGGAGGCCCGTCGTCTTCAGCAGCGGGCCCACGCGCAGACGCCCGATCGCGCCGCCAAGGAAGCGCTCGATGCGCAAATGCGCGAGGTACAGCGGTTGCAGCAACAAGTGCAGAACGTTCAACAGGCGCAACAGAAGGAGCGACAACGGGCCGAGCAAGCGGAGAAGCGAGTACAGGAGTTGCAGAAGCAATTGGCGTCGCGCGGCGCCGAAACGACACAGTCCGACGTGGCCCAGCTTGAGCAGTGGCGAAAACTCTGCGAGACGGAACGACAGCGAGCAGACACAGCTGAACGCGAGGCCGGCGAGCTGCAGAAGCGAATACAGACGACGGAACGGCAGTTGCACGCGCATCAGCAGCAGATCCAACAAATGCAGGTCACTATGCAACAACAGCAGCAGCAGCTCCAACAGCAGCAACAGCAGCAGCCTTCGCAGCAGAACGGCCAAGAAGTTACCAGGCTGAAGAAGGAGCTGGAACGCGCGCGCGAGGAGATTAAGCAGGCGACAGTCGAACGCGAGCGGTTCCAGGCGCAGCTCGAGATGCTGTGTCAGGAACTGGAGAAGAACCAGGTTAGCGGCCGCAGCGGTGCCGATCTCACGCCGCGCTCGCTCGCGCTGCTGATGACAGTCCACACCATTCGCCATCCACACCATCATCATAAGCACCATCACCATTTCCATCAATGCCTTAACCATTATTATCACTATCCCGCACACTCTGCCCGCATTCTATAAAAAAAAAAAAGAAAATCCCGATGCAATCGAGTCAATCATTTTGTGGAAAGAGCGAAGAGAAAAACGACCACGTCCCTTCTTTTTTTTCCTCCTCTTCTTCTCCGAAGACAGACAGGCCCGATGGATTCTTACACACGTTGACAGAAAAAAATATATTTATATATACTATAACAAAGATATATATGTCTGTAAATACATGCGTAACTCGTATGTATGAGGAGCAACGGATATGCTGCACTTATGCACTACTCACTCGTGCACATCTCTCTTATCTTACATTATTGACAACGATGTCGCAGAACAGCGCAATGTCTCTTCGCTAAGGAGTTTGTCAATCCTTATTCCAATAACAATTTTTCCTCTCTTAGTTCCTCTCTTCTCGGCGAAAAAATTATTCCTTTCTTCTAAGCACCGCTATTTGTCGCTCATTGCTATCGGAATACGTTCAAAGTTTTCATTGTTATTATTATATTATTCTCTTTGTTCTTACGTCATTGTTATTGTTATCGTCATTATTATTGGTATCAATATATTATTATTATTATTATTATTATTATTAACTATTATTATCGTTATGGTTGTATTTTTGGTTGCCCGCATCGGCACTGTAATTATTATTGTTATGCGTTGAAGAAAGCGAGCGCATGAGAAAGTGAAAAATAAATAATAGAAATATATAATAAAAAGAAATTAAGATTGTGAGTGGAAAAAATTAAAGTACTGGTTATTATTCGCTCGCTTTTTTAATTATTATTATTATTACTATATTTAATCGTATTATTACTGCTGCGTTTATGTCGCGTTAAATATGACAGCAAAAAGTAATCGTGAATACTTTTTATGTTGGATAGCATGCACTGCATCAACGAGATGGGGAAATACCGCTTCGCTTTCGAATTTTTCTCATTAATTTCTTGAATTTTCCCGTATACATATTTTTCGTGTAAGAATTAACGATGTCAGGTAGCTTAAAGTAAATTAATTTTAAAGTGAACGGTATCCTCCTCTCTCTGATTGGTGCACATTTTGAGCATTCGTGCTCATGTAAATATATTTCTCATTGTAGATGTATACGTTATCTTATATTCGCCACGTTTTTATCACGATATATTTCTCTATATGTATATACATCTTGCTGTAATCATTAGATATGAAAGAGTCTCTGTGTGATGTCGCGTTTGATTCGTTTTATTATTATTATTATTGTTGTTATTATTATAATTCACTTATCATGCATTCATAATTTTGTCACATCGATCATTTGGCCGGCAAAACGCAATACTCTCGATTTTCCCTAAAAATCTACTCTCTCTTCTTTGCAACAATGTAAAATACAAATGATTTGAAAGAAAAAAATATCGATCAATTTTTATTCTACGAAAGCGAGAAGATCGAGGGTTGGCGTATAGCCTTTTGCGATCTAATTGCACTTTGGAAATTGAAACTTACACACAAACGAGATATTTATAGGAAAGCACGGTTAAGCCAAAGCGCAAGTAGACACTCGACAATTTTGCATTTTGGAATGGTTATTATCGCTCTTACGGCATATATCAGCTTTTCTTTTTCTCTTTGTCTCGCAATTAATTTTCTGCTAATTAAAAGAAAAAAAAAGAATAAAACGTGCATGCGACAAAAGTGCGAGGAGTACGCTACAATCTATCTCTTTGTAAATGCAGGTGGATTTGCACGAGGCGAACAAGAAACTCCAAGCTGGCGCCGCGAAAGTTGGAGCCGACACTATCCAAGAGAGGAAACAGATGGAAGAACAAAGACGACAATGGGAAGAACAGAGAAGACAGACAGAGGAACGGGCGAAGTCCGTCGATCAGAAAGCTAGGGCAATAGAGGAGAAGGAGAGGATGCTCCAAAGTCTCGACCAAGATCTAAAGAAGAGAAAGGCGAGAATGGACCAACTGGAGCAGCAATTACAAAAGGTGATTGCATACATTCTAGCTGTTCCAATTCTAGTATAGTTATATACATATACAAGTAGTTATTTTAATAATTTATAATCTCGAATAATTTTGAAATAAAATTTACAAAAGTTAATAGCATAAAAATAATAATTTAAATTACAATATAAACTGTTTCTGGATTTGAGAAAATGTGACAGTGTTAATAAATAAATGTTTCAATAAATTTTTACTAACATATATAAACATTATTATAATAATACATTATTGATTTTATAGAAACTCTAATGAAACTTCTTATGAATTTTTTATGATTTATCTTATTCTTAGTTTTTTTCTAACAATAAGTTTGATTTGATATACACAGAGTGGTGGAGCGCCAGACAAGAGATTAGCGGAAATGCAAAAAGCTCTCGAAGCAACCGAGAAAGAGATGGAAAAGGCGAAGGAAGAATCGAGCAGAAGCTCTGCCGAAACCGAAAGGCTATTACAGCTCGTGCAGATGACTCAGGAGGAACAAAATTCCAAGGAGAAACAGATTAGAGAACTTCAAGAGTGAGTACTATACATGGAATATGATAATGCAATACAAATATGTTTCGGATAATTATTTTTTACAATATTATATGTATGTAAAGAGAGAGAAAAATTAATTTAAATATGTCACATTATTAATAATGTGACATATTTAAATTAATTTTTTTAATCTCTTTTGGTTTTTCTATTGCAGGTTGGTTTATCTCTTTTTTAAATCTTTTTAATCTCTCTTGGTTTTTCTATTGCAGGTTGGTTTATCTCTTTTTTTAATCTTTTTAATCTTTCTTGGTTTTTCTATTGCAGTGCACTCAAAACCGCACAAGCCAAGTTAAAACAAGCTACAACTGCACAGCAAGAGGTCAGTATCACTTTATGTTTATTTATTCAATAATACATATGATTAAGAAAAATATAAATTAATTAATTTATATATTAACATATTTCCTTCTATTACCTATTAACCTATTAATCTATTAATTATTTGTCTTCTGATATTTTCCATGCTGCTTTCGGATACATACACGACAATCGCACACGCTTTATGTATGTACATCTTATTTCCTATACGTATTTTCTTACTTTCCTTCAATATTAACAATACAATAAACAACGAAACAAAAATATGTTGCGTCTTCAAAATAGGCGGGACCCGCCGGTTTCCTAAAAAGCTTGTTCTAAAGTCGATTTTTGTTGGAGACGCCTCTCCTCTGTTCTTTTTAGTACAATTTGCATATTATTAAGCAAGACTATACGAGTATAGATATACGAGAGACTTAAACGAAGGATCAACGTAGATCCGCCGATGGACAAAACCCACGTCGAGACATATAATTATTTTACGTAAAATGCTGCGACCATTGTTAACATATTTAATAATTATAGCGAAAGGATAATAACGATAATAACACAACAATAACTTGACATATAAATATAAATATAAATATAAATATTGAAGATATAAATATAAATACAGGTATAAATATACACAGAGTATAAATTATAAATATAAATATTAACGAGATGACGCGAGAAAAGACGACAACGGCAACAATAACGTTAATTAATTATTATTATATTGAAAAAAGACCGAAATATATATATACATATATAAAAATATATATATATATATATATATATATATATACATACATATGCGTACACACAAGAAATACACACGCGCATTTACCTGTATATATTATTACCACGGCCGCGAAAAAATATACGTATGTAGGTGTATATATGTATGCACACACGTAAATATAAATATAAATACAAGTTTAAATATTCGAGAGAGAAAGAGAGAGCTAGAGAAAAAAAGAGGAAAAGAAAATCAGATGGCAAACGGCAGACGCGAAGAGAAAGAAAACAACAACAAAGAAAAGGAGGACGATAATTCAATGGATAATAATTAAGATATCTCGAGACTTTTTTGCAAAATAAACAGATTGATAACAAGAATCGAGAATTTAACATAATAAATATTTGAAGACGCATACTTTTGCATCCTTCGCACCGATCGATGCACGTATACCACATATACACACACAAAAGCCTGAATTAAAATATCTTCCTCTGTATTTTCTTTCCTCCTCTGTATTTCCTTATTTTTTATTTTTGTTATCTCCTGTACATTTTGTCATTTTGCCAACAAATGTCGCTTTGGCACACATACCGCACGCTAGTCCAAGGATAACAAGGATGAGTCCTCCTGGCGAGAAGCATTAGAGACGAAGAATCGTACCATATCCAAACTAGAAAAGAAAATAGAGAGTCTCCAGCTGGATTACGATAAGTGTAAGGACTTGTTGAGTGACTCGAGCAATATTGAATCCTGGAAGAAAGAGATAAAAGAGAAAAATCAACGTATTGTCCAGCTGGAACAGCAACTGGAAAGCTGTGAGAACTTAAAAAACGATAGAATGAGTAAAAACGTCGAAACGCAGACGAAAACGTGCAAGAATTTTTGTAATCCGGAAATGAAAAATCAGCGAATTGTCGCACTGAAGCGGCAAGTGATTGCCTTGAATAATTCTTTGAAAATTCATGCGAGGAAAACGATAAAATCCTCCAAGAAGGATAACAATGATAGGACAAACGAGAAAGTCGAAGAGACCTGGAAGCAGGAAATGGAGATGAAGAATCGACGCATCGTTGAACTAGAGCAGGAAATGGCATTGCTGGAAAATCTACTTCGGGAAAACGTGGACGTACAGATACTACGTGACCTCGAGAAAATGATGGACGGAAAGTCTAAACGAATCGAAGAACTAGAAGATGCCATAAAGGAACTCGAGAGTTTTCTCAAGGAGGACGTAAAGGAAATGCGTGATCTGCGTTATCAGACGTCGCTTGACAAAGAGCACATCATGGCGTTAGAAAGGTGTATCCAAAAGTACAGTCTCACAAACGCGGGGCTTGACAAAATGAGAATCATAGAATTAGAAGAAATGGTGACGAGCTTGGAGGACTATGTTAAAGAACATGATATTGACGGTCTTAAACGGAAGCTACAGGATCGGGAGTGCAGAATCGATCAATTAGAAAATCAGATTGCTGACCTGAATAAAAAACTGTCGAGATTCGAGGAAAATCAATCAAGTAAGTAAAATTTTTATAGAAATTTTTTGCTGTATTTTTTCAATTTTTAACTACATTACTTGTTATTCTTCCGTTTTATTCTTAGTTAGAGATACATCGAAGAAAAGTAACGATAGAATGACCTGGGAGCTAGAAGAAGAACAAAAGATGAAAGATATGACGCGCATTATTTCTAAAGAAAATAAAAAAATCCAAGAATGTGAACTGCAGATTGTCGAACAGCAAGATAAAAATGTGAAAATGGAGCTGCGAGAGAAAGAAGAAAAAATGAAAGAAATGGAATACGATATTTCAGAAAAGGATAATAAGATACAGAAATACGAGCAGCAGATCGTCGAACAACAGAACAAGCTTTTGAAAATGGAGAAAGAAATGGCCGAGTTGGAAAAAGAATTATACATGGTAGAAGACATCGATGTATTAAAAGAGACGATCAGGATAAAAAACGAAAGAGTACAAGAACTGGAAATGGAGGTCAATTCTCTAGAGACTTCACTTGGCGAGAGGATCGATGTTGCAATCGAAGAGCTGATTGCTGTTCTGAAAGAGAAGGAAGAAATAGAAGTTCGATTGAAGGAAGATCTCGCAGATAAAGAGCATAAAATAGAGGAATTGGACGCGGCCCTTCGCCAAAGTATCGCAATTACAGATGAGACCGAAAGAAAATTTAAACACGAGAAAAAGCTTAGGAAGGAAGCAGATCAAAGAGTGAGTTAAGAAAACATTTACACAATTAATACATTTAATTTTTTTTATACCAATTTTTCAGATATATGTTTGAGTTTATGAGATATAATATCCAGTCATTTCATATAAAATCTATTCTTCTATCAGGAAATATTAATAAAGTATAATTTAATTCATTTTTTAATTTAATTGATTAATTACTTAGCAATGCAATGCAATCGTAGAATGCATCTTAAAAAGTTTTTTAATATTTAGATCGCCGATTTGGAGAAAAAAATCGCAGTTATGCACGCTGCGTCGGCCATGAAATGCATCACGTGCAAACCACTTCTTTATAAAATATTCAAAACCGAAGAGAAGCATCTCCAATCGAATCAAGAAAAGATTAATCAGCTGCAAGAACTACATCAGACAAAGTACGATTTTAATTCAGGACAACAGTTTGATCTCGATAGACGCGAAACCTTGAAACTTGCCCTTTCCGAGAAGGACGCTCATTTAGCTTTGTTGGAACATTCAGGTATTAAAACTCCGACGCAAGCGGATCAGGCAAAAAAATTAAAAGCTGATAAGAAGATACTACTCGATAAACTAAGAGAGGAGGTGATTTGAAAAATCTAACTAAATTCTTTATGCTCATAATATTACTGACGTTAATTGTTGATATTAATATTTTAGGATGAAAAAAGTATTAATTTCGACTTCAAATTGGAAACAATACCGCAATTAATTGAGAAAATATCCGATGACAATGATAACAATAATAATAATTCCTTTGATGATCGTCCTAGCAAGATCAATTCGTCCAGATCAACTACTATAAATGGCGACAATTCGCCAGTATTACTTACTACAAGTTGCGAGCATTCGTAAGTTGCCAATAATTTTCTTGTTAATGAAAACTTGCAAAATTATGTGAGAAAATAACCAAAGTCGAAAGTTTCTCGATGAGATGTAATTAAAATGTTAGAGAAATGAGCAAAGAGAATCATACAAAATTAATATATGAATTTTATTATTTATATTTTATATTATTTATTGGAAGAAGCACATGTGATGATGATATGATAATAATTAATAATATCTACATAATGATTATTTTTATATTATTTACGAGAATAATTATGCGAGAGTCTTTATTCAACAATTTAAAACATAAGAATGGAAACTATTATAAGTGATTATTGCATTTGTAGTGCTTCAAAAATTCATATTTATTACACATATGGTTGCTCAAAGGATCGCGATATGTTACAGAACAAAGGCATTGACGGTGTTCGATATCAGAGATGGGGAAGATAAGTCTCAAATTCATCAACAGGATACCAGATAAGTACTTGAGGCCTCTTCTACGGTATTTCGAAGTATCAGTCTCTTCGTTACCTCGATGTTGTCATACGCACATACATTCGCGAACGTAGAGACAGTCTATAGAGCATCCTTAGAAACATAGCGGAAATGAAACCGAAACGAACAACAATTACACACCAACAGTAAAACTACAATATACTATCTATAATAACAACTGTAGCAACAGCCAACACGCCTGCCTCGTTCATTATTCATCATCATCGTCATCTTCTTTGTCATGATTCATTAATCGTTATCCCATCATCCACGTGCCACATCGTACTTGAAGAAATTGGCAGGATCAGAAGCCGCTTCTTCAAACTACTGGTAATTCAAATCGATTAACATTCGATGGTTTACTATGAATAAAATACAATAATAATAGATGACGTATGATGATTTTGGATGGATTAGCTTGAAGATGTGTTATAAGTGTTTATCTTCTCTCTTTTTAATAACTTCAGCGATATCTAGATCGTCGGAGACGTCATAATTTATTATTGTTGCAATAATATATTAAAATATACGTATTTGTGCGACTTGTTGTTTATTATATAATTCTTTGCAGCGCAGAGATATGATATCGTTAAAAAAAAAATTGACGATTTCTTAGAAGAGTTTGTTTTATATTTATTTCTCCAATATCCTTTTATATAATTCTATATAAATAGATATATAATTAAATTAGACCGCTGCAAAGAAATAGATTAGATTAACGATTGAAAGAAACAATAAAAAATTCGCATAAATTACAATTCTATATTTTTTTGGGTCTTGATATTTCCAAATATATCATTTATTTTTTTATCTAAATATTTTATGAATATATAAGAGGATTCACTGGAACAGATATGAGTTTACCATCGATATCTGTTGATAAATAAACTGACATTTTTTGTTTAAAATTATTTTAATCCTAGTAAAGAAAAGATAAGAAAATTAGAACAGGGAAAAGTTAATAAAAAATTACATCATGATATATATGTTACATTCCTAATTAAAAACTAGTTCTATTATTATTATTTCGTATTCTTTCCTTTTATTTATTTTAATATTTTCAATAATTAATTGTGAAATATATAATTAATTTTAAAACCTCAACATTTTCGAGATTTTGAAAGAGTATTATTTAAAAGATCAAACATTCTTTTAGATATTTAGATTATTTTTTAATATAGTATCTGGAACGTTATATGAAATTATTGCAACCGATACGATAACCGCAAAAACATACAAGAAGATACGCCGCTGTAAATATTACAGCAATTTGCAGGATCAAAGTGCGTTCCGCAAAAAATTGCAAGGAATCAAGAAAACGTGGCCGAGACACTAAAAAGTTTGTTGTAAATAATACTTATGTTTTTTTCTTTCATTTGTACGATTGTCCCGATCATCGAGAATAATTCTTCTTGAACCTCCATTTAAAAGATTTAAATCCTTTCCCAGAGTACGCTCTGTAGCATAGGTACCTCGTGTACATGCATATCTGACTAAATGAAATCTGCATGTATTTGAAACTGTTCGGATTCTCGAGAGTGTACTATTACTATGTATATATGTGATACATTGTATTCTATGAGGACAACAGATCGTAATAAAATATCGCAGAAAAGGATTGATAATCTAAATCTCGATCTTAAACGAATAAATAGGCAGTCTGTCAAAAGTGTTAAAAAATTGTGACAGTCTGAATTATTTAATGATAAACCTTGCTCCTGTTACACTAAATTAGAGCAAGATATGATCATCATCGTGACAAAGTGCATTTAAGAAATAACGATCAGGTATCGATCGCTTATAAACTTAATGACATAATTAAACATGCACGATGCGATATTTTATTATGTTTTCTTTTTCTCCTTATGCGATTAATCGATTGATTATCAAAACTTGATATAAACGAGATGTTTTAAAGATGACTTGACGTATTTGGAGATAAAAGCTGGCGAGCGACCTGAAATGATACAACATTGCAACATTTTCGAATGTCCAATAAATAATTGCTTTTTTGTGGAAGTTCTAACGCGATGATAAAGTATCAAAGTAGAGACAAATAATGAAGAGAAATTCCGTCGAATAAATTCTACGATCATTCGATCTCGCTTGCCGCTAATATTATCGCGTCTGCCATCGCGGTGAGTTGATTACGAAATGTTGAAAGTGTAAAATTTTATCGTTAATACTTGAAGATATCCTTTGTGTGAATTCCACGGGTATACGACAGCACTTCTCTCGTTGCTAGTTTACCCATTTCCTATTCATTAACTCCGACGCCTCTGTGCATCTCGACGAAATATCTTCGAACCACTAGATCCAAAAAAAAAAGACTTATTAACTCGACTCTAATATATTTAAATATTAGGACATCTATAAGCTGGAATCAAAGTGCGTATATTTTGCGCGACGTAAATATTTATTGGAGCAAAGTATCGTGAGCTATAAAATGTATCCAAAAATCGGATAAAAATGTAATATTACTGTCTTATTTCAATATTTTTTAAATCAATAACTCTAAAAGTATTTATCGATTTTTCGTAATTTTTTTATTAATAGTAATTCGTAAAATTTAATCATTAAATCTTTTAAAATCTAATTTTATTATATTTTCTAGAAAAATAATTATATTCATCACAATACTTGGCTGCAATTTATGTCTGAAGAATGATTATGTCGCCGCAATTGAAAAAACTTCCTCTCTTACTTCTGTCCTCTAATCTCAAATAGATAGACGTACAGATGAAATAGTCTCAATATCACTAGAGCAATGAGAAAAGTAAAGTAAGAATCTCGTGAAAGAAATATATTTCTGTTAAATTTATGAATGTTCAAGAGAATCAAATATACAGACAATCTAATAATTGACATATTAATAATTGTTTGGACCACCTAAATATTATTTATCTGGAATTTTTTATATTTTTATAAAGATGTTATTAGACACAAATAGTGAAATTTTATTAGCGACATAAAAGATGTTATTAAAAATTTAATTTTTACAAAAAAGATAGCACTGGAGTTATTTAATTTTTGCTGCCTGTAACTATTTACATTTTCTAATTTTTCAATTGAATTGCTGTTATTGCTGATCTACATATGTATATAAAATGAAGAACGTAATATGATTGTTAAATATCTTTTTTGCATCAAACGAATCAAGAGATCGAAGATGAGGTGGAGAGGAAGGAAGATGGGAGAGAAATAAAAAGAAACAATTAGTTAATGTGTGCCACCGTCATATCAAGCCTATATCATCGTGTTACATCATATATAGTTAACTAAGCAGAAAAAAATAATATTATCGTTAATTAACACTATTGTTAACAGGAATAAATGTTTAATGCATGAATGTGTTACGTGCATCTGATAAAAAAATCTCCATTTTTTTTAAAACTGAAGGCACTTTATTTGTTTAAAACGGAATTTTTTATTCTTGAAGATTGTAATATATATATTTCAAATATTTATGTCATTTTTATGCTGGTATATCTCGCATATTTTACAAGTTTTATTTAATTTTCGTTAATATTATACATGAAATGAATTTAAAATATTAATTCTCTAATGTGCATAATTCAATAATAATTTGAATTTTGTAATTTTCGTTTCGCGAAAAGCTGCGATGAATGTATGGATATATGCACGAACGAAAGAATGACAGATACACACAAAGTATCAGATCGAATTTCTTGTTGACTTATTAGATTCTAACTTATTAGATACTAACGTAATATAATATAATAGTAATGTATTATCCGATCACACACTCCACGAGTTTCTTTCGATACAATCGATGTCATAGTCTTTGTCCGCATTCAAAAGATGAAAACAGTTCGAGTGAGAGAACGAACGAGAGGGAGGATGCGATTGATTTTCGCAACAGATCGCGCCTAAAATCGTTAAGAAGCGTATAATAATCGATAATGTAATAAGCACTCGTTAAACTTTAGGCCCGATTTTACTTAGCAACAAATGTCGTCACTTGATTCTCTCATCCATAATTTAAAGACATCGCGCTGTCATTTCCATCAACGAATTATATCTTTAAATAACATGTAATTTGTTCGGAGAAACAATATTAAATATTTATATTAAATATTTTTATTTATATTAAATATTTTTTATTTTCTCTCTCATGCCTAAAATCATTTTTCAAAATAATCAGTCAAAAAAATACTTAATCATGTAAATTATGATAGATCTTTCGCTGGTGTAAATCACCGGGTATTATTCAGATCCTCCTCCCCTCGAATCTCACCGTTTATAAGGCACTCAAGGCGACCCTAAAGCGAGACTGCAGAGTGAGACGAGAGTGAGAGGTTGAGTAAAGAAAGCTAAAGAAAAGCGGTCTTGATATTATTTTTTGACTCGTGATTGTTAAGTGTCCACGATAAAAAAATACTAAAAAAAAGTACGATTTTTATGTGAATATTATAAGGAAAATCGTACTGGCGTTATCGCAACCCTTATTGGATGCTGCTTCGAGATAAAAAGGAAATAAAATTCTGAACACAATATGATTTAACAGAAATCAAGATTCACGATAAAAATCAAAAGATAATTATATATATCAAAATGTTTAATTCTTTAAAAGTCAAGTATTGTAAATATCGAAGCTTTTTATCTTTATTATCGCTTTTCTTTATTGCTGATAATCATTTTATTACAGAAAATTGAATTTCTTCATTGAAAAGGATGCATCAGCATCCGATAAGACTCGATACCCCCCGGTACGACATGATTCCAAGCCACTCCTTTTCTATTCTCCAATTTCTACGTGTTTAATCGCTAAGTGAACAATTGATAACAAATTTAACGAAGAAGAAAGGCGCAAGGGAGAACGCTTCGATTAAATTATTGTGTAATATTAATAATCTCGAAGAAAAGTCGACGCAATACAACTTTCGATCGCGTGTATATATCTAAGCGGATGATAATAATATGCGACAACGCAGAAGTATAAGTCGCAAAAGAGTGTGTAACAAGTATGCATTGAGTGAAAGAGAGGGAGAGAAAGTGGAAGAAAAAGGAAAGAAGAATACGAGTGAGGTAACTTCTGTTTTGCCTAGTTCTTGCGATGCTAATTAATTAAGCGTCGCGTATATCTGGAGCAAGTATTGTTAATTCGCCGAAAATCGCCGAAAATCGCCCCAAGAAATTGCTCTCATGTTCATTTTTTTATGATTTTTTCTCGCGATTCGGTGATTTCCGGTCACAGGTAGGAGAATTAATGATTATAAATGAAAAAGAGAGAAAGAGAGAGAGAGAGAGGTACTGATAGATTGTGGACTGGAAGAGTGCGACGAATCTAAAAATAAGATTTATCAAAGTAAGTTAAGAAATAAGCTAATTAAAGTAATAGTTTAAAGTACATTGTTGCAACTGCCATGCTGTGTGCCATTATATAATGAGTCACGTTTGTCGTAAAAAGCAAAAAGAACAAAAAAAAAGAAGATATATGAAGCGAAATACTTGTGTGCGCGTTCTCGTCTGAAACTTTTTAGTTATATCGCTTTGAAATCGTTGGATTTACACCGTCGTCCTCGCGTTAAATTCCTCTTGATGTAATGCAACACATTTATCATACAATTTCTCGAAATGATAATTTTAGTAAATAACATAAGTACAGAGAGAGGAGAAGTAATATATATACATATAGAGTTTAAGTAAAACGTAACGAAGAAAGACGTACCTTTTTTTAATATGTACCAATTTAGCTTTGCAGATATAATTTTACAGATAAAATGCATCACACTTGGCTGGAAAGTACGTCGAAGGACAACGGAGTAAAAAGAATCCCCAACAGCAGATATCGCGAACGAATTCGCTCGAGCTCGCGGTATTCGCGTGCATCTGCTTGCGCGGATCGATGTGCATCGTAATAAATATTGTAATTAACATCCATACGCGCGAAGCACGTGCACGATGTGCTTCGCACTTTTGCGTTCTTCACGATTTACGAATAAAAAAGTCCTGAAATAAAATTCAAGACGGAATTTGATGCGACGATCCGTTTCTACGATGACGACATGATTGCTGGAAAAAACAAGAATTTTGCTTTAAAAATGCATCCTGCGAACACTTTCCTTGAATATAGATACTCCGATTGACGTGGTGATTACGAGAGATAAATCGTTGAATCGCAAAAATTTTCTTGTATAGGATATAAATATATTATATATATATACACATATAATATCTGTTAATAATAATAATTTATTGCGCGCTATAGAAATATCGTTTCGTTATTAGTGTTATGTGGAAGATTTATGGATGTTGTTATTATATAACAGTTGTCTTCTTTTGATAATCGCTGTTTTATGTAATTACCTCGTCTATCGTTTTTAGTATAAGTACGCAGGATACTGATAGTGTCGTTATATTTTATGATGCAAATATGAAATACTTTTTTAATTTTTACAAATCATTTATGTTAATTATCAAATTATTTTACATTTTGTACAAAATTTAACATAATTTTTGATATATATTTGGTATATATAAGGTATAATTTTTTAAAATTTATATTTTAATACACGTATTAAATGTTCCATTTTTAAATAAATATAAATTTCAACATATAAGTTAAAAAAATGTATATTTTATAAATTAGAGGGAATATTCGTTTTATTTTTACAATGCACAAATGCAAATAATTAAAAATATAAAAATATTTTATGTTTAGTACATTTTGATGATTTAATATATAGCAATTTGTCACGTAGCAATGGATCACCGTAACAGCACGAGACGATTTCGTGTAATCGCGATGTCTTACAATAGCGAGTATAATCCACTCTCGCTCGTAGTTGGCGATCGATGGTTTAAGGCAAATAAAAGGATTACTAAATGTAAGTAATCATGCGAATAAACCGAATGAGATGACGTCGACCCATCATAGATTCAAGCACAATAAGGACTAGTAGGGCCAGGCACAATAAAATTCGGCCGTCATGTTGTAGGCAGCGATCTGTTAGAGCGGACAAGTCGTATAAGTATCTAATATATAGCGAGACTATTAAATAAACACATATTGTCTATTGTCCGACGAGTGTATTTATTGTTGACGCTGAGCGTTCCCTTCTGCAAGTTCTGAGCAATCCGATACTGAATTGAATAAATATCTCACAGACGAAAGACTAATTCTTACTTTATTATTAATTCCTCGGTATCTTGATTCCTGAACATATCTACTTTAATTTTGTATAATTATCGACGAAATATTGTTAAAGATGGCACCAATCTTACAAGTATTCGCGTAATTTGAAAAATTAGGTGCATGCACTTTAAGAAAAAGAAAAAAAAAAAATATATATATATATATATATATATATATATATATATATATGATAAAATAATAAATCAATTATAGAAACTGGTGAATTGTGTTTCCTATTTTAAAGACTCTCATATTTTAAATTAAAATAGAAAAATGTTTTTTATCTTAAAAGATAAAATCTTAAAATTAAAGCGTTTGCAGTTTAGGCCGTAATGTAAAAAAAATTCGTTAATCATGGACACCCTATGTCTAAACGTGAACACATATAAAAAAAAGAGAAAGATATAATCTAGAAAGAGTTTGTTTACATTTTACATAGTCATATTCTCTATTTCTGAATATCGAGTTGTTAGTTTCCGATCATCTCTCGAAGTAATAAGATCACGGTGGCAAGATTATAGATATATTTCTATTATTAACAACTTCTAGTGACAAATAATTAGATAATTACGATAATTATTACAAAAAATTATATTCTATATACAATTTGACTATATTTAAAAGAATTACATTGAAACAGAACACTCATATGTATATATCTCTCTTAGTATATCTCTTTAAAGATAAAGGAATATGTATATAAAATATAATTTAATTAATTCTAAACAACACAACAGTATTTTTTTAAAATTAATTTATTCCAAGTCGAGGTAATTAATAGACGACATTAATATATAAAATTATATCATTGCACAATATACTGATTCCAAATTCGAAAGAAAAGTAATCTAAAAATGAGATATATGTTTAAAGTTATATCACATATTTGCTTTATGTTAAATATTATATAATATTAAAGATATTTAATACTGTCTATAAATCTTGTATTCCATAATTATATTCTATAATTCATATATTTTATGTATTCCTAGTCTATGTAATCTATGTGGATATATTTCATAACATATATATCTAATATTCAGTGAGCAACAAATAATTTACAAATAATGCAAATCTTCATTGTTGCAATATATATTGTATATCATAATTGTCAAGATAGAACAAAAGATTAGTTAGTGATTCGATTCGCAATCAGTTCAATTTACTCATGTGTATAAAAGAGAGATAATATACACCAAAAAATCTTGACAGCATAAAAATGTTAAAAAGCTTCTACTTAAAAGTCGATAGATCATCTTTAAATCGTTTTTCAAATGACTTTTAGAGATGTCTAAAAAATTCAAATAAGCTTAATTTCTTTTGTTGCTCGTTCCAGTCAATAAAAATATAAACATCTTACGCGATATGCAAACATGAACATTATGTAATACATTTAAGTTTGTCTTAATGCCAATTACAATATGCAAAATATAGAAACACATGATTCTTCAAAATTATTTAAATTATGTCCTTCACATATTTTATTTTCGAAAGAAGTATTCTTAAATGTTCTATTGTCTTTGATAAAATTCACTCTGATTCTGTCTATTCAAATAGATACTATTTTCCAATTCAAATTTACTTTTCAAGAATTATCAAAAAAGTTAAGCAGTTATACCTAGTCAGCAAGTCGAAAAAAACGTATTTTTAGGAATTTAAAAAAAAACTGTTAGGTATTTTTATTTCATCGATTCTTTATCATAATATATATCTATCAAAGAAGTTTTCATAATTTTTTCAGTTAAAAATATCGAGAAATGGAATAGGCACAGTACCTATTTTCGAGAGACATCTTTTTTCGGAGGCGCTTGGCGGTGAGCAAGATTACTCGAAACTGGATCATCTGAAATAAAAAATTCAAAAAAGGATTTAGCTTTCGTATGAATTCAAATTCAACACGAATCTCTTTATTTGGATACTGATTTCCTTATAAAACCTCTTATATCAGAAGTCAATAATTCTTTTGAAATTGACTCACTGGTTTTCTCTCTCTCTCTCTCTTCCCATTATATTAAATTTAACTAAATATAATTATAGTAATTCATAAATTCGTAAACATAAATGTCATAAAAAATAGAGAGAGAGAAAGAGAGAGAGAGAAAAGGCTGATTTTAAACAAATTTACAGCTTATTAATACGTTAAGTTTGCTCTATAAAAAAAATATAATTATAGAATTTTTTTAAATTTATTTTTTTCTATTATATCGATTATGTTCATGAACACTTTAAACACTAAAATTTATTTTAAATATTTAACATCTTGTTTTTATGATTTAAATCATAAAAATATCCTCCTGTAATATGCGTATGTTATACATGTTTTTTGATGATGTATTTCGAAAAGGCACCGAAAGATATGTTATAAGCCAGTGAGTATTAATTATAATATAAAATAATTGTGTAAAAGGGGCAAAAAGGATAACACATAGAATGCACAATAATCATATCTATGTATAATATCTGAAGTTTTCTTCTAAGCTTTATTTAAATAGAATTTCTTTTATTTTAATTGGGAAAATACAGATATAGTTATATATACAGATATAAATATAAATTAATTAAGCTTTATAAAATTAATTTAATAATTTAAGAATTATAGATTATATTGTATAATAGAAAAAAGAAATGACGGATATATAAAGATAAATATGAATTCTTTAGTAATAGAAGGTAAATTAATTACATAAAAGAAAATTAAGTTATGTTAGAATTAAGATGTAACCTAATTTATATTTTGCAATAAGACATATCAATTTTTATTTTTAATTTTACTATTTTAATATTACATATGTAGACATTTCGCTAAATATATATTAGCAAAATATGGAATATTATATATATGTAGTATATTAGTAAGATATTTAATTAATAACATGTAATAATATTGAGTTTAATTGACAATTTTATTTTATGCAGAACGATTCTCGCGTATTCGATTGGAACAACATACTAAAATATTTGCATCTATGTGTCCCGATGAAATCCTTGATCATTATGACAATTATAAAACCAGAGAATATCAAACGACGTTGTTACTCGGTGACGTTTCAGGTTGAAAATTATCCAACTAATTGTTCGACTTTTATATATTATGTGTAATTGATATTATTATCGTAGCATTATCATATTTGTAATTTTAATTCTATGCAGGTTTCACAGATCTCACAGAAAAATATACAAAAACTGGTGTCGGCGGTCCATCCAAATTGTCGGAAACTTTAAACAGCTACATCGGTGCGATGGTGCAAGAAATTCTCTCACATAATGGCGATGTGGTGAAATTTTCGGGCGATGCATTTATAGTAATGTGGAAACTTCAAGAAGGAATGTTTATGCGTGATATTGCGACAGAAGCAATGCAAACCGCCTGTGTCATACAGAAACATTTCGGAACTTACGAAACCGATGTCGGTGTAACGCTTAAAGGTTCAAATGCACTAAAAATTTGATAAAGCGTCGTATTTTAACATTTTAGATACTCACTATCAAAAATTATGAATCAAATTGTAATAAAATTTAATAATATATAATTGAAAAATTTATATATTTTTTAATAAAAGAATCACTTATGATAGATTACATACATATATCGAAACCGACACATATACACACACCTACAATTTTCCAAAATTAAGTCTGTTATATTTTCGATAGTAAAACTTGCCATTGCTTCTGGAAAAACGTACTTTACATCTATTGGTGATCCAAAAACGATGTCGTATTATGTTATTACTGGAAAACCTGTCTGGGATGTAAAACACGCCGAAACACTATGTCGGTAATATTATAAACTTTTTTATTTTAATATTTTAATATTATAAAATTTCTTATAAGTCGGCCAAATAAATAAAAATTATTTATATATTTATTTTTATATTTATAGTTTTAAATCTATGTGAACTGCATATTAAAAAATTAGTGTCTCTCTTTGTCTATATAAACTGCATATTAAAAATATAGTGACTCTTTCAATTTATTTATTGTATTTTATTGTTTTTATGGAAATAATAATAGGAAAAGAATACTTTATAAAAGAATAATTTATTTATTTCGACCTAGGGGAGGCGATATTCTAGTGGCACCCAGTAGCTGGCAATGGGCAAATCCTAATGAGTATATTCACGAAAAGTTACCGGATGGCATACATACTTTAATCATAGCCTGCTCAGCAATGTGGTATCAATCTAAAGCTCATGATATACAGAATAGCATTGAAAATGGCGCGTAATTTCATATTTTAAACAAGGAATGGATGTTTTAAATCTTTTAAGTAATGCGCATAATTTCAATCATTAGATGACAGAGATATCGAATTACAACGTAGAGATTTCATCAATTTAACATCATTCAATTCCGAAATAACTTTGACAGATCGGATAGACAATAGTTGGAAAGAACATGATTTTGAACAAGTCGATTATAGTCGTGAGTTTATAAAGAATACAAATGTACAATATCCGCGTCATGCTTTTTTTACATTATTTCGAAATATGAAGATCATTACGAATTATGCAGTGAGGCCCAAGGTCATTAAGGTAGCTAAAGCCCAATTAAAAGATTCATTGAGAAGCTATATCCCCAGACCAGTGATACGATCTGTAGAATTGGATGAACCTATGGAACATCTTACAGAAATGAGACAAGTAGTCATACTCTTCATTAATGTCATCACAGATGTATATAAGGGAAGATTGATCTCGCTCGTTGACACAGCTTATAAATTAGTCTGCGAGTAAGTGAGATTACAAAGTCATCGCTTCCTGTCTTTTTTATTATTTATAATTATATTAAAAATTGCTACACAGTTTTAGTCACATATAAATGCGGCAAGTTGTGAATAATTTTATTCATTACAATTTGTTGAACAAAAATTCAAAGAAAAATTATTCGTGGTTATGTTTTAACGATGTTGCATAATTAACAATATTTTTCATCAAGAGTAATCTCCGAAATGCATGGATGCGTGAACAAGACGTCTCTCTTTGACAAAGATCTGATATTCCTCTGCATATTCGGATTACGAGGTGACAAACATGAGTTGGAATCGCAGATTGGATTGAGATGCGCCAGCAGACTGCGGCAAGATCTTCTAGAGATGATGAATGTAAAATCAGTGACGATTGCCGTTACAACTGGAATGACGTATTGCGGTGTAATCGGTCACGTTTTACGAAGGGAGTATACTGTCATCGGAATGTCGGTGAACAAGGCGGCGCGTTTGATGGTCGCGTACAATAATAAAGTAACTGGATTATAAAGATATAAGATTATTCACTTTCCGTTTATATTCTAATTGTGCATACATTCTAATTATGTTATGTAAATAAATCTAGCTATTAAATTCTGGTAATTAAAAATTAAATTAAAAAAATTAAATTAAAACTTAAATGCGCTACGATAATAAATTATCAGTACAGATTATTTTTTAACAGAGAGAGTAAATTTTAACATTATGATTAAAAGTGATAAAAATATTCAATTTAGCTCTTTTATATTAATGTAGTTTTTTTTTAGGTGGTGTGCGATCGTGAAAGTTTCCTGCACTCTCGTCTCGAAGCGAGACATTTTATATTGCAAGAGCCGAGGCATTTGAAAGGAATCACGAACATTGGTCCTGTCTACGAATTTCAGGAGCAGATGAAGTAATTTTTTAATAATTATCATATATATATCTTTGTAAAACATTATGTAACATTTGTCACTAATGCGACAAGTTGACGCATTGTTGCAGATTTACTGATTCTGAATTAACATGGAGCAATTATCCATTGCTCGGTCGAGAAATAGAGATCAAGATTTTCCAACAGATGTTAACGAATATGATAGAATATTCTTCCGGAGACATAACAACAAAGCATTTAAAACCCGATTACAACACGCTAGTTATAAAGTAAATATTAATTTAATATTTCTAAAAAGTTTCAATTTTCATTTAGTGTTAATTTTTAATAATGTTAAAAATATTCAATTTATTCTTAATCGTCAGAGGCGAGCCAAGAATCGGTAAAACAAGATTGTTGGATGAAATCGCACAGAATATTCCCACAAATATACCATATAATTATATCTCCCTAGTGATGAGCGACGCTAAGGTAGACAAGATCTTTTATTTAATTTAATTTATATAATTTCAAAAACACACATAAAATATATAAAAATATTCCTCTTTTATATTTTAATTGAAAATTGTTAGTTACACTTATTTATCACTAATTCTTCTAATCAAATTTTGAAGATCGGTGCTAAATTAGATAGAAACTAATGATTTCTCTTTTTTAGTACAGGTTTCTTATAATCTAATCCGCATGATCTTCTCCAAGCCACTGAATTTTCACATCGCCACTAGTTCCAAAGAACGCGAGGATAGATTAGTATTAGAATTAGGCCAATTACGTGAACCAGAGTTTCTTTGCACCCTCAATCAACCCTTTAATGTTCGTTTTGCAATGAGCCCACGTTACAAAGCACTATCAGTAGACCAGAAACACAAGGTGCTAACTAAGTTTCTGCTGAAGCTGATAAAACGTTGCTTCACGGAGCTATGGGTGATGATTATCGATGATGCCCAATACGGGGATAATGAATCCATGTCATTGTTTCACACAATGACTAAGCGGAACATGCTCTTTTTTGTTCTCAGTATTGGACATAAACTAAGCGGAGAATACGAAGTGCATCCTGCCATTTTGGAAAGAGCACGAGTATGAATATCAATTAAAACAAAAATTATTATACATATAAGTATTATATTTCTTGAAGCGTTTGTGTGAATGTTATTTTTTATTATTGTATATTCTAAATTTGTGTATTATGAAAAGTTTAGTTTATTTTATATTTAGATAGGAATGTGTGGGGGGGGGGAGATCATATGACAAGAAATTACGATTTTAAAATTACACTTAAAATTTGTTTTTTAACAAAATATATATTTTTTACATTTATAATTGAGTAAAGAAACGTATTCACAAATATGTAAATTATTTTTTATTATTAATAGATTATAGAATTAAGTTACATAGACAAGTGGTATCATGCAGCACTAGCATGTCAAATTCTTCATGTGTACGGAATTCCTCCTGAACTCGAAAAGTTAGTCATTTTGAATATGCAAATAATATTTAATAAAAAATACATAAGGATTTTTACTTAAATTTATAATTTATGTATCTATGTCTGTGTTCTTGTTTTTATAGATTGATCCAAGAAAAAAGTTTTGGTAATCCAGGATGGATAGAGAGTTATTTGATAAGCCTTACGCAATCTGGCAGTCTTTTGATAGTTTACAAACGCAAAACGATAGCTGAAGAAATGGGTTATGTGCTTCCTCCCACTGTTATGTTGAAAAGGTAAGATCTAATTTTAATTCCAGATTCTAATTTATTCGATAATACTTTCTTTGAAAATAAAATTAAAATATTCTATTACAATATATAAAATAAAACTATATAAAAGTTTAAAGTTCATTAATACGGAATATAGATTGACATGACATTTTTTATAAATATTCTTTTATAGAGATGGTATTTTTACAAACATTTTTCATCATAATAATTACAAATATAAAGTAATATTATATAACACAATATATTATTTATTAAATATAATATATTAATATATTAAATTAATAGTAATTAGTAATAAAATTATTACAAATGCATATCAATCAGTAATTTATTTAGATTTGTTTCAGAAGATATTATGAAGAAAAATGACAATAACGAAGAAGATCGTTCAGACAAATGGAAGATGTATCGGACAAGTTATCGAGTAAAGGAGAAAGAGGAATTTCCTTTTTCCTCATAATAATTTTATAACAAGTACCAATGATTAACCAATGATTAACAAGTTTAATATGTAATATAATTTCAGAATGGTCCAATATCTTTGTTAACTCTACAAAGAAGTGCTATCCATGAACCAGAAGCAATTGATGACGAAGAAAAGATTGCCATTTGTAAATTCGCGAAAGATTTTATACCAGAGGAAGGAAATGCTGAAATGACAATGGACGGTAAAAAATTAATAATTATTATTTATCAATTTATGTATAAAGTCCACAGTTTTTAAAAAAATATTTTACATATTTATGTATTTTTCTTTATTTGAACAATTTTAGTATTTGTATATATATATATTTTTTTTATTATTATTTTATTGACACTTTATATACAATTATCTGTTTTCTAATATAAAGCAATAATATAAAGCAATGAAATTTGGTTATAATATAATTGTATATTATATGATGCCAGTAATGATCTTGAAGCTTTTCGACTCATTAACACCATTGGATCAGCTACTACTAAAATGCGCATCAGTGTTGGGAGAAATTATTAATAGAGATATGCTACGATATCTAATGCAAGATAAATCTGCGAGAGAAATTGGACTCGGTAAACAAGTCAAGAAAATGCAAATATTATTTAAAAATTTTAAAAGATCTTCTAAAGTAATATATTTAGAAAATACCATATATTATTTCATCTTTTATAATAATATGCAATTGACTATACATATGTATGTATATGTGATTAAAAAAAAACTGTTCAAGATAATATTTATTTTTATCTCTCGTAGCCATTCAGAAACTCTTTGAAATTCGAATTTTTGGATGCGCACGGGGTGATTTCACTACAAGTGGTAGACCATTAGTATTTTATAGAAATATAAAAAGGATTAGCATTGAGCCCGAAATTACATGCGATTGTATAGGTCTCATAATACGAGGTACATTAAACATAAGTTTGTATAAGATCGTGTATCTTAATGTTTTCTATATTTAATGTCTTCTATATATAATGATGAAAATTTATTTAGATGAACTAGCTGACCTACCACGATATGCATCTTGCGGTTTGATACGTTTCAAAATGTCAATGTTTCGCGAAACTACGTACAGGTATTGATAGTTTTATTATTGCTTTATAATTCCAATTAATTGTAATAATGGTCCAATAGTTAGATATCTTAAATCAACGTTTTCAAATTCTATTTCGAGTAAATAATACTTTAAATATTAATAAATTTATATACGAAGATCACTCACGGAAAATCAAAAGATAGAACTGCACAGTAAAGCATTAAAATATCTTCAACAACATACCAGACGATGTATGGCATGTGGCGAGTTAAATTTTGCAAGATTATTAGGCAAAACAACCGTCCAAAAAATTAAAAAGAGAAAGGCAACTATCGAACTTCCTGAAACGTATCAACTTGAAGAAGTAACTTACACTCTCAAAGAAGAGGCAAATAACGGTACCATATATATTGTATAGAATCTAAATCTGAGCCTAGATTGAATCGCACTTATAATGTAAACATCTTAAAATTAACAAAAATTTTAGTATGATGTTAAGAATAATAATATGTGTGTATATATCAATAATATATAAAGTTAACTATCTCTTCTAATAATATATAAATAAGATATGCAACAAGAAGAAACACCGATTTGTCTCAATATTTTACGGAAAATCAGGAAGCCAATCAAGACCTTCTCCAATGTTGATTTCGCCAACTGCCAATGCCACCTTATATTAATAACTGTTTATGCGCAAATGTTGGATCACTGTCAAGGAATCGGTGAGTCAACGTGAACAAAAGAGAGAGAGAGAGAGAGAGAGAAAGAGAGAGCGAAATATTTTTTCTTATTTTTTTAATCGTATAATCAATTGCATATTTTTATATATTTAATTTATATATTTATAAGTCACATAAATTTAACTGCTTTGTTTTCATTAGGAAAGCCAGACATAATCTTGATAGCAATTTTGGAATTTGTGGAAATTTGTTTGGTAGATAACAATGTGCCTCAAGCTCGCAGACTTCTGAATGATGCTGAAGTTGTGCTTCAGCAAGTAAGATAGGATAAAAATATCTAGGAAAACAAAAAATAAAGTTAAAAGAAATAAGTTCTGATGATGATTTTTAATGATAGATGTCCGAAGTTCATAAAGAAGAATCAATATTCCTATCTTATATCACCGCAAAAATCCGAACGCTTCAAGGTAGATGCCATCTAGAAAGTGGTCTACTTTCCGAAGCGAGGAAAAAACTGAACGAAGCAATAAACAGTTTGGGTTATTATTTTCCACAACACAAATTCTCGATTAATGTGAAGTCGACGATTCAACTCGAGTTGTTAAGATGGAAATTAATTTGTCCCAAAACCGACACCACCGATGAACTTACTACGAATTATATCGAGCAATTGGCTACTTGCTTAGCTTTAATGTTTGAAGTTTTTAGGGTAAAGATCGTTGTTTTCTTCCGCCAAGATATTCGAGTTTAATAGAGTTACAGTTTATTAAAAAAATAAATTATTTCATTTCATGTTTATTATTCTTATTATTTAGTATTAAATAATATTAAAAATATTAATTAATATTAAAACTTATTTAATACTAAATTTTATAGAATTACTTACTAATGAATATTTGCAGGGAACAAGAGGAATGAAGAAACATGCACGATTAGCAGCTATATGGAGCTTGAATGCTGCGTTAGATTCGTCGAGAGATTTTCTCACGCTCTGCACATCGTTTACGAATATGATGATTACTACGCACGTCTATCAAAAAAGGTGCCTCGCCAGAAAAAAATAATTAGAGCAAATCTTTATTTTAATTTCATAAACATTCATAATTTCATAACAATTATTTCAGATATCAGAATATCATTATACTTTACATTTGTAGCGTTAATCGTATATAATTTTTTTTTCTATAAGAAATAATAGTTACTTTAATATTTGTATGCAGGTCAGTTACTTCTTATTTAGAAAAACAGGCTCTCTACATATGTGCAACAAAAGGGGATTTTCTCGAATTCCAAGAGCTCGAAGGCATCGCCGAGCTTTATGCTGGAATATTTTTCTCACGATGGTTGAGAGGAGAGATTACAAAAGCTATCAGAATCGGCTTTATTGTGACAAGGATGGCGCAAACCATGAATTCCATATTTCTTAAAACGCTCGTACTACCTAGATTAGCGTATTTGCTTATGATTTCTCGTCGTCATTCTGAAGTGGTAGTTTTGTTGAGAGAATTGGGTAAGCTTTATTATAATTGTTTAAAATGGATAGTCTTCTTAATAAATGGAGTCTATCGAATACAATAAACTATATAAGCAAATATTTATTATTAATTAATTGCATACGGAAGCATATTCAAAATTTTAACATAGAATTCGCATCGCAAAATGACTTGGAGAAATCGAGCCGCACATGGTACTATGCTACTTGCGCCGACGTGCAACTCGACACAGGCATCACGATTCTGTCATTTCGAAATTGCGAACAATATTATCTTAAGGAAGGGGAATCTATAATCAGCCTGCACGATCCCGAAGCGGAGAGACGATATTTTACCTCCATGTGGCTATGGTAAATACGAGAATTTTGTGAATTATAACAATTAAGATCGAAAAATAAATAATTATTATGGTTATTAAAATTAAAGCTCCTGAGATACGTTCTGACATATGTTATAAAAGGTGTATCAGAGCGCAGCAGTGGGACGCTGTGAAAGTTTGGAACAGCAGGAATGTGACAGCCGAGAGCGTGGTGGACGAGCACAAGGTGGCGGCGACGATTACCGCGTTGAAGAAACTCGAGGGGCTGCTACTTTTGTACGGTAATAAAAAAAAAATGTAAGAGTACTCAATCGTTACCCGATATTCGTATTTCCAAGATAAAGTCACAAACTTGCAGTGCGGGAAATTACTAACAGGAACATCAACGCGATAAGTACAATGGCAGAAATTAAAAATAAACTCAGACAAATTGAGAAAATGATAGAAGTTGTAAAAATTGCAATTCCCAGGTATTAAAAAAATTACTAGTTGATCTTACCTATTTATGTGTATTATGAAAATGAAGTTTCACATAACTATATTATATATATTATATACATAATTTCAAATATTAGAATAAATATATCAATGATTATAATTTTAAATAATTTTTTTAAGTATAATATATGAAATTGTGTTTTTAGAATATTACAATTTTAATTCAAGTCTTTTATGAAAATAATTATGCTACTGAAATATTCGCAGATATATGTTAATGAAAGCTTACTATTATATGATCCAATCGCGAAAAAGTGCTGCGGTAAATATGTTACGACAAACGAAGAAATTATCTATGAAGGTAGATAACAGAATGATTTATACATGGGCAAATCATTGTCAACAGGTATAATATGATTTTCATTGTAATTTAATGTAATTTTGATAGTTAAATTTCATTACATTATTTATTCAGGATTGGTTGGGCGCCATGTCTTCAGTACAGGAAGATTTGTGGAAAGAGAAAACTATTGAATTAGATTATGAACAGGACGAAGTAAATGCTAACGATTCGACAATGATACCTTTTACATTTCCCTTGCCAAAATATCTTTTATGAATACTTATAACATATTATATTATATGTGTGAGAAAATGTTTACGCTATATATATATATATATATATATATATATATATATATATATATGATAAAATAATAAATCAATTATAGAAACTGGTGAATTGTATTTCCTATTTTAAAGACTCTCATGTTTTAAATTAAAATAGGAAAATGTTTTTTTATCTTAAAAGATAAAATCTTAAAATTAAAGCGTTTGAAGTTTAGGCCGTAATGTAAAAAGAATATTTCTTAATTCTGGACACCCTATGTCTAAACGTAAACACATATAAAAAAAAAGAGAAAAATATGATCTAGAAAGAGTTTGTTTACATTTTACATAGTCATGTTCTCTATCTCTAAATATCGAGTTGTTAGTTTCTAGTTCATCTCTCGAAGTAATAAGATCACGGTGGTAAGATTATAGATATATTTCTATTATTAACAACTTCTAGTGATAAATAATTAGATAATTACGATAATTATTACAAAAAATTATATTCTCTATACAATTTAACTATATTTAAATGAATCACATTGAAATGGAACACTCATATGTATACATGTATCTCTTTAAAGATAAAAGAATATCTATATAAAATATAATTTAATTGCTTCTAAACAACACAACAGTATTTTTTCAATATTAATTTATTCCAAATCGAGGTAACTAATAGACGACTTTAATATACATATAAGATTATGTCATTGTACAATATCATATTGATTTTAAATTCGAAAGAAAAGTAATCTAGAAATGAGATATATGTTTAAAGTTATATCACATTTTTGCTCTACATTAATACATATTATATAATATTAAAGATATTTGATACTGTCTATATATCTCATATTCTATAATTGTATTCTATAATTCATATTCTATATATTCTTAGTCTATGTAGTGTATGTAGATATTTTTCATAATTTGCAAATATTTAATATTCAGTAAACCAGCAACCATTAAATTACAAATAATGCTAATCTTCGTTGTTGTAACCAATATATACATTATGATTGTCAATATAGAATGAAAGATTAGTTAATGATTCGATTCGCAATCAGTTCAATTTACTTATGTGTATAAAAAAGAGATAATATACATAAAAAATCCGGACACAAAAATGTTAAAAGGCTTCTACCTAAAAGTCGATAAATCATCTTTAAATCGTTTTTCAAATGACTTGTAAAGATGTCTAAAAAATTCAAATAAATTTAATTTCTTTCGTTGCTCGTTCCAGTCAATAAAAATATAAACATCTTACGCGATATGCAAACATGAAAATTATGTAATACATTTAAGTTTGTCTTAATGCCAATTACAATATGCAAAATATAGAAACACATGATTCTTCAAAATTATTTAAATTACATATGTCCTTCACATATTTTATTTTCGAAAGAAGTATTTTTAAACGTTCTATGATAATACATCTTTGATAATAGTCACTCTGATTCTGTCTATTCAAATACATACTATTTTCCAATTAAAATGTACTTTTTAGAATTATCAAAAAAGTTAATTCCTTTTTATGCAGAATTAGTAAGAACTAATAAAAAACATATTGTATTTTTTATATTCGTACTTTCTTTATGTAATAATTATAAAAATATTTTAAATATAAAAATATTTTTTTTGTTCTATTACATCTTATTTATTGTTCGTTTTTTGACGAAGAAAATATTCTTGTAGATACTTGAAATCATCTGACATGGCATTTATAATATTATTGCTAAATAGCTGTTTAATATTCATCGGCACGACAGCTAATTTTAACGAAAGTGCGGAAAAAGACTACACGGTTTTGATTAATGATCGATCAAATCATACCGAGACAATAATACCTAATCACTATAGTATCAAGCTAACACCGCATATTGAAGAAGACAATGCAAATGTATTTAAATTTTCTGGTGAGATCGACATTGTAATAGAAATTCTTTATCCAACACAAAACATAAATCTGCATGCACAACAACCTAATGTAGAAATAAATCAATTCATACTGGTAAAAATAAATGATAATCAGGTGAAAACCAAGCTAAATATAAGTGATCAATCTAACACAATTTATTATCTAACGAATTATGCATATCAACCTGAAACGCAAATTTTCACCATTTATTTTAACACTACAATGTTACAAGGGAAATACATATTGAAAATGACATTTAAGAGCACTCTAAATAGCAACAAAGAAGATGGAATTTTTCTCTCTGAAACAAACAAGAAGAAAAATAAAACGTGAGTGAATTAAAATGTTGAAAGCGCAATGTCATAAAATAATATAAAGACCATTTATATATCTGTTCTTTTAAAATCATTTCCAAAAATTCATACCGATCTAAATAGATAGTAGAATGTAGCTTTACGATAATACACAAAATTTTTTTCTAATATCTAAATATAATGACATATTTTTACATAATTGTGAAATATTATTTCAAAGATAAAAAATCTACTTTTTTATCATATTACTTTCATATTGCAACTTTAGAGATTAATTTTGGAAATTTAAATATATTATTTATAGATAGAAATTTTTGAATGTAAAAGTACTAATTATTTCATTTACACACACACACACATATTTTACATTTTACAAAAATATTATAAAAATTTTATAAAAATATATATTATACTAAATTTTATTTAGAACAAAAAAAAACATAATACAGTAAAATCTAAAAATTGCAATGTAAATTGATGACAATGATCAAATATGTTATATATTGTTCTCCCTATAATTATTCGTAAATTGTGTTTGAATATATTCTATAGCTTTTAATACGTGAATAATAGTTGAAAATTTATTCTTAACAATGTTAAGTTAATGTTATGTCTAATCTTAACAATGAATCGTTTAAATTTTGATAGGTGGTTGATCGCAACGGATTTCCAATTTATTAATGCTCGACGAATGTTGCCATGTTGGGACAAACCGGCATTGAAGGCTACATTTCACATTGCTATAAAACATCATAAAAACTACACAGCTTTGTCGAATATGCCAGTACGAAAACTGCACGAGGGTAGAAATAATATGACATGGACGATATTTCACGATACTCCTGAAATGCCCATATATCTCGTGGCAATTGTGCTATGTAAAGATCCTTTCCTTTCCACCCGCATATTGCACGAAGAATTGACATTTCCACATATAAAATTCAAACAGATTTTATTAAAAGATTTCATTCTGAATTCACCGATACCTAATTATTATGGTGACTTAAATCGGGTCACCAATAATTGGTACGAACAATATTCAGTACAAATAAGATTTGCACAGATAATTGCTGAATCTGTCTCACAGCTTTTCAGAATTGAATGGACGCTCTCGTTGCTGAATATTGAAATGATTACAAAAATAGATCATATTGCAATTTCAGATTTACGAGATGATAGCATACAATATTGGGGTCTCATCTTTTATAGGTAATACATACATATAATTGGACAAATTAATTCACTAATTATTTTATTTATTATTTTAATCTATTATATATTTATTTTATTTCATTATTAAATTATTGTTAGCATTCATAAAATTAGAAAATTCAATAGCATATATTTTTATAGCTAGAAAAATAAATCACGATATATGACACATATATTATACATATATGATACATATATTAATGAATTTTGAGATAAACATGAGTTTATCATATATCGTTGCTAAATATACATTGAAATATATATTACATTGAAAATAATATATTACATTGAAAATAATATATTTTTATTTCTAAATTGATGTAAACATGGAAATTATTTATAGGAATTTAAATTTCAATTTTGAAGCCGCATAAACTTGTGATTTCTATTTCGTATTTTCCTATCATATCAATAGATTGCTTATTGTAATGATATTTTATCTCTCATATTAGAAGAAGATTGAATCAAATATTGTAATCGAAATTATATATCGTGATTTAAATTCTTATATCAAATTATTGGGAACACATGCATATTTTCGTTTTAAATAAACATACACAATTTACTTTATATATATGTAGAATATAATAATGAAAAATATAAGATATATATAATTGCATCTTTTTATATATTATATCATTTTCTTATATAAAGATACAAAATATCTTATTTTCTTATCATATTTTCGTAATCATATTATTTATGAATAACTTTTAGGAAAGCAAATATTATCTATAGAGAACACAGAGATCCTGTTGCTCGCAAATTCGACGTAGCGCGCTTAGTAGCACGAGAAATTACACATCAGTGGTTTGGTAATATGGTCAGTCCATCTTCCTGGTCTTATCTCTGGATGAATGATGGTATTGCTATATTATTGGGAATGGATACCATTAACAAGGTTTTTAAATATATTTTTTAATATTTAGTTTATTCACACATTTAAAATAAACGCATATTATGATGTAAAAATGTAAAATATAAAAAATTCTTATAAAATTTATAGAAATATTTTTTTTAAGTCTTAAAATGCTCAATTCTTTTAAATATTATAAATAAAAAAAAACTCTCAAGATTTAAGCAAACAGTATTATACATTCGTCAACAAAATTATCGTATAGGTAATTTCTCCGTCGTAATAACTCCGTCGAAAATGGTCATATTTGAAAAAAATTTTTTTATTCTCAAGCTTAAAGCCTCTATTTTAAAAATTATTTGTCAGATTTAGAATTTGTCCTTCCTCCACCCCTCTCCTCATCTCCTTAAAAAGTAAAGACGTGTTTCGTCTCCAAAAAATTACATAATTACATAATTTCCGCATTCCACGGAAATAAATTTTTTTCGTAAATTTCATGCATGAGCGTCTGCAAGAGATTATTCGAAGAAGAGGCAGCAATACACATTTTTAAGTGTGAACATTTCCATATTCCCGTTCTCCACACGATACATCAAATTTACGAAAAAAAACTGTACAAATTTCATTTTTTTTAAATACACATATAAAAGTCCATATTTTATGATGATTATCATGAAATTTGCGAAAAAAATTTATTCCCGTGGAATGCAATTAATTTGCAATTTTTTGGAGATGAAACATATCCTTACTTTTAAGGAGATGACAAGAGGGAAGGGGAAGGATAAATCTATAATATAAATTCTAAATCTGACAAATGATTTTTAAAATAGAGGCTTTAAGCTTGAGAATAAAAAAAAATTTTTTTTAATGACCATTTTTGACAGAATTAAACGTATTTGAAGTTATACGAAAATTTGACATGAAATTACCTATGCGAAAATTTTGTTGAGTGTACATTTAAGAATGATATTAATGATTTTTAATAAATTTTTACAATATCTTTAAATTAATAATATATAACAAATAGTATATAATTATTTTTAATAATGAACAGAACCACTGACACATAATTTAATGCTAACACCTATTCCTATTAAATATTCAAATACTATATACACATATATATGTACACACACACACACACATTATGGGCGCGCGCGCGCGCGTGTATGTATAATATAATTTAATTATATCAATACTTTCATTCATAGATTTTTGAAAAGTTGCGAATATTGGATTTATTTGTAGTTCAAATTCAACACGAATCTCTTCATTTGGATACTAATTCCCTTATAAAACCTCTTATATCAGAAGTCAATAATCCTTCTGAAATAGATCCTTTTTCTCGTTTTATTAAAGGTAAATTTAAGTAACTATAATTATAGTAATTCATAAATTCGTGAACATAAATGTCATAAAAAAATAGAGAGAGAGAGAAAGCTGATTTTAAACAAATTTACAGCTTATTACAGTAAATTTATACATTAAGTTTGCTCTATAAAAAAAATATAATTATACAATTTTTTAAAATTAATTTTTTTTCTATTATATCGATTATGTTCACGAATATTTTGAAAACTGAAATTTATTTTAAATTTATTTTAAATATTTAACATCTTATTTTCCTGTTTTTATGATTTAAATCATAGCTCCTGTAATATTGCGCATGTTATACATGCTGTTGAATGATGCATTTCGAAAAGGCATCGAAAGATATGTTATAAACCAGTGAGTATTAATTATAATATAAAATAATGGTGTAAAAGAGGCAAAAAAGATAACACATAGAATGCACAATAATCACATTTTCTCTAATGCAATTCATTGCATCATTTTTATTGTCTCAATAATATAAAATTTTATAAACTTAGTCAATTTAGATCAGCAGTTCCCAATGATTTATGGATCGCTATACAAACTGAAATAACTTATTCATATGTGCATATTAGCCCGAGGGTAATTGATACACCGATAATTAATGTATCACTGATAATAGATGCTTGGACAAATCAAATGCATTATCCTATATTGAATGTAAAACGAGATTATTTTGATGCTAAAGAAGTGACAATATCGGTGGAAAATAATATATCAGAGCAAGATAATTGGTTTATATTTGTGACCATCACTACTGAAACTGAACACGATTTTACCAATTTTTTACGTGCCTATTGGATAAAACTTACACCGAAAAGTTATCCATATATCATACTTACTCAACAAAAAGAAAATGATTGGATAATAGTCAATTTACAACAAATAGGTAAATATTAATCGGATAATACCATCTATTTTATATAATCAAAGTTTTACATCAATTCACACATTTTTATTTGTATTATATATATATATATATATATATATATATATATACATATATATATAATATAAGAATACAAGCATATCACATATTTCATAATGACATTCGATAAAATATAGCATAGAAAATGTTTTACGTTTTATATTGCTATTTTGAGTTTATAGTAAATTCTTTCTTGCATATAATTGATCTATTTATTAGCATTTATGTAAAAAAAATTAATTTAATTATATGTGAAATTTTATTTACTCCTTCATACAACAATTAACTAGATAAAATAAATTTATAAATAATTCGTACAGATTACAATTTTTTCTGTAATAAAGATTACACGCTATGCGTGTAATCTATTGAAACTTTTGTATTCTTTAAAAAATAAAAGAAAAGAAAATACGTTTTCCCAGGAATTTTTTCTTATCAAAGAAAATAAATCTTATCAAAAGGATCTCATATAATTGGTAAAATTTATTTATTTTACGGTAGGATATTATCGCGTTAATTATGATCCTGAAAATTGGCACAAAATCGCGAATTATTTGAATTCTCGACAATATTCAAACATACATATTCTTAATCGTGCTCAAATCATCGATGATGCATTTCATCTTATGGAATCAGGCAAACTCCATTCTTCCATATTTTGGAAGCTCACAAGCTATCTAAAGCGAGAAAAAGATTACATAGCATGGTATCCTATGATCAAAGCTTTCGAATATATGTCGAGAATCTTTCTACTTACTTCATTCGGAAAAGTTACAGAAATTAAGGTAAATAGCAAAACAGATTTCTCTTTAACATAAAAAATGTTATGCATAAATTCATATAAAGCATAAAAATAACTTGAAAGAAAATGTAATATATCTCTGTCTACAAAAAAATCAGTTTCAGTTTTTACATAACTTCATATTTATATTAAAGATAGAATAATATTTTTTTATAAATAACAAAAAGTACTACTACAAAATTCAAAATATTATTTATTGATTTTGTAGAAAAATATGGGCAATATATTGTATACAGTTCTTCAAAAAATAGGATACGATGAAGTTTCTGTCGATAATGACTTTACTAAATGTTTAATACAAGAAGCTGCAAAGTGGGCATGTACTTTTGAGCTTCCGGATTGCATAAATACAGCCCATCATAAATTGACACATCACCTCAAAGATGATTTTGGAAAGAATGAGTAATTTTTTTTTATAAAATCATAATTCTTTCCATAATCACTCATTTTTCCTGTGAATATATACATATTGCAAATATATCTTAAAATTATTTTTAATTAAGAGAGAATTAAATAGAATAATTTTTTATAACGGATTTTTATTTATTTTTCTATATATTTTATGTTAGACTTATGCCATGGTGGAGAAAATGGACGTACTGTAAAGGTATGATGATAGCGAGCTTTGAGACTTGGTTAAAAACATTAAATTTATGGAAGAAGACACAAGATAATAAAATTTTGGACTATTTGACTTGTACTAACAATTTTGAAATAATCTTTTCATATTTATCGCGAACAATGAATGAACATGACTTCAAAAGTACCACAATATTATTTCAAGCAACCGAACATATTTCTATCTTTTTTTCTATTGTTGCTAAACATGCAAGGAATAATGAAATACTTGAATACATATTAAACAATTTTAAAGCAATTAAACCTAGGTAATGGTTTTTTTTTCATAAATGTGTTTATAATTACTGTAGCTATTTGTAACCACAAAGATTTACCACATGTAATAATGTTAATTATGAAATTGTTTTATTTGTGTAGAGAAACCAGTACAATTGCAGCATTAACTCATATTATAAATAATGTGTATACTAAGGAACAACTCGAAAAGGTAAATTACACCCAGATAATCTATATTTATTTATATTCTTTTAATCAAGCTGGTCTTTATCTTTGTACATACCATATATGTATTAACGTATGAAAGTTTATACCATGAAAAAAAGAATATTATATTAGAGTAGAGCCTTATTGTATTTATTAATTTGTTTATTATAATAAATGTTACTTTGATAACGCGACGACTTGAAATTATTATTACTATAATAGTAAATGTTAAAATAATACGTTTTAGATAAAGAAATTCGTGAACAAGAATGTAAACGAATTAAATTTGGATGTTCAACGCAAAACAGAAATACGCTGGTCTCAAATCATGCGTTTGATAAACTATCATTTAATTTTTTAAAATCTGACGATATCATAAAAATGGATAACCAATCGATGGGAGATAACTGCAATGCTCTCATTTATGACATAATTATATATATAATAAGTAAAATTCTATATTATTTTTTCTCTTATTTTTAATTCTCTTATTTCATATGATTTGTCTGCTATTAATTATTTTCTTTACTTTAATCATTTTTAATATCTTTGTAATATTATAATTATTGTATATTAATTTTAATATTACAACACATCACTAATTTGTGTAAAGTTACATAAAGTTTAATATTAATTATAAATTTTTCTTGTAACGTAAGTATTAATATTAATTTCAAATTTTAAATAACTGTAAAATATTAACATTTACATGTTGTTTTTAGATTCAAAGTTAATATTAACATTTATATTACAATTTCCATATTAAAATAAAGTAAAATATGATAGAGATTAAAAATTTTAATATGATATCTATCATATTAAAATAAAATTTTAATATAATAGATATCATATTAAAATAAATATTACTTCTTATATAAATTAGTAATATGTTATATTATTGTAATTAACATAATAATAAGAAATATATATATATATATATATATGTACAGAATTATATATTATAAATATTATTATAATATTATTATAATAATATATTATAAAATATTTTATATTATTATTAAAAAATTTTTTAATATTTGTATTCATATGTTTATTTTTATGTCAATATTTTTAATGATTGTTATATATATTTAAAACATATAATACATCTATATTTTTTCTTCAGTAAATGGAGATGTGTATGATATATAACTATAAGACTACGATAAGACTATACTGGAACTTTCTATTAATTTTATACAAAATAAATTGTATGAGAAACGAGAAATATTTGAAAAAAAAAAAATATTTTACAACAACCTATTTATATATGTTTTAACAACCTATATATATGTTAGTACCTTTCTAGAGATTAAGTATATAATGTATAATGTCCTAGTTAGATTAAGAATTATGTGAAAGTATTATAGTATTGATAATAAAAAGAAAAAAATTTTAATATATAAATTAATTTCTTATGGAAGATAGAAAATTATAATGGATAATATTGATAGTTCATGTACTATATGCACTGTTTAGAATTACTAATATTTTATTTGTTGTATACATTGATTTTATTTCAAGATTTAAAATCTATTAATATCACTACCAGCCTCGAATTGGACTTTGTGAAGCCGAGGTTACAATCCATGATTTGTAATCTCTCTTCTTAACTTTTACTTGTTTGTGCCTCGGATGTGTTTTACACATCACATACCACCTTTCTTGTCTGCATACAAAATAACAATCCTTGCAACGAAGTTGCAAGCGGCCTTTAGTTTTTAAGCCATATACTGAATTACATACAGGTAAAATTGGTTGCAGAAAAGAGGATATGCTATGATTGATACCGCTGTTAGGTGAATAATTTAATTTCTGCTTGTCGCATATATAGTGAATTCTATGAAACAATATATTTTGAGCAATTCCAGTTGTTAAAAATTTTGGAGCAATAGAATCAATTGCTTGATGCACTGATCTAAGAATTAGACCAACATTCATTTTTGCTGTAAAAAAAATAAAATATGTATTAATAAATGCAATTGTGGATCTTTTAATCATTTCTTATATCTCGAATAAGAAAAATAATACAAGTATATGTAAAGGAAATTGTTAATTTCTTGATAAGAATGGAAAATTCAATTAGAAAAAATTTACTAACCTAATTTTTTTTTCAATAATCCAAAATTTTAAACATAATGCAAATTAATTCTTTGCAATATTAAAAACTTTAAGCACTGAGAATTTAATTACTTATATCGATATATATATGTATATATACATTTATTTATGAAAAACAGTAGAAAAATAACGTATATCAAATTGACATTAATATTTACATTAGCGATATTTATATTAGTGTTTATTATGATTAAACTTACTTGTTAGAAAATAGCACACACAATTATCCGTATAAATTTATCACCTTCTAAAAATATGCAAGAATTAATAATTTTGCTCCATGTACAAAATTATGTCCGAGATTGCTTTTTGATTCTAAAAGGCTGACATCTCATGTGCAATAGTGGCATCAAGATACATATTCTGATTGGCTGACAGAAAAATGTCTATGATGCTGAGTCTATCTTTATTCAGTGTCTAAAGCGGCCTTTTCATTGACGCTACTTTTTAGCATCAATGAAATTGCACCTTAACAGTTGGCAGCCCTACGAGATAGGCTGTGCAGCACTGCGCGTATATAAAATAAATTTGAAATCGCTTCTAGCCTAACCATCTTCACGCGATCGACTTTATTTGAATTGCACGGCATCGCATCGAATTATGATGCGGCGCCGATTTGTTCGAACGTAATTCAGGACATCGCGATGCTGTATAAGCGTCGAATAAGCACGAATTGTTACGCAAATATGATAAATCACATCTACTCACCGTTTACCGGCTGTTCCACAGGCCGCTCCACTCGCTCGCCTCGGGACGTCCCATTCCGATCTTGATGCACACGATATCATCAACGCGAACGCGCGACACTTTATTCGGCACTCCCGATATTCGCTCGCATCCGATAATCATCATCAAGGGCACAAATAACGCGACGCGACTTCGCTCCATCTTCGCGATCGCGCTATCACTGAACTGTGAAAAATAGCTGTCGCGCACTTTCACCGACATATTATGAAAGTCGCGCGATCATCCTTGGACACTTTCGACGCTCTTTCACTCGCGATATTCGTTTAAAAACGGTTAAAAGACGCGAAAAATGCGGACGTACGACGATCCGTATAACTGCGTATGACTCCGATTCACGTATGACGCGTATGACGTAGCAGTCACGCGCCAACATGGCGGCCGAACCAGTGCGCAGAAACGAATGCGCAGTGGTTCGGCCGCCATGTTGGCGCGTGACTGCTACGTCATACGCGTCACTGCTACGTCATACGCGTCATACGTGAATCGGAGTCATACGCAGTTACACGGATCGTCGTACGTCCGCATTTTTCGCGTCTTTTAACCGTTTTTAAACGAATATCGCGAGTGAAAGAGCGTTGAAAGTGTCCAAGGATGATCGCGCGACTTTCATAATATGTCGGTGAAAGTGCGCGACAGCTATTTTTCACAGTTCAGTGATAGCGCGATCGCGAAGATGGAGCGAAGTCGCGTCGCGTTATTTGCGCCCTTGATGATGATTATCGGCTACAAGTGAATATCGGGAGTGCCGAATAAAGTGTCGCGCGTTCGCGTTGATGATATCGTGTGAGTTTGTGCGCATAAAGATCGGAATTGGACGTCCCGAGGCGAGCGAGTGGAGCGGCCTGTGGAACAGCTAGCCGGTGAACGGTGAGTAGATGTGATTTATCATATTTGAGTGACAATTCGTGCTCATTCGACACTTATACAGCATCGCGATGTCCCGAATTACGTTCGAACAAATCGGCGCCGCATCATAATTCGATGCGATGCCGTGCAATTCAAATAAAGTCGATCGCGTGAAGATGGTTAGGCTAGAAGCGATTTCAAATTTATTTTATATACGCGCAGTGCTGCACAGCCTATCTCGTAGGGCTGCCAACTGTTAAGGTGCGGCCTCATTGACGCTAAAAAGTAGCGTCAATGAAAAGGCCGCTTTTCACACTGAAAAAGTTGAAACTGTTTGAACTTTATTTTATTGACGCCATATCTAGTGAAAGTCTAGTGATTTTAATTTGCCGCTGGTTTCTAGCGTCAATGAAATTGCACCTTAAAGCGGCCTTTTCATTGACGCTACTTTTTAGCGTCAATGAAAAGGCCGCTTAATGGATAGAGGCAATGGCAGACGGGACAATCGGAAGGACAACTTAAGTAACGATTTTTAAAGGTTATTTCGCGTAGACTCCGGGTAGACTGCTGGTCAGGATAAACCTATTTCGAGCTGCGTCCATAAGATATCAACAACAAGATGTCCAGAAGAAATCCCGGGGACGATTATAGAAAAGGTTTTGTTTATTTTATCTATACGCGCTTCTCATTCAATCTAAATAACGTTCGTCATATCGTGAATATCTCATCGAAGATACCTGGACGATTATTTGTCGATATAATTGCTAGATTAATATACAATTCTGTATGAGATATTAAATGGTCGAAAATTAATTTTTTATTTACATAATATTTTCAAGAATAAGCAGAAACAAAAATTACACTCGGAATATGTTATCTTGATTATGCGTCTAATTTTTTAACAATGTTCCGTCATGACGGATGTATTTTGTACTAAAAATGCGATCATTATTGCTGTTCTTTAAACAAAAAATTTACTCAGTTTCTCTCTATGCATATCTAAATTAAAAAATATATTGTAACGTTGTATTTTACAAGAATATTTTACATTTTATGATTTTATCATATCTATGAATAACTTATTATTTAAAAAAAATTTAAATAATTAAAATTGTAAAACTAATTTCTAATTGTTAAATTTTTATAGGAGATGAATATTGTATTAAGCATAATCCGCTTAAAGATTTCCGGTTAAAAAGTCAACTTTGTTTAACTTGATCTGAACTTTGCCAGTGTTTGACGTTGTCAGGGTCAAGTGTCTACAGAGCCGAGGACAGGAGAGGAGATGACAGGGATAGGGACCGTTCGCCGCTCAGATCCGAGGAGCATTGCGACTCAGATGACTCCAATCAATCCGATGCTAAGAAACAAAAATTAACATTTGGCTTTGGAAAAAAGGCTGGCAATGAACAGAAGAAAGGAATTCAGATTAAATTAGGTTCTACTTCTGTAAGTGAAATATTTTCACAGATCGATATTCTATATACATATATTCTGTGATATAAAATCTTTTTTTTTCTTAAAAATTTCATTTTCTTTTATACAAAGTTTTCTTTTTTTAAATCAGAAACCATCTCCAAAAGCAACAACAGTACAAAAACCAACAGTGGCCTCGGTGTTTAATACGGATGAAGATGATGAACCAGAAGAGATGCCGGCGGAAGCAAGGATGAGGATGCGAAATATTGGTCGCGAAACACCAACATCAGCTGGGCCAAATTCATTTGGTAAAACGAAGCAAGGATTCTGCGATTCAAAAAAAATATTTGAGAAAACGCTGAAAAAGGCAATGGAAGAAGCAAACAAATGATTTTTTCATTGCCAAATATATCTAAAGGAATAATTACTTGTACATTAATTTTACATAATTACTACAAATTTCTTGCTAAAGTCAAATGTATGTATTTTTATGAAATGCAATTCATTGACAGAGCTCAATTTTAAAGTTTTGCTTCAAAACTTAGGAGGATATTATCAGCTGATCAATAGATCTATTATTTCTATGCACATTATGTACAATAAATCTATACATAAAATTTATGCATTCTGAAGGATCTAATAATTGTTTCTTCCTTTAATGGATTATCAAATGCTATATTAATTCATGATAAATAATATATATGTAAAATAATACATATGTAATTTCTCTTTTTTCTGGAAAATAAAATAATAAAAACAAAAATAAAAACATCATAGCTCTGTACTTTATATTATATGAATTTAATAATATTATGCTCTGTAATTTATATTATATGAATTAAATAAAAAATCTTAAATATTAGTTTTATGTATTTTTATTGTAATTTTAATTTTACATAATAAAATTATTTCCTGTTCTGCTGGCCTTGACGCAAATCCTGAAAACAGAATTTTTACATGTATATAAAATGTATTTACTTTATAATTGTACAATTATATGTTGAATAATCTCAAATTTTGATTTTTTTTATATCCTTCATATTAAATTACACTGTTACACATAATAAAACATTTAAAAACTGATATAAATAATAATTATATGCCAATCATTGCCAATATTTTAATCTCTTATTTTTAATTGCTAACAAAATATATTCATTTGTATTATATTAATAACTATTTGTATTTATAGTTACCCTGGGGAAATTGCGGACAGGAGGTGTTCTGATACGACGATCAGCCTTGGATCTATTACGCACCACTTTAGAGTGAATAGCGCAAGAGACACAATAGTGGAGCTTGGCGTATAATTTCGGCAGCTGATAGGACTGGTAAAAGCTAGCCTCTGTTATATCTCTAACAGCAGCAGCCTCGACAATATTTCTTATTACAAACTTTTTAATCGCTTTGTCCTTAGGAACGCAACGAGCACAGTTGGTGCAGCGAACTGGATTGACATGGCCACGACCATGCTTGGCACGTCCTCCATTCCTACGTTTGCAAGTCTACAAAAAACACAGAATTAAGTTAAGTATATATTAATGCACTTGTAAGATGTATTAAAAGTATATACAATAGCGCCAATTATATATATATATATATATATATATATATATATATATACATATATATGTGTGTGTAGCCAATATACACATGATTTAGATTATAATTTGCCCTCGAGTTTTCGTTTTGCAATAAATATCTAGTGTATCAATTTAAAAAAATTAACAACGATAAATAATATAAATTACCATTTTATATCGCGAGTTTTCTTTTTTTCTCTTCAAATTTCAATGAATTTCTACTAATGAGTAAAAATACCACGTTGCGTATCGAAAACTTCACAGAAAGAGGTTCGAAACGGAAACATACTATAATCATGAACTAATATAGAAGCGCAACTCTCATAGTTTTATGAAAACCTAATGACATCGAATCCATAACACTTCCGGTTGGACTTACGTTAAGCTCAATTTTCATCAAACAATATTATGACATTTATTTTTACATACGCATACAAAAATGAAATAAATAGATATTTCTCCTTAATTATCGACAAAAATAATTTTATCATCTCTAAAATAAAAATTTATAAAATTAATATTAAAGAGATTTTATTTACTTAATGAAAAAATAAAAGAATAGATTATTACTTAAAAAAAATAGTGATTCTTTCTAAATCTTACAAATCACATATTTATATTAAAAAAACAAAAAATAAAAATATTAATATAACTATATTGTGAAGTGTTATGTTACATGTCATGTGTTTATCTTATTTATGTCAGTGAAAAAAATAATGAATCTTATAATCTTATAATTAAACTTATTTTTTAGGTTGCAGTTTTATAATTGGTAAACATCTATTTATTTTTTCTAGAATATAGTAATTGTTTTTCTCAAAAATTGGAACATAGCACTCTGATTTTTTGCCACATAACTGACATATTTTATATATTTCACCTCCAATTTTATTAAATACTTCTACTTTTGTCTCCATGATTAATCTTTAACAAAGGTCTGCAAACTTTCTGTATTCAGATAAGATAAATTATATTAAAAAATAAATACATACACTATTAGAAGTCAATCTTCTTTATTTCTATAAATCATGTTAAATGTATACTATACAATACATATAAAAATATAACTGTAAAATTTATAAAAGTTTTGCATGTAAGTTTAGTCAAAATTCATATTATTGCGTCGCTCTATATCCCTAATTTCTAACATATCTGTTTTGAGATGCAGTTTCATAATTTCTCTCCATATGTCCATCCTGTGCTGTTCATTATCGACACCAAGCCGCAGCAAAATATTTTCGTTTATTCTTAACAATACTCTTCCTGTAATGTCATGCTTAAAAAAAGAGATAGAAACTGTTTTTATTTTTCAATTTATTTCTAAATGCATTTTGGATAAGAAATTATTAAAAAATCTCGATCATATTTTATAATAAATAATATAATTTTATAATAAATATAAATGCATTTATTAGAGAAGAAAGTGAAATTTGAAAGAAATTTATGGATTGAACGAGCAGATTTGACAAAAAGTGCTCACATGCAGAAACTTTTCGTGGTACAGCTGATAATAATCACTGCAATGTCGTCTCAACCACTTTTGTACATCTAATACATTCCACAAGTACACTGGACGAGGTCGAGCTGTTTTGTTCTGCAACATGATAAATAATTTATGTTTTAGAAGAAAATTTTATTTCACAATTTTACTTTGCATTTTATGTAAAAAGCTTAGCAACAGGTATATCATCGTCAGATATTCTTACTTTCGGTTTATTGTTAGAATTAATGATTTCCTCTACCATACTCCTAATTTTCGACACTGAAGGAAAATATATCGTAATAAGAAGTAACAATAAACAGTATCAATATCATAGCAAAGCAAAATATCGCATCATGATTCATAGACGTATACTGTATATGATCAATTCAACGAATGACAGATCTATATTTTTCTCTCGAGGTTCCTAGGGAATATTCGCGTCATCGACCGCCGCAATTGGTGGCATTGAATACAACGGAGCTGTTTGAAAGAGACGTGCGTTGTGCGAGCGAATTCGCGTGCGATGACCGTTGTGGATGGAGTGAACGTACAAATAGTCGAACGAGATTAGTGGCGATCATTAATACGCGACGAGAGAGCGAAGGCGCCTGAACCGGCCGGTATCCAGCCAGCTGACAGCATGTTTCGCTCGAAGAAGGACGTCGATCGTCACGTCCAAAATGTCTTCAGCAAGCTACGGAACGAAAACGAGGTGAGGTTACTTGATCGGTGCGCGAAATTCTACTTTTTTTTGCTCCTCTTCCTCTCTTATTTTTGCACGGTTAACGAACGAGGGTTCCGTATCGTTTTTATGACGATAATAACGACTGGCTACATTGATCTGAAACGCGTTATCGATAGCCAACCTCACGCAATATCGTCCCGGCAGATATGATGCATCGGAGACCTTGAATCGTCAAAGCCAGACACGCAACGTACGATGATGGCGAATTTTCGCGGGAAATCGTCGTCACGATAATAACCCCTCTCAATGTCTATTTGTGGTAGATTTATTCTTCGTGGAAATCTTGAATTTCGAGTGGTTTTTTTTTATAGTTGAGAAGACAAATGTATTTATATTTATTTAAGGCAGTCACATTAGACATCATATGACATATACATGTATACTACATATGGCTCGTAAGGGCGACGTTTGCCCGATTGCCATCTTTTAAATTGGTTTCAAATATTCACGATGAAAATATAATTTCGAAATTCTGAATTTCTGATGCAAGATTTTTTGTTCTTTTTCAGGAAATTAATTAGTAGATAAATTAATTAGTAAATTAGTAAATTAATTAGTAGATAATAGTAGATATTTAGTTTTTATTTAGAGTTTTCATTACTTTTTCTTAATTTATTTTAAAGATAAAAATTACTGAAAAAATTGCATTTTATTATGATATTAAATAAAATATAATTATTTAATATCATAATAAAAAATCTATCTGAAAAATTGTGAATATTTCAAATATAATTTATTATTATAAAAAGATTATGTTAAGTATATTATATCTTTAAATATCTTTAAACTTTTAATTTATTTCTGAATTTGTATGTGGATGAATTAAAATCTAATATCTAATATCTCTCTTTAATTTAAATTTAATATCTAATATTGCTCTTTAATTTTGTTTACAGAAAGATCTTCGTTGTTATAATGTTGCCAAACTGTATTATCAAGTAGGTGATTATGAATCCACAAAAAGATACGTATCTAATTATTTAGGAGTACGAGATGGTTCAGCTAGTGCACACAAGTTGTTAGGTCAAGCATATGAGGCTCTTGGCCAAAAGGAAGCAGCTTTTAATGAGTATAAAATTTCTCTTGAACTTGAAGGCAGACAGGATGATCTTGTCTTAAAAGGTAAGAAATTAATATCTGTAAATATTACTCTTATAACTTTAAATATTTTTGCAACAGTGTATAATAGATTCATTATATAACTTTTTTTCTTAATTTTATAGTATGTGAATTATTGGCTGACTTGGATATAGGAATGGATGTTAATAAAGTAGAATATTGGGTAGATAGAGCTGATAGACAATTTCCACATCATCCAGTAGTTTTTCAATTGAAAGAGAAATTGTTGACTATAAAGAGACCAAACAATAGCACTGAGGATTTCGAAAAACTCATTAAATGTAAATAAATATCATTTATTTGAATAATAAAGATTGATTACTGATAGAAAACTAATATATATAAATAATTTTTTAGCTGAATTGATTGCAAGACCAAATGATGTCCAGCTTCCCATAAAATTGTTAAATCATTATATGTTGGAGCGCAAATTTGATAAAGCTTATGAATATGCCGTTAGTGTGGAAGCTGATGTTCGTCATAGAAACAGCATTGTGTGGTATCAGCTACTATACGAGTTATTAACAAAATGTAAAGAGACTAAATCTTTTGATTGGTCCTTCTGGTTTCTTTATATATCTGTATCAGATAGATATGCAGCACTATGTCTTAAAGAACAAGGCAGTGATATAAAGAAAAGCATTTCAGAAGCAACACAAGCAGTATTCAAGTATGTATATTTAATAATATATAGTTTAAGTTAAACTGTATATTATATAATTTGAAAAGTGGTAGAATAATAATGAGAAAACTAAAGCTGATAGAAAATTAATTTGTAACAAAATATGGGAATTGCATAAATAATATATATTCTTTATATATATTTATTTTGGTGATGCTTATAAAATAAAAATTATTTCAGTTTTGATCAAAACCTATATGAGATGGAGCTAAAGAACTTTTCTAAGCAGCATGCCTTTACGGAGCACTTGTTTACGCATATGTGGGGTCAATTACATTTCCATTTGGCGTGTTTATTACTGCGCAAAACGAAACGCGAACAAGGTAGCTGGAGCGAAGCGGGAAGATTATGTGCGCCTCTGTTATTAATCGCTTTACATATGACTCCACTGGAAATGCGTACGAGTATACATCTCGAAGATGACGCATCTAAAAATCAATTAAATATATGGATTAAAGAAGCCGCATATCGATGCTGTCAAGCTGGTATGTAAGAGACGTCTCGCAAACTTTTTAAATATTAAATATCTTTGCTAATACGTTCCTTTCTTTTTAGGTTACATTCTTCAAAATTATGCCAGAGATGATACAAAGAAGCTATTGGATAGAATTGATAAATTTTGTACAGGACTCTGGAGAGAGCGTATCTATCAGGTATAAATCTAATTAAATTATATGCGAATTTTTTCTAATTAGATATATACTATCTTAAACGTATTTTTGTATTTTTTTAGAGAATTTTCGTAACCAGAACACATCTTGATCATATGCAGAGTTCATTTTTTTGCAACTATTCAGCTTCTGACCCACCTTTACGTTTTTGCACTGCAAGTCAACTAAGACATTACAGTCAAAGTATGTATAATAATTTCTTTAAATATACCAAAATTTTAACAATGCAGATTTGTAGTATAATTATAATAATATAAGTGTAGTATAATTATATTATCTATTATTTATTATTATAATATATGTACGAGAATATGTATAATGATACATATACACATTTAAATTACATATTTGTTCTAAGACTTCTGTAATAATAATAAATTATATTCAAAGTTATAATTTTAAATTCAATTTGAGCAATAGTTTTTAATCATAAATCATTAAATAAAATAATTTAAAACAATCTTAAAATATAATAAACTCATGATTGATTGTTTACAGTCGCACAAGAAGTATGGCCGTCTTCTTTGCATCATCAAATCTGGTTCGGAATGGAGAATCGACCTCAGCACAAAGACGCTCCATATCCAGATCAATATTCGCGTGTATTTCCATCACTACAATTTTCAGTATTCAATACAAATCAGGCAGCACCTGATACTCTATGTCTCCTCGATATCGACGCATTTCTCAATGCAGCAATACTCTGCTCATCTGCCGTTCTGGAGGAACAACAACTTGGTAGTTTCATAAATCCTGAGAGATTGCCGACATTGCCGGTCGATTTGACCGCAACGTTATCTACCAGCAATCAAGAAAAATGGTGGTCCGCGGCATATAAAATGTGCTCTAAACGTCAAGATGTAGACAGCGATATCGGCGAACTGCGGCAAGAATTGCAGCAGGGTTTGGAAGTCGTTCGTTGCATTGGCAATCACGGTATGCATCCGGTGTTGTTGGTGCATCTGGCACGCATGTTTCACTATCGCGCTAAGATGATGAAAGAGAAAGATGCGGAGAATGGCTACATTCCTAGATGGGAAACACGTTCCGAGCTATACTGGACCGCTGTTATACCGCTGTTGGAGAGATTGCAGAATAATCAAACTTTACGTATGTCATCGTCGAAGCTGTTTAACTATCAGGGCAAAGAGATGAATAACTTTGAATTAACAAATGCCCTCGAAGAAGGCAAATTGTTGCTGGCACAGCGGCTCGTGCGCGACAAGCAATACGAGCAGGCAATCGACGCTCTTCAGGCGCTGAAATGTCCGGAGGCATCGTTCCAGCAAGCACAAATCTACAAAATGTTCGCGGACGAGATAGTAAATTCTACGCCTCGTGAAAGTCTAACATCAGAAATGCGATCGCAACACGTCATAATGTTAACGAAAGCAAGAAACTGCTTCTATCTCACATTGGACCGGCTTCGTAGTCCTGGCACGAATCCCAAGCATCCGCTGAATGCTGAGCTTGGTACTCATATCACCGATATCGAAAACGAGTTAAAAAGGATAGATCCAGATCTGGGAAGAGGCGATTTGAGTAGAAATGATATCGATAATATATCCGACGAGAGTTATTCGCCCACTCATAGCGCCGTAGATCACGCAGTCACAAATCCAACATTACTAACTACATTACCAGTCGGAAATAATTCGAATATGTTGAGCACTCCTCAAAGGAATGCTCATCGTACGCCACGTCATGCCAGTACACCATGTAGACTGCAATACCAAGATTACTTGAATCTATCGAAGAATCGTACGGAAGCACGTCCAAGTCCGGAGCGTCTTGATGCTCAGATACGTCAAATCATACAATCCCGGGATAATGAGATGCAGGAGCTGATGGAACAAATGAAGAACATGACGATACAAATAAAGACGTTAAATGAGAAAGTGGAAACTCTAACGAAAGAGGTGGTAGAATCGCGTAAAGAAAATCAGAAGCAACAACAGCAGCAGCAGCAGCAGCGTGTACAGCAACAGAACGTCAATCCCGCCGTCGATCCCGATGATTTCTACGTCCTCGACGATGACGAGTACGCCGATTTGAGTTACCAGAATCAACCAACCGGACCGGCGTCTTCGATTTCCGGAAACATATTCGCATCCCAGCACGCTCGGCATCCTTATTCGTCGCTAGTATATCCTTCCGCGGCTGCCGCCGCCGCTTTCCAAGGATGGAATTATCAGAGTGGAATACCATTTACCGATCCGAATGCTCAAGCGGCTATATCATCCTTATATCCACATACTGTTTATCCAATGCCAGTGCTGTATCCCAATCAATCAAAAGTCCCGGATAATCCGTTGCAGCAAGGTCTTTTCGCGTCGACACTTTCTTCGCAACTGCCCGATCTTATGCCGGCAGCAGCCGCGACGAATCCGTCATTGCAGATGCAACCGCTGCAACAGAAAATCGAGACTCCGCGGACGAAACCTGAGACGACGATAACAACAACGACAACAATCATCAAAGATGCACCAGTAAACAAGGCACCACCTGTGAACGTGGTTATCACAACATCTGATACACTACCGACCACAGTGCCATCCATTCAACCGACCTTAAGCGTCACGATACCACCGCAGTATCGATTGGGAGGAGGAGCAGTTGTCACTTTTTCCACGCCTATAACGACAGCAATTACGGTAACGATAGCTACAGCGTCAACGACAATGACGACGAAATCGTCATCGTCATCGAACGCACCACACTGTTACCAGATTGCCATGCCTTCGCAGGCCACTATACCAACTACTGTCAATTTACCGCCGACTACTATCTATGTAACACCAACTAACATCAACATATCACCAATGTACGCTAATTTGACAACATCCAGTACGCCATCTACGGTCACAACCAATACAACTTTCAGCAATACTTTGTTAAATACTTTGTTAAATGCTCAGAATAATGCTACTAATATTAAGACACTTGACAAAGCAGATAATATCGCCAAGCCTATCTACGAACCAATTGAATCGCCAAACACATCCGCGGAAATATCCGAACAGGAACACGATCCGATACCAGACTTCGTGCCGGTCATACCATTGCCCGCAAAAGTGAAAGTTACTACCGGTGAAGAGGACGAGGATACATTATATTGCAGTCGGGCCAAGTTGTTCCGTTTTGTCGATAAGGAATGGAAGGAGCGTGGCGTCGGTTATGTAAAACTGCTACGCAATCTAGAGGGTAAGGTACGCTTGCTGATGCGTCGCGATCAAATTCTAAAGATTTGTGCGAACCACATGCTGAGACCAGATATGGAATTGACTCCCATGTCAAACAACAACAAGGCCTTGTTTTGGGTAGCTAATGACTTTGCCGACGAAGAAGTAAAGCTGGAGAAACTTTGTATCAAGTTCAAGACTGCTGAAGAAGCGATGGCATTCAAGGAGGCCTTTGATCAAGCGAAATTCAGCTTGATTGCAACATCTTCGGAAAAAATCGCTGATAAAACTTCCTCCAATGATTTGTCCCAGATTCACAAAGCACAACTACAACCAGCTAAGATAATTCCAACAACAGAAGCAGCATCGGACAAATCAAAATCAGGCACGACAACGCTAGGAGGATTTTCTTTCAGTTCAAAACCCATCATTCAGGAAGTTAAAGATGCCGAGGTAATTGACTCTAAGAAATCTGAAGAAGCGCCGAAAGTCAGTCCGTTCAGCGGATTTACGTTCAAGTCACATAATAAATCTGAAATCGCAAAAATCACAACAACCGTAACGAGCACCTCGACGCAATCGGCAAAATTTCTTTTCTCAACTTCAGCATCGATTTCGCAGTCCTCTGATTTGAGTTTAACGCCCAACGCATCACCGATATTTACCTCACCCGCAACGTCTGGTCAGAATTCCACGGCATTGAGGAGACCTCGTTTGCCACCACCTGGCGCTATAAAATCGGGAATCAACGAAGAAATACAGCCGCAGTCTGAAAATGAATGGAAATTATTTAATGGAACAGCAAGTCTTCAATGTCAATGTAGCAGCAACAGCAAGTGGAAAAATAAAGGTACAGGGCCAATAATACTATTATTGGACACGAAATCCGGTAAGATTCGTTTGTTATTGACGGACGACAAAAGCTCCAAGGTTTATGGTCATGGAATACCCCTGGATATGGCATTTACATATAAGAACGGTACTACAGTTGTTAATTGGACCGTTCCGGGAGATATCAAGGAACCTGGTAAAACTTGGTCATTACACGCCGCAACCTTCAACACTTCGGAATTAGCTTCACAGTTCTATAATATTATATCGAGCTGTCAGCAAAAGCTAGCCAAGGGCTGCAATCCGAATGAAGTTGCGAAGGAACTTGAGAAGAAAGCATCGTCGAGCGACAACAAGGATCAAAATGTACAGGTAAAGCCTCACTCCGCATCATTGTTGTCACAATTATTCAAGCCGCCAGTTGGTTCCTGGGAATGCAGCAGCTGTTATATTAGAAACAAAGCTACAGATATGAAGTGCGTAGCTTGCAACGCTCTGTCGCCATCTTCGACAGCGAGTCACAAGAGCAGCTCTACAATCGCTAATAGCAAGCCTATCGATTCCGACAAACTGCCATTGGCAGAATTGTTTAAATCGCCCTCCGGTTCCTGGACCTGTCCGAACTGCCATATCACCAATTTCAGCACAAACATCTATTGCGTTGCCTGTGATAAGCCTAAGGATCCGTCACAACCGCCCAAGCCGCAGCAGACCAACATCTTCCAAGTGTCTTCTTCCAACGCATCGCCGCCTAAAACCAAGTTCTCTTTTGGTATTCCTAAGGACGCCGCCAAGGAGGCTACTGATACCGGTTTCAGTTTTCGGATGTTGAAAACAGAGGATAATAAAAGCGCGGTTGATAGTACGAAAACGGCTAACTTCGTGTTTGGAATGCCTGTGAAAACCACTACTAACTCGGGTGACTCGCCATTTACTTTCGGTTCTCCCACCAAGTCGTTCGGCTTTAACTTTGCGGCCAAATCGCCTGCTAAATCACCTGGCGGTGCCGGTGGCGAGACCAGTGAGGATGAGGTAGTAGAAAGTGATGACGTTCATTTCTCGCCAGTTATACCATTACCGGACAAAATCGAGGTGAAAACCGGCGAAGAGAACGAGGAGGTGCTCTACAGTCATCGGGCGAAGCTGTTTAGATTTGACACTACGGTGAAGGAATGGAAAGAACGTGGATTAGGTGACATTAAGTTGCTGCGTCACAAGGAGACTGGTAAACTGCGGTTGATCATGCGACGGGACCACGTGTTGAAACTGTGCCTAAATCATCATTTGTCCGGCGAATTAGAGTTCACACCGAAGGACGAGAAAACATGGCTGTGGACTACGGCAGATTATAGCGATGGCGAGATCGAATATATGCAGTTTGCTTGTCGTTTCAAAACATCTGAAATCGCGACGAATTTCAAAAAGGTAATTGATGATGCTAGAAAGAACGTTATATCTAACTTATCATTAACTAGCAGCAAAAGCGAAAAAGTGGATAAATCTGCAACAATAAAAACACCGACACAGACAAATTGCTTACCAGTCGAAGAAGTCGAAATCATCTACGAGACCAAAGTCACTTCAGAAGAGAAAGCGGCTGCCTTAGAATTACAATTACCAGAGAACTTTTATGCTTATAAACAAAAGGAAGATTGTCCCGGCTGCAGAGGCTGTAGAAAACCGAGTATAGTATTATACCCGGATGTCGCTACAACACAAGATTCAACGAGTTGGAAGCCCACATCGGAAGAGAAGACGATAATTTTACCGAAACTCGCTCCAAGTGTGTCGGGCGACTCTAAAAGTATTGATACTACTCAAAATGCAACGCAGCCTACATCTGTAAAAAATGGATTTTCTTTCACGACACTTACTCCAACAACGTTCATGTCACCTTCGACCACATCGAGCATTTTTGACAGTTCCGCAATGAGCTTTGGTACTGGCGATCTAAAGCTGTTTAACGATAAAAAAACTACAACTTTCTCATTTGGCATGAATTTGCAGTTCAGCAACAGCGAAACCGCGACAAGTACTTCGCTTGAGAATGTCAAGATCTGCAGTCCTTCCAATGTTGAAACCGCGCAAACAACTACTTCTAATACAGCTGTTCAATCGATATTTGGCCAAACGACATCGACCGCGTCCATTTTTAAAACGCCTACTTTCAACTTAGATACTGGCAAAAATATTTTCGGTAGCGCCACGAATGCGACTTTGTCGAAAACGTCTATATTCGGAGGGAACAGCGATGGTAACTCCTTCAATGCCGCGAAGACAACTTCCACTGCCGCTACTACGACGAATTCCATTCCGAAGACATCATCATCGACCATAACTACCACTATGGGAACTGGTTCTTCGTTTGGAACTGGTCTGTTCGGTTCGGCAATCACACAGCCAACTACCAAAGCGAACGACACTATCACCGCCGCCACATCAGCAGTTAATCTGTCGAATAACTCGGTGTTCAATACTAACACTACTTTTTCTAAGATGACATTTGGTGCTTCATCATTCGGTAATTCTACAATGACGACAAGCATTTTTAATACAACACCGGCAATGATGACGAACCTCTTCAATTCACCACCATCAACGATGGCGACGAACATCTTTAATGCACCACCGGCAACGATGACGACGAATATCTTTAGTACATCACCGGCAACGACAACATCAAATGTTTTCGAAACAAAACAGTCAGATAATACCCAAAAGAATGATGACGGCCCTTTCTTCTCCAAGAACACCGTATCGTTTACGGCACTTGCTTCGGCGGCGGCAAAACCGGAAGCCTTCAAAGTTGGTACGTTATAAAATCACACAACAAAATCATTAATTATTTGCTATTCAAATACATTGATATTGATATTAATTAAAATTGTTTGTTAATGAAAATTTGTCGTTTTTACTTCATTAAAAACGTTATCAATCATTTTTACTCTTTTTATTCAATTGTATAACGTCAAATTTATTATGATTTAGTATGAAAATTTTGAATTGGTACTTCTTTCAGATCCTAACTTTTCATTCGCCGGTGCGGGATCAGCGGTATTTGGTTCGAAATCTACCACATCGTCATCACTGAATAGCTCAGCATCTGTTCAGAATAAATCGCAAGATTCCACGCAAAAAGAGGATAATGAAGAGGATGATGGTGAAGTGGATAACGAACAGGAGCACGATCCTCATTTTGAACCTATTGTACCTTTACCAGATGCCATTGAAGTACGAACTGGCGAAGAAGATGAAGAGAAAGGTATATTGCATTAAACATATATTTTTAAATATATGTATATATATTTTATTTGAAAAATTTTTATATCTGTTGATAAATATCAAATCATCTAACCGAATACTGACTTACCGAATATATTCTTATCAAGCCAAAGTTATTTGTAGTTTGTATTGTATATACGCTTCTACGCCATTATTTTTCCTTAACTAAGAAAATTTAATTTATCAAAAAAATAAATATGTTAATTATAAGGTCAAAAATTTGTTAATTAGTAATAATATGAGAGAGATAGAGAGAATAATAAAACTATATTTGCTTAAGAGTGTTATTCACAAGTAATAGAATTAATTAATATTACAATAGCATCATTTAATTCTAAGATATGATATAATTTAAATTGTGTTTACAGTGTTCTGCAATAGAGCCAAGTTATATAGATACGATAACGCTACGAAGGAATGGAAGGAGCGCGGTGTGGGTGAAATGAAAATTCTGTATCATGCGGGTCACGGCAGCTACCGGTTACTGTTACGTCGTGAACAAGTTCACAAGGTCGTTTGTAACTTTCTCGTCACTCCCGACGTGGAGTTTCGTCCACTCTCCACATCGCATCAGGCTTGGATGTGGGCCGGCATGAATTATGCTGAGCAAGAACCCTGCGCTGAGCAATTAGCGGTTAAATTTAAATCGCCCGATTTGGCTCAGCAATTTAAGGCACATATTGATAAGATTCAACAAGAATTACATGAAAAGAAAAATACTCAAGGTAATAATAATCTATGATTTCTTTTTTACACGTTAAATGGGTTTAATAGTTGTTTCTTTATAAATATTTTCTATAATATGATCGTTTGCTTGCAATGATATACACACATATGTGTGTGCGTGTGTGTGTGTTCTTATTTAAAATTTGTTTTAAGAATAATATTTATATATAAATTATATAAATACACTTTTTTATGTTGATTTATATCTGCATAGGTGAAAGGTGTGTCGGCGAAGTGGAAGAGAGTGAAGAACACGATCGAAATGACGCGAATGAAGCAGAAGATGACGAAGAGGAAGACGAAGAAGATGATCAGGAAATGATACTCATAATTGAGAAACGTGCCACTGTATTTGCAAGATGGCCGAATGAAACTAAATGGGAAATAGTAGGCTTAGGAAATCTGGCGATTCATTATGATTCCGAAATTTACGCGGAAAGAATCTTGCTGAAGCTCGACGACTCGGAAGAGTATGCAAGTAATACTATCATTAGCATGGATTCAGAGATGCAGGTAATAATTGTATTTACAAACGAGTAATATATTGTAAGTCTGTTTTTTCTTCTGCTAATTTTATATGATAAAGTCATAACATGCAAATCAATTTAAACAATGATGTTTCTAAATTTTAATGCAAATAAGAGTCTTTCTTTTCCTGCAATGATAGATGAAAGAAAGAAAGAAATATTTTAAATCTAAATATTAAATATCTTTGAAAATAGACGCGATTTAAGTAATTTTTTATGAAAAAATATGTGAAGTAAATAATTTAAATTATATTTGGCTTAATTTGAAGATTTATATCTCGTATTTTTCTGAATTTGAATGCATTATGTTTTAATATAAATTAACTATCGAGAAAATTATATATAATATATATAATTATATATATGTATATATATATGTATATATATATATACATATATATATATATATATATATATATATATGTATGTATGTATGTGTATATATATATATATATATATATATATATATATATAATTTTCTTGATAATTAATTAAATTTTTTATGTATTATTATATCTTTTTTTTCTTTTACTTATTAATCTTGCATTATCACAAAGGTGGAAGGCAAAGAATGTATTTGGAGTGGGATCGATTACGCTTTAGATCCTCCAGTGAGAAGAGTTCTAAAAGCAGTCTTCTCATCGATACAAGCAGCACAAGAAATACATACGTTTTTCGAAGATGTAAGTAAAATTTCGCTTCACGAAAATATTTTTATCATATATGTGTGTGTGTATACACACACACATACACATGTACATGTATATTAAGATTGAAAATATATGAAAAATGTAAGATGATATTACTTCGTAGGGAGTGGAGAGCGCGAAGCAAGTCGGTGTCGCCGAATATCAAGAAGAAGATTTAGGATCTTGAGCTAATATAAGTAGTTGATAATTGAGAGACAACAGGCATATTGTTATTATATATAATTATCTTCCTATTATAATATAAATGTAAACATGCTGTTTCTTGTCGTTCCTCCTAAGTTATAATGATAAGTAAAAAAAACACACATGCTAGAGTTTTACGTACAGCTTCGTCTTTCTTTTTTTTTTAGAATCAAGACAGGGATTTGACAAATACAATAATTATCTGTATACGCATGTGGAGAAGTGCAAATTCTCGTAGTAATAATTTATATGCTACGAAAAAATTTTTATTTATAACAAGAAATAGAAAAGAGACTACATCACATATTTAATATGTTTATTCTTTATACTAATCTATATAAATCTTTGAGTTATTTTTTGTTGGTTTTTTCTTTTTGATGAAATGTGCCAAAACGAAACGTTTTTGTGAATGAAAGCACTTAATTATATTGAACTATATTAAAACTATCAGTAATTCTATCTCAAAAGTATATATTTTTAAATAATTTCTAAAAATGGTATCAGCAACAAATACATATTAAATGCTCACGATAAAATAATAGCACATGGATTATTGTTTACTAATTGATTATAATGATCACATTAAGTCGTAAAAATTTCGAAGTTTATATCAAAGTTTGATTAGATTGCAAAATAATTACATCACCAAAATTAATAATTATTGTAAATATTAAGTCTTATGGTTATATATTTAGTAATAAGATGTAATATTATCTTTCTTGGACTGAAATAGAAATTGTTAAATAAATATCTAATATAGTATACAATACAATATATAATGCGTACAATGTAAAATATTGATTAAAATATTTCTTCTAAAAATTGTATTTGTTTAACAGGTAAGTAATGTGTATCATCCTCTCGCAATTAAAAATTTATTAATATATATTGGAGATATAAAATTGCTGAAAGATTTTGATTAAATCAAATCTACATACATCTATCATTAAAAAAGTTTGTAATTGCAACAAAAACTATGTAAAAAGAGGAGCAACTTGTAGTAAAATATAAGCAAATCACATAAAATTCAATATTTGAAGTGTGTGATATGATAAGATCTTGTAACTACATTTTTAATATTTATAGTCTAATTATGTTTATGACAAAAGATAATAGATGAATGTTGTGAAAAAGAACTGGAATATTGTAGTGTTAGTTATTTACAACCATTATCAACATATATACAAGGTGTCTGAATAAATCATAGTACAATAAAGGAGGAGACAATACGAATTAAAAGGAATAACGTAAAAAAAAAATATTGAATCAGTTATTGAATTGCATAGTTTAGGAAAAGTATTTTTAATATAAAAGTAGCATGTATATAATTGTGCATTTCATTGTCATGATTTATCGAATGCCATTTAATTTTTTACATGCATATAAAATATATGTACATATCTACGAGATGATAAAGAAACAAAAAAAACGTCCGTGGAAATGTCAAAGTCTAACATGGCAATTCGCCCCCTTCCCGATCATCCATGATGTAGCACATATGTTTCGATAAACACCAGCTGACTAATATATACGGAATATACGGATGGACTTTAATCTTGTACGAGTGAATATATTATTGTTTTCATAAAATTTCCGTTAAACAGTTCCAAGAGTGTTTCGTCAACCTAACGATATCGCATTCTAGATTCTAGAGATCCGTAAAGAAACGAAAATATCTTGCCACGATGTCCGTCTTAACAAAAGGTATATGCAAATCGAGAGAAAAAATATTTTTTATTTTAATTTATAATATATATGTATATCGATAGCACGAGAGAAAGAGTTTTCTTGCAAAGAATCGCGAGATTTAAGCATGCGCAATTTAGAAATAGAATTGTCTTTTAAAGCTGCATTTGTTTTCACTGTGTATTATTTAAAAACAAATTAATTCATGTTTTAAACATATAGAGTAGTATCTATACATACATATCATTTCATATTTTAAACATATAGAGTAGTATCTATACATACATATCTCTATTTATTTTGATTGCATGCCCTAATTTTTTAAAAAGAAAAAAGATATGTATATAAGTTTTGCTCTTTTTTAAATTATTAAGATATTGAAATTTTTTACAGGTGTTTTTATTGTTGCTGCAAAGCGCACCCCATTTGGTACAATGGGTGGCATATTTGTGAATAAAAGTGCAACTGACTTGTCAATTGTTGCTTCAACTGCTGCAATTCAAGCGGCAGGTCTAAAACCAGAGAAGATAGACAGTGTTATATTTGGACATGTCATGACAGTAAGTATATTACATTATAACAATTGATAATTATGAATGCTTTTGCAATTATTATAAATTGGATATATCTTCGTTTTTGTTGCAGTCATCATCTTCTGATGGGAATTTTTTAGCAAGGCATGTTTTATTAAAATCAGAAATTCCATTACAAAAACCAGCATTTGGTGTAAATAGATTATGTGGTTCTGGTTTTCAATCAATTGTTAGTGGAGCTCAGGTTGGTTTAGAACACAACTTTTAAAATATTATTTAATTTGTGAAAATAGTACACGCACAACGTTATTATAATATAAAGAGAAAGATTTTAAAGAGAAATTTATATATAATACCAAAAATATATAAAATATATAAAATAATTATTGCATTTATAAATATTAATTATAAATATATATCTAAGAAAATACACGGAAATTAAAGTTATTATAGCAGCATGTATAATTTTTTACAGAACATTTTAACAGGAGAGTCAAAAATTGTTTTAACGGGTGGTGCAGAAAACATGAGTCAAGCTCCCTTTGTTGTGAGAAACATTCGTTATGGAACTGTTTTGGGTCAAAAACATGATTTTGAAGATTCACTCTGGCTTGGATTACTTGATACCTATTGCAATTTGCCAATGGGTATAACTGCAGAAAAACTAGGTGCTCAATATAATTTAAAGAGAGAGGAAGTTGACCAGTTTGCCTTAAGTAGTCAACAGCGCTGGAAAGCTGGTAAATATCAATAATATCCTATTTATTAATATGAATAGTTTTATTTATTATATCTATTAAATTAAATAAATAGAATGAAATCAGATTTATTATTAAATTTATCTTTTTTTTTAATAAAAGCTTCTAAAATTTCTCTAATTTAAAAGTGTCTAATAAAAAAATTAATATTACAGCTAATGATGCGGGTCGTTTTAATGAAGAAATAGCTCCTGTACAGGTAAAAATTAAGAAACAGGATACAGTTGTCAATGTGGATGAGCATCCGCGTCCACAAACAACAATAGAAACCCTTGCTAAACTAAAACCAGTTTTCCAAAAAGATGGATTAGTAACAGCTGGTTCTGCATCGGTAATGCTGCTTTTTCTTTTAATTCATATATATAGCAATATTTGTGTATATTGTATTCTTTTAAATTTTTATTATTTTAATTACATTCTTTTTTTGCTTCAGGGAATCTGCGATGGTGCTGGTGCTATTATTTTAGCAAGCGAAGAAGCAATCAAGACAGAAGGCTTGAAACCATTGGCGCGTTTGATTGGATATAGCATTATTGGGGTAGAACCAAGTATTATGGGAATTGGTCCCGCACCAGCAATCAAGAACTTGCTTAATCTTACGGGCAAAACACTTGATGACATAGAACTGGTTGAGGTGAAATTTTTAATTTCAATTTTGTTTTAAATTTTTTTAATAAAAGTGCAAAAATAAATAGCGTGAAAAATAATATACGATATAGTAGATTAAGATTCATATTTACTTTGCTATGTCTTAATTACGTTATGTTTCACAGATCAATGAAGCATTTGGAGCACAAACTTTGGCTTGTGCAAAGGATCTTAATCTTGATTTAAATAAATTGAATGTGGACGGTGGTGCTATTGCTTTGGGACATCCATTGGCAGCTTCTGGTAGCAGGATCACTGCTCATTTGGTGCATGAACTTAGGTATGTAAGTATATTTTTGTTAATATGAGTATGTTTTTTTATCTACATTTTTTTGTAGGAGGCGGAAGGCTGGAAAGTTTGCTATCGGTTCCGCTTGTATTGGTGGCGGCCAAGGCATTGCTGTGATGGTAGAAGCGCTATAATTAACTGAAAAGACTGATTTACTAAATTTCTTCGAAAAGTTTAATGTTAAACAAATATCGCGAAATAATAAAAAAAGTAATAGTACGCGATAAAATTTATCAATGCCAAACAGACAAGATTAATAATTCTTTATCGTTGATAATTCTTTATCGTTGATAATAAACATACAAAATTAATAATTCTTTATCATTGATAATACATAATAATTTATAGTTATATACACAAATAGAGCATACAAAATATTTTCATATACAAAGTTTTTACATATATTTTTGTATATACAGAGTGATATAAATATATATAATATTAATTAAAACTAAGCATATTAATATTATTTTTTTTAACTTGTGTAATCTCAAGAAAACATAATGTAACTATAAGATTTATACTATTAACGATGAATTCATCGTTAAATAGTAGAACCTTGAAGTACTGTAAAAATAGAATAGGACATCCGTAATATCTAAAATACATGAAAATTATTAACTTAGTTACAAACAATTAAAAATATTACTTTAACATTAAAAACAATTTTAAAACTACTGATACAGGTTTGAATAATATATTTAAAATCAATAAAAACTTCAATGTATGTGTTTTGTTAAAATAATTTCTGAAATCATGGAATCATGGAATTGAGAATTAATTGATGTTTATTTATGTTTTATAGATTCTAAAAAAAATTTTAATCTTCAGAGGATTCTTGAATGAATATTATTTTAAATACTTTATGAAAGATTTTTAACAAACTACGAACCTCTACGAAAGTATCCAATGACAATAACATAATATTACCGGCGCTCAAAGTGAATGGACGATGAGCTCTTAACATCATGATTTGTAAGCTGCGTTTGAAACTTACATTATTGGAGAACCAGTTGCTCGAATACGCGGCCATCACTATACGTGTACTCTAAAAATCATGAGTGCTTTTTTTGCATTTAATCGCGAAAGTCGGTTTACATACTTACATGGAGATGTAACTCATTACCGTGCCAGCAGAAAATGAATATCTGATATGTCATACAACACATGTATGTCACTAAGCCGATCAGCACTGCTGGGATATAAACCTTCATCTACAGCACAATAGATCAGAAATAGATGTTGAAACCGAGCGTACGTAGACCGATTGAAACAAATTAAATCTACCTGTGACACGTTGAAAGCGATCAGGCAAATGATAATACAATTCGAAAGAAATTGGAAAAAGATGATAATATTAAAGATATCTTGAATCTCCCTTGTAAAACTGCAAATCAATGTATATGTAAATTAATTATTTGGTACAAAGTTAAATTGCACAAACAAATAATTAATTTGATTCTTTTATTTTCGATAATTATGGTAAGATACATTTGCATTAAATTTGTAATAAATTATCCAATTATTTTAAATATTTTGCATACAAGTCACAAAATAATTATACAACAAAAATCATGATTTTTTTCACATTTAATTTTTTTTACGTTCTTTTCATGTGCATATCTGTTATTCAATTTAATATATAATTTTTATATTCAATTTAATATAATTCATCCATAATAATCAAAAATTTATCCATGCTTAAATTTTACGATATTTTTTTATTAAATTTTTGAACATATTCGTATATCTTAACTTACAAGAATATCATATTACTGTGCATAATACATTTTTTGAGTTGCTGATAGGACAAGACTTCTAGAAATGATTTGTTCTTATCACCCTGCCTATTTTTTTGATTATCTATCGATATGATATTTCGCTCCAAGATTGCCAATTGGCAACAGGCAACTGTGATTAAACCTGTGACCAGCGTGTCTAGTGCTACATTGTGGAAGCAAGCGATTATGATTGCAATGCCCTGATGTCCTGCGGTAATCTCGAACGCTGGTGTTCTCGTTACATTGTAAGGATACCATCCTTCCACAGGCAATCGACGTGAACGACCGGCAATCAGATCGGCAATTGGGGTGATACCCCAACAGAATACCGCTATCGTACCAAAGCTCTGATAAGCCGCATGATGAAAGATGCCTTTCCATGTATAGCGTGTGAGGAGGTCCTGATACTTCTTGTCGTGGCGCTTGAATGCGGGACTGTTAGCTATGTCCAGGAGAGCCTGTATCCGTCCTTGACGATGAAGAATAATGAACACCTAGAGATAATATTTTATTTATTTTCTTCTCTCTTAATTTATCTGATCATATATAAATATAAATAGTAATTTATGATATAAAATATATACATAAAAAGTAATTAATATTATAAATCAATAAAAATTAAATAAAAATTTAAAACGGTTTATAAATATTTTTATATTATATTAATATATAATATTTTTATAAATATTAATATATAATATTTTTATAATAAATATTAATATATAATATAATATAATGACAAAATGTGTTATAATTACAATAATAAAATTATAAGTTACAAGATTATTTATATAATAATAGAAAAATATTAAACTTGTAAAAATTATTAGAAATTAATATTTTTAAGAAGGATTTGTTATAATTACTCGAAAGATCTTATTAAATATTAAAAAGAGTAAAAAAAATTGATGTGCGATGGCCGGGAATCGAACCCGGATCAACTGCTTGGAAGGCAACTATGCTAACCATTACACCACCATCGCACCTTGATTCAACTCTATGTTAAGTGCTAGACATATATTTAAAAACAACTAAAATAAGTAATAATTAATTTTAAATATAAAGATATTAGAAAATTATAATTCACATTTATTATCACTTAATAATGAAAATATACGATAAAGTTAAAGTAAAAATATTTTATATATAATTAAGATGTAATTATAACAAAATGAATAAATAAATAAATACATACAATGATTGAATCCTTTGTAATACTATACATTCTACTAGCAAATCATAATTAATAATGACCACGTTTGACCTTGGAAGCGTGAATAGAATTCGTCATCAATATAGTTGCAAATGCGACTATTTTCGACATATCTCCCCAGTTAGCGATCACATTTGCTATTTCGGAGGCAAGCAAGATACCCAAGAGGAAAATAAAACTACAAATAGTATAAAACAGATATAAAATCCGGTATTTGCTTGCGTGTGGCGGCCAGGTGCCCAAAAAGTAGATGATGGATAGGCTCACTCTTAAGTGAAAATTCGGTTCAATTGTTCCTCGTTTTTTTATCATTTTCCAATTGGACAATAGAAAGTCATGAATACCTATAGTTTAATTTTATAGCAATGATTGTGATTTACTTATGTTCTAATATAAAATTATTCCAAATATCGATTTTCTCTGTGTTTGCATATATTATATATACGATTATCTTAATTTTTAATTTAATTTAATATAATTAAACTTATTTTTTTATACTTAAATTAGTTTAACTAAAACTTGACAAATATTTTGCGCTAGGATATTAATTTTATTTTTAAATTATAAAACCATTTTATAATTATTTACAAATTAATTAGAAGTAAATTGTTAAAAAAGTCGTATTGGTGTAATTTATGTTTGTATAACGTTACGTTATGTATTTTTTATATTTAAGAAATGTAAGAAATATATTTACCTATAAAATTATAACTAACGCTTAACGTTTGTAACAATGTACAAAGACATAGAGAATATAGCTTTCAATAGCCAATCGAAAATGCCTCCTTTCTTGAAGTTTCGAATCAATCAAATTAGAAAGCTCTTGTAATAGTAGACACAATCCTCTAATTTGAAATTCTATAGAATCTTCTAATGACATTAATTATAGTATGATGTAACGCTGTCTTTGTAATCAATCGCGACGCTCCGCTTTCATCATGCACATGTTATTTGTAAATCGTAAGGCTTATTAGAGTTATTATGTTGTGTGCAATTACAAAAGTAATCTATCTGTATGTAAGTCCCCTTTGTAATTTTACGGAAGAAGACAATACAAAGCAAGTAGAATTTCTCTTGTGCGATGTGACAGTTGTACGATATTGACATTTCAACAGTGCCAATAATAATAACAGTTATTTTTGAATTATCAAAAAGTTTTTATTATTAAGTGAAGAACAAATATTGATAAATGACTTTTCTTAAATTAAGATTTTGTAAATTTGATTGAAGATTGAAGATTTTTAAAACAAATTATTTTTATATAAATATAAATGCAATAATATTTATACGTGAATCTATTTACATTTTTTTACGAACAAAAATCGGCTTTTATCATTCTAAACATAAAAATTCTAGATATAATAAATAATATTAAAGATATTATAAGAGATATATAAAATATAAAATATATAAATTATTACTTTACAATGTAAACAATTAAGTACATATCATTAAAACTTTTATTTTTCAAGCCACTTTAGATAAAGATTATCTTGAGCAGCATGTAGATATATATTGTATATGTAGTATATGGAGTAACCAGAAACGGCAACTGGTCGGAGTCAATACAGTTTATCATCAGTTTAAATAGAAATGTACAGTGAACTGTTGTGTGGAGGATTCTAATATTTGTAGCAGGTAAACTCGAAGCGAGTTGCTTCAGTTACCTGTCATTTTGCAATCTTGCCTCTCATCGCAATTCAGCTGTCTATATGAGGTTTTTCCAGTGTCGATACGCTGTATGAAATTGTTACATAAAATTCCATATAACTTCATACGTGCTGCGCAAAAATGACATCATCCATTGTGTTGAGCAAAGATGTTCCTGATATCGAAGTAAGTAAGATTTTTCGATGTGAGTGATAATGATGTACGTCAATGATCTTTCTAATGATTTCTAATTATTTCTTAAATCTAAAATTCAAAAAATTGAAAAGATATCCGAACTTTCACTGATTGGAATGTCAGACCAATGACGGATTGGTTTTCTTTCGGGCCCTCGGAAAAAACATTCAGTTTTAAAACAAAATTTTCTTTTTCTACAAATAAATTATGTAATTTATTATTTTAAATTATATAAATTATGTAATATATCTTATTTTTTCCATTTATTATATTTATATGCATTTATTCTTGATATATATATTATTTTTAACTTATCTTTTTTTTTTATATTTTTATACAGTTTTCTTTTATGTATCTTTACATAAAGAGTAATTACAAAAATTTATTATATCTTTGTAAATCTGACATTGTTTTTTCATTATTTTTTTATTATTTTTATCCTCAAAATGAGGATATTTTTCAAATTGCTTTTATTTATTTCTTTAATTAAAATTATGTTTTATTGACAGAAATTATAACATATTGCTAATCTTATCTTTATGATTGACTAAGATCGAATTATATCTTTTAGGCTATACTGAGCATTAATCCAAAGTCCAAATATCATGCAATTCTCGTGCCATCAACGTTGACTAAGCAGAACAAACAGCATTGGAAAAGAAATATCCATGAAAAATGTAATGTAAGTCGGTTAAATTAAATTAATTTTATCTAAATTGAGTCACAATTACTTTGATATAAAATTGATATAAATTATCTAAGCTCGCTTCTAATGAAATAGTGAATTGTACATATATGTATATATATATATATACATATATGTACAATTCACTATATAATTATATATATATATATATATATATATATATATAATTGATATTAATTGTATATATATATATATATATATATATATATATATATACAATTAATATCAATTTATATCATTATTATATTGTTATATTTCCTTATTTATATCGTAGAGAAGAAAGAATAATAATTTAATTATAAATAAATAAAGAATATGTATATTAATATTTTTTATTTATTTTAATAAAATAATTTAAATCTATATTAGGTAAAAAAGTGATATTTTTTATAATAAATAAATATATAATATTTTTTTTTATTTTTTATAAAATATAATATTTTATTAGATATCTTAGATATGTTATAATATTTTATTAGATTATGTTATATTGAGATCATTAATTTCAGCAATGTTTTATACGAACAATTTATGTTAATATTATCAATTGTATCACGTGATGTTTTGAAGAATATTTTATCCAGAAAACAATAATCCACTGATAAGATTACAATCTCTCATTATATATTTTCTTGTATTGTTATTGTATAACTGCATTAGATTCTCATTGTATTTTTTAATTAGCGAATAACTTTAGCATTATAGGAAACATAGCAAAAAATTAAACTCAATATAAATTATAAAAATAATTTAATAAGAGAGCCGAATAAGATCTAAATCATGTTGCATTTTTTTATTATCTTAAAAATGAAAACATTTATTGTAGATATTTTATAAAGAGTTTTATCAAACTCTTTATCAAATATTTACGAAAGAGTTTGATAAAATTGCTAAAATCAATATTAATTCTCAATATTAAAAAATTTGTATTATATATAACTAAAGTTCATGTAAGAAATAAAATTTAATATTACATAAAGAAATATTAAACATTTTGTTTTTAAATTTTAAATTACTAATTTTTAATATGGCCTACAGGATATATTGTGATTTTTTAATTTTTAAAATATGTTGTAAAGAATATTATATTGAATTTTTGATTGCAAATTTCTTTTTTTTCTCGCTTTCTTTATCTTTATAATTAGCTTTTCTTTTCTCTTTCTCAGAGTTGCGTATCTTTGACAAAGAATTTCGACGATATCAAGCATACTACTTTAAGCGAACGTGGAGCATTGAGAGAAGCCGCGCGTTGTTTGAAGTGCGTTGATGCACCTTGTCAAAAATCCTGTCCCACGCAATTAGACATCAAGTCTTTCATCACTTCTATCTCCAACAAGAATTACTATGGTGCGGCCAAGGCGATCCTGTCGGACAATCCTCTCGGACTTACCTGTGGCATGGTTTGCCCGACCAGTAACCTTTGTGTGGGTGGATGCAATTTATATGCGACCGAAGAGGGACCCATCAACATCGGCGGCCTTCAACACTTTGCAATGGACGTACGCAATATTATTTATAATAATAATTTATAATAACAATACTTAATTTAGTAACTGTGATATAAAGTAAATAATTGGGATATAAAGTAGTGACAAAATATAGGAATAATTTATTAATGCTTATAAATTTTAATTAAAATATATAAAACCATTTTTTTGTATTTTGCATATAAAATTTTTAAATATCAAATTCTACAAAATTATTCTATAAAAATTTAATTTAATATTTGTTTAATTTTTGACTTAATACATGTTAGCTTATTAGCACTTATTATTTTTCGACTTGAAATTTTTAGTTACAAAGATAAATATAGAGCATTTCTTTAAAAAAAATGTCTTACCTAGATGCTACATGTACTCAAAGTTATATAAGTTATTTAACATAAAATACATAGGGCGAAAAGTGAAAAATTTCGTTTAGACTGGAAAAAATATACTTCTAGAGTATTTTTTGGGAAGAAATTTTTTTATATATAAAATTAATGTATATGTAATACGTAAAAAATAAAATATCGAAGTACTCATATATTTTGAGAGATATTACGAGTTAAAGAGACGACACGTTTTTGAATTTTGCTCATATGGCATTTTATTCGGCAACATTGATAAGAATGTTACGTGCTCGAAAACCTTTGCTATAATTTATTGATTCCCAAATTGAATAATAATAATTATCCTTATTTATGAATAAAGATCTAGAGAAAGAAATGAAGACATCAAAAGATATTTATAGATTGTACAAATATTATTATATTTATATATTTAATATAAATAATATATAGAATATACCATAGCATAACAATACCATATCATAACATAATATATAATATATAATATATATAAGTAATACATTTTTTTAAAAGTTTGTTCTCTGATTATACATAATGTAAATCATAGAAGTTATAATTAATAAAAAAAATATTTATTTTCATGCAATCGTCAAATTAGATTAGCCCAATCGAGTTCGAAGAGCATTGCAGAGCTTACGTAGGATCGTTTTGTTTTTTGTTACTCTAGGGTTTCCGTCAACATCTTCACCTAGCAGCATAGTAATGCCATCTTCTCCATAATCATTGAATGTCATCTCAAGCTGATCTAAAGTGAGACCAGCAGTCACAATTTTTTTTATCATATTTTTGGATATCCCGAATGGTTCCATTATGACAAACATAGCATTTTTTTTTTCTTCTTTTTCTTTCCGAATACGATCAGCATTTACAATTGAAGAGAACGGTACAACACAGCTGATTAGTTCTGTCTCTTTTATCGCAAATTTTTTTAGTAGATTATCAAGCATTTGAACATCTACAACCGCATTATGTGCTCCTCTTGTACTATCAGGTTCTAGATAATCGTTAGCAAGAGCCGATAGACTGAATCCTCCTTTTCCTTTTTTTTTACGGAAAGCTAATTCTTTGCGGTCCTTGAATATGGATAAAGAATCAGTGAATCCTTTTACGATGGATCCGAATTCTTTGAGTAATCCGACTGCGTTCATTGTCTTTACGATTAAAGGGGCATCGAACCTTTCTCCATTGTGAGCTACAAGAATAATATCATGCGATATATTCTTCAAAAACGAGATAAATAACTCGCAGGCCATTCGTGGTGATTCTGTATCAAGACGGCGATATTCATTCTCGCTGTCCAAAATCAGTTGTCCATCTTCAATTGACAAATTTGTTATATTAGAAACTATTGTCGGTATACTATTCGATGGGAAGATATAGACGTTGAATTCTTGATTGTGATATTTAGCTGCAATTTGGATAATTTCTGCATTGGGACCAAACCCTGTAGTCTCCAGGTCAAATATAATAGCAGTCATTGTTGATATTTCTTGATGTGTAATCTTTCGATAACTTTTTCTTCTGTTTCTTCTGCAAAATTCAACTTTCTTTGTTTCACAACACAGTATTTTCAGTTTCTTCCTGTTCTTCTTTTTTCTTTGTCATAAGTCTGGCTAAACTACGTTACTCATCATCGTTTCGAGATATCGCCATCTTTTATAATCGTCGCTATCTTTTACCCGCCAGAAATTGCTGAGCTCACTGCTACCAACAATCAAGCATTGCGACGTTGTCAAATCGATTCATCTCAACCATAGAAGTTTAACAGATAAATTTCACGTAAAATTCTACTGTTGAGATGAATTGATTTGGAAACGCTGCAATGCTTCAATGTTAAAGGTGCATTTTCATGTCGCTGGAACAAATAGTTGAAGCGACAGATTTGTCACTCGTAATCCAGCAGCTACAATTTTGTAGTTTAGATTGATTCAACTACAAAGCATTATCGCTTAAACGATGTGTCAAACGCTGATACATTGCTGACAGTGCTATCATGCTGTATTAATTGTATGTACTAAAATAAAAATGTAGTACATTTTTCAGTTGCGTTGATGACATACGAAAATAATTCAGAAATCTTGCACTTTCTAATCTCACATTCGGTAAAATAACTTTGTAAAATCCATAATCATATACTTATATATGAAATAATTAAATGGTAAATATAATTTATAGCTTATGTGTCTATATATTTTTCAGGTTTTTAAGCAGATGAATATTCCTCAAATAAGGATACCCAATCAAACAGTACCTCATGCAAACACAAAAATCGCTCTGCTCGGTTGTGGACCAGCTTCTCTTTCATGCGCGACATTTCTCGCCCGACTCGGTTACAACGATATTACGATCTTTGAGAAAGAAAAATATATAGGCGGATTAAGTTCCTCCGAAATACCACAATATAGACTTCCATATGATGCTGTCAATTTCGAAGTCGATCTCGTTAGAGATCTAGGAGTGAAGATTGAATTAGAAAGATCGTTATCTGAAGATGATTTGACGATACAGGTAAAATTAATTTAAAAATTTAAATTTGTTATCTGTTATATTTTTTAAATCTTTTGCAGCAAACACCAAGTAACAGTTAATCATAACTGTTAATTATAATTTTCTACTCAACAATATAACTGTTACATGTTATATAACTATTGTGTGTTAAATAACAATTATATTGTTGAATGGGAAATTATAACTAACAATTATATAACTGTTACTTGGTGTTTGGTGGATTATCAATATAATCTTCTAATTTCGAATTTTGAAAAATATTATTCTAAAAATCTGCAATCAATTTTAACAAATTATGAATAAATTTAAAAATGTTTTAGACTCTTCAAGATGCTGGATATAAAGCAATCTTTTTAGGAATCGGATTACCGGAATCGAAGAATATACCAATCTTCGAAAATCTTATGCTGACAGAAAAGGATCCCACGAAAATAGGCTTTTTCACTTCGAAGAGTTTCCTGCCGGCTGTCGCAAAAGGTAGCAAACCAGGAATGTGCGCTTGCAAACGTCAGGAACTTCCGTCTCTTTACGGCAACGTAATCGTCCTTGGTGCAGGAGATACCGCTTTCGATTGCGCCACTTCTGCTCTTCGATGTGGAGCCAAAAAGGTCTTTGTTGTCTTTCGGAAAGGTTTTACCAACGTACGAGCTGTTCCAGAAGAGGTAATCACTTAAATTTTAATCTAAAAATACAAAAATTATAATTTGAAAATTTTTTTAAAGAGTTTAAAGTTTAATACATACAAAGTTTAAAACATACAAAGATTTGAAGCAAAGATTTGATAGCAAAATTTGAAATTTTAAAATTGTTTTTAGATGGATTTGGCGAAGGAAGAGAAGTGCGAATTTATACCTTTTCAATCACCAAAACAAGTTATTCTTCGTAATGGAAAAATTTTCGCAATCGAATTTTGCAAAACCGAACAGAATGAGAAAGGCGAATGGATTGAAGACGAAGAACAAAAGTTCGTTTTAAAAACAAACTTTGTGATTTCCGCTTTTGGATCAGGATTATATAGTTCTACTGGTGAGTGATAATATAATGTTTGGCTAGAATATCAATTTGATATCATAAAAATTTAAATTAATATATAAAAATAATAATAATAAGTCAATATCGTATATTAAATAAATAAAGAAAAGCAAGAAAATAAAGCAATAAAGAGAAATTATTATTATGATGAGAACAGTGAAGAATGCCATGGCGCCAATTAAGATAAACAGTTGGAACTTACCGGAAGTTGATGAGAACACGATGATGACCTCGGTACCAGGTGTGTTCTGCGGAGGAGATCTTGCTGGTGTCGCTCAAACGACCGTGGAATCCGTAAATGACGGAAAGACAGCCGCATGGTATATGCACAAATACATACAGGTATGTTAGCTAGCGTATAATGTATTTCTTTATCAATTATTAATCTAAATTCTTTAGAAAATATTCGCACAAAAATATGGAATTTTTTTGTTAAATTCCGAATAAATATCTAATAGCTCCATTCTTATTATTATTATTATTATTATTAATGTAACAATATAGCAATCATTTAAAATAATAAAAACAAATTTTTTCACAATTTTCTATCTTAATAAATTTTTTCTATCTTGATAAATTTATAACAAACACACTAAATAAAATTGTATTTGTCTAAATTTTTATTTCATATTTTTTTAAAAATCAACGAAGTGATTTATTTTCTTGAGTTTGACTACTTTTGCATATTTCCATATTTCGATCATCATGTAGGAATCTTACGGCTTGACAGTGCCGGAAACTCCGCAATTACCGAAGTTTCATACCGCTATCGATGATGTTGATTTAAGTATTGAAATGTGTGGGCTAAAATTCGAGAATCCTTTCGGTCTGGCTTCTGCACCACCTTGCACCACCAGCGCGATGATACGACGTGCTTTCGAAGCTGGCTGGGCCTTTGCTGTCACGAAAACTTTCTCCTTGGATAAGGTATTTCATTAAAGAATAATCAAATTTAAATGACATATTTTAATTCTAACTTTGTGTTTTTTAATATTTTTTCAGGATCTCATCACCAATGTGTCGCCGCGTATCATCAAAGGCACAACGTCCCGTCATCATTATGGACCCGAGCAGAGTAGCTTCTTGAATATTGAACTGATATCTGAGAAAACCGCCGATTATTGGTGCCGCAGTATCACGGAATTGAAGCAAGATTTTCCTTCAAAAGTATACATTTCAGCTATTTGCTGGATTCACAATTTTAATTTAATAGAATTATAAAATTAAAATAGTCTTATAATTAAATTATTGATATTTTACAAAGCTTTAATTTATTATTAAGCTTTTATTATATATTTTTTATTATATATTTTTATCATATATTATTTTATAAATTTTATTATATATTTTTATCATATATTTTTATTATATATTTTTGCATAGATTGTCATCGCGAGCATTATGTGCACGTATAATAAAGCTGATTGGACAGAACTAGCAAAAAAAGCGGAAGCAGCTGGTTCTGACGGCTTAGAATTAAATTTATCATGTCCTCATGGCATGGGCGAGTCCGGTATGGGTCTGGCCTGTGGACAGGTTCGTGTGTATCTTTATTCAGATTAAAAAATTTGAAACAAATAAAAAATAAAATCGATTTTTCAGGATCCCGAATTAGTAAGAAACATCTCCAGATGGGTTCGCGAAGCCGTCAAGATACCGTTCTTTGTAAAGTTGACACCCAATATCACCGATATTCTTTCTATCGCTAAGGCAGCTTACGAAGGTAATACAAATCATTCCGAAATTTATATAAAATTATATTGATATGTGTGTGTGTGTGTGTGTGTATATATATATATATATATATATATATATATATATATACACTGTGCAAAAAATAAAATAAATTGTAGCGTTGTGAAAATAATAATTATGTTACAATTATTTAAATATTTCATTTTCTTACAATAATATCAAAATTAAAATAGCTATGTAAAATAACTATATAAAATAATTTAAAATAGCTTTATATAAAATAGCTTTATATGAAACTTCAATCTGGTTAAATTTTTATAAAAATTCATCGAAGGTTTTAATAATTAATTCTATTATTTAATTAATGTTTGATACAGGCAAAGCTGATGGCGTCACCGCCATTAATACAGTATCAGGATTAATGGGACTTTACGCTGATGCGACTCCATGGCCAGCAGTAGGTCTGAATAAGTTAACGACGTACGGCGGAGTATCAGGAAACGCTACTAGACCTCAAGCTCTGAGGATCATCTCGACGGTCTCAAAACATCTTCCTGGTTTCCCAATTCTCGGCGCCGGCGGCGTCGACTCAGCCGACGTCGCTCTGCAATTCTTGCATTGCGGTGCATCGGTCATCCAGGTATAATCACGATTCTTTGTGTTTCCGACTCTTTTTCGATTATACTTTTATTTATTGTTTTCTATTACTTTCTTATCAACTTACAATTAGAGTAATTAGCACACAAAATATTAAAGCAACACAAGAAAAAAATTAATTAAAAGTAGATGGAAAAAATAATGGAAAATTCAATAACAAATTTTTTTCTTTTTAATATTCTTTCTTAGTGTTGATAATTTGTCAAAATTATCGGGAGAATATATTTTAGATAAAAAGTATCCGAAACAAATTCGATATAAATTTCAATTTAGAAAGAAGAGAGAGAACACTCTCGATAATTAAACATTCGCTAGAAGTAAATACATTAAAATAAATTTTTTTTACTTTAAACAAAGTGATTTTGTAATCAAATATCTAACAGATTTGCAGTGCCATTCAAAATCAAGATTTTACTCTAATAGATGACTATGTGACTGGTTTAAAAGCATTATTATACTTGAAGAGTCTGGAACAGGTAAAGGACTGGGATGGTCAAAGCCCACCAACATTTAAGCATCAGAAAGGCAAGCCTATTTCTCTACAACATGCTCTTGGCAAAGTAAGTATTATTCGTCAATCTTTTTTTTCGAGAAATTTTAATATAAGCACAAACAAAATAAATTAAAGATAAATTAGAAAACTCTACGGATAAGTTTTAAGTATGAAGTTTTGATGAGAAAATATAGCTTTGTTAAAAACAATTTTTGTTTGAAAATAATAATAATATAAAATTAATAAATTAATTAATTAGATTCTATGTATAATGATGTATTAATAAATTATATGATAAGATATTAGATACAATAGCGTGCATTTTCTTTTATTATTTATTAAGAGCATATCTTATTTACTATACTTTTGTTTCAAGTCTAAATCTTTTTATAGAAAGTACCGTATTTTGGTGAATATCAAAAATTGCGCGAACAAAAGATAGCTGAGTTGAAAGTTCATTCGAATCTTTTGGATAAAGTCGTGCCGGTAACGAGACCAGCTCCAAAACCTATCGCACCAATACCTACTATTAAAGACATAATCGGCAAAGCATTAATACATATTGGCAACTACAGAGATTTGGATAACAAGAAGCAAGTAATTGCTTTGATCGATGATGTACGTGAAATGATAAATTATAATCATTCGTCTAATGTTAAAATTTATCTCATCTACATAATTACTCTTCTTTTCAGGATCTGTGCATAAATTGCGGCAAATGTTACATGGCTTGCGCAGATTCCGGATACCAGGCAATTACTTTCGATCCTGACACGCACATCCCCAAAGTAACGGATGATTGCACCGGATGTACACTTTGTCTGTCCGTATGTCCGATTATTGATTGCATCACGTAAGTTTTAAATAATAAGTAATAAAAGCTTTTTATTTGTCTTTATATTTTATTTTCTATTTAAGTTTTTACTATTTTTATATGTATACATTTTCTTTAACTTTTTTCAGTATGGTTCCAAAAACAATTCCGCATGTAATTAAAAGAGGCGTGCCGCTAAAAAATGCAGTCGAAATTTATTAAACAGTTCAACAATTATTATTATCCAATTATGATCCAAAGATTTTTATATTAGCATAATTTGTTAAAAGTTCTTGACTATTTAACTGTTATCATGTTATATCAGTTTTTATTAAAATTAATAATTAAAATAAATTAAAATTAAAATTTATATTATGTAATAGAATAAATGATATTTAATAGATTATGCAATTGCTGTTAATAAATCACCCTGAATTAAATATGTGATTAGCGTCATTAGAGGATTTAATTTAAAGAATAGAATATAAAGAATATAAATATAAAGAATAGAATATAAAGACTAATTCACATTACAATCAAAATAAAATTCTATTTTATTCAATTTACATACTTGTGCAATATACACTATTGGATATGGTGCAACATAAAGTTGTAGAATAAAGCATATACTAATAGCCTCTCAAACAAGTTAGATTAGTCAACTTTTTCTTATCAATTGTTATTTAAAACTAATTAAAATGTATTCTTATTTAAAGAATTATAAATTAAAAGAAATATATTTTTTTTAATTTATAAGTTGTTAAATGAATATCTGTTTTAATCAGTTTTAACAGTTTGTTAGAATTAACTGTTAAAGTGCAAAGATTACATTTTCAAAAATCTCCTGTGCATGATTATAAATATGCAGAATCTTTTTTTGTTTAGCCAAGAATCTTCTGTTATAAGTAAGTAACTAAAACTTTTTGTTGTTAACCCATTTGTATTTCGTGCATTGACCATTGCAATAATCATCATTTTCGTTAATCCTGAAAAATTGATGTTTTTATATAAAACTTACTTTTGGAATTTTTATATTATACTTTAAAATTTCTCTAATACAAACATAGAAAAAAAATTAAAATAAGTCGTAATATGTTCTACATTATTTTCATTATTATATTGTTATTATTATTTATCTTTCTAATTTATCTTACTGGCAACCGTTTGATGGGCATGCACATTGGAAACACTGCGGTTTTAAGATATTGAAATACGTTTCTCCAATTGCCTCAGAAATTAGAGAAGAAACTTTCTTCAGACAGTTGTAGAACTGATGATCGCAAGAGCAAGCTGATCTGTTATAAAAAAAATTACAAAAGTTTGACAAAAAAGAAATTAATAAAAAATTATTAACGAAGTTAATGTAAACCAGATCTATCATTTTGCAAAGAAGGATGTAAAATATATGACTTGATATCAGAACTTGTATGTAATATGAATAAATGAATAAATGAATGTACATGTCATACATAAGCTGAGTTATATAATATTTTTTCAGAAGTTAAATATGAATGTTCAACACAACGAGTGTTGAAAATGAAGATATTTGAATTACCTCGTTCATTTATTTACCTCGTGAAAAGACCATTGTTATCGAGATTGCCCATCGTATTATCACTCTCGATATCGTACTTGCAATTATCATGTGCTCTGCAACAAGCATCCGTATCGTTGAATAGGCCGAGATCAGACTTACTTTTGGCGATATCTCCACCACCACACCAGAGTGTCCCTAAAACAGATATTATCAAGATGAAAAAGACGGCAAAAAAGTTCCAGTTAACAATGATAAAACAGCAAAATATTGCAATAATATTATTAATATTGTTGTAACAATATTGCTGCAATATTGTTGCAATTTTCTATGCTGTATGTAACTGATAGAAATAAGTTTCGTATATAAAATATAATAAAATTATATAGTTTATCACAAAATTTCTAAAAAGTACTTATAAATCAATAATAGAATAGTAAAAAAAAGAGAACTTAACAAATTTTAAATATTTAATTGCATTTAGGCCAAACATTTCTTTAAAAAATCAAAAAATACCGAGATACAAAAAGGCCAAGAGACATTTTAAAAACGTTTAAAAGGATGATAAGACATCTGTAAGTTGTTTTTTAAACATCTTCTAGAGATATGTGTTGTCTGGGTACGTTGCGAAAGTTATATGATTATTCAGTTTTACACACGTTAAGTTGCATTTAGGCAATATCTTTGATTGCATTCAAAAAAGAAAACAGATTTGTTAGAATAAAATCCTTGAACATACATCATGTGTATCAGTAGATTATTTTATCCAACGTTTATTGTTATTATCATGAAATTTTCCAACAAGCCTCTACAATGATTTGCAATGCAATAATTCCTTTTCAACGTTAGAAAGGATCAAAACGTATCTCTCTATTTAAAATTCTTTTACAATTAATTTATTCTATCTAATAAATACATAATTAATTCCACATGTAAAAATGCTTTAAAATAGTATTATTATTTTGTGTAGAATTTAATTCTAATATTTCTATATTTTATAAGCATTTTCACAATAATTTTAGATAAACGCATGCATTTTAGTGCGAATAAAGCACACGATTATCTCTTATAATTAATTCTCTCCTTCATAATGAACAATTTATTAAAATACAAGATTTGGCATTTATTTCTGAATCATGAATTATAAAATATCAGCATTTGCTTTTTTCTTTATCTTTCTTTATAATTCATTTTTATATGATAATTATATATGAATAATTAAGCATATGAAAATATGTATAATTAAATTTTACTACAAATTAGAAATTAATAAGCCAGTAATAACAAATATAGCAAAAGAAAAGCGAATTTGCGTTTCATATTCTGCATGTTATTATAACAGATAATTCTATCTCTTGGAATTATTCACGTCAAGTCTTAAATCATCAGTCAATTTGCATGTATTGTATTATAGCAGTGATAAACGTTCGTATTAATGTTATAATGTTTTGCAAAGTAATGTACCTGGAAATAATAATACGATTTAATCGGATTCCAAAGTAATTTTATGCACGATTATATTACATGCGATCAATTAATTCGTTAATTAATATTCATGACTTTTAGGTAAATTTAATTAAATATTCATGTAATTGTTCCGCATGTAATTGACGTAATACAATTAACTTAAAATTATATAATATAAATTATAAAGACAAACGCCTGTATATATTTCGTAATTCGCAATTAAAATATTTTATTTTAAAATCTCTATATTATTATCTTAATTATAGAATTAAGATTATATTAATTACAGTGAAAAAGTACATAGTAGAGAAAGAGAAACAGGGAGAAGAATTTATTTTTAATAAAATTTTAAAATTAATTTCTTGTTCCAAATATTAAGAATTTTACAAATTTTTCTAATTTTATTAATAATAATATTTTTAATATTTTCTAATTTTTTCGTTTATTTTGCTTATTTTAATAAATATTTAATATTTTTCTCTCCTATGCAATATTTTAAAAAATGTTCACATTCACATATTTTAAATTAAATTTTATAAAATTGCTATAGTAAAGTTTGTATTTTAATAGTAAAGTTTTTATTTTAATATTTTGTAATTGAATCTTACAAAAAAATTTTCGTCACTTTTTACACGTATTTCCGTGACCTATCCAATTAGTTTTAATAAATTTATAATTTTATACTGCATTTTACATATACATTTTACATATATATATATATATATATATATATATATATATATATATATATATGTATCTTTTCTCTATAAATATGTAAATAGAATAGTTCATGTTTTCTTTTTCTCTTTCTGCTTTCTTCTTAAACTGTTAATAAAAATAGAAATGAAAAAACGAAAATCTTTACATAAAAAAATTGAAGATATCACATAAAAAAGATTGTGAAATCGTTATATTTTTAGATAATAATTCTTCACAAAGTTAAAAAAACTATTGTAATTGGTAATATCATAAAAAATTCATCATAAAAAATGCATTATTCAGTGTATTCAGTGTATTCAGTGTATTATAAGAATATTTTTAATACACAAAATAAATTCAAAAAATATTTTCTTTGTAAAAGAGATATTTTGGCGAAATACTGAAAATAAATAATCCTAAATATTTATACAAGATATTCATACAATATAATATAATATTTATATAACATATAATATAATATTTATACAAGATATTCTATATTTTTGTATGTGTATTAAATAAATATTTAATAAAATATTCTTCATTTTTAACACTAAAAAATGTGCTCTATATAGAAAATGAGTTTTTTTTCTCTAAAATGTTCACTTTCATTTGCACTCTTTTTTCTGTAAATTGGATTATAAAATAATTGAATTACCTGGAAAAATAGTAGAGATGTGCTCTGTGAGATTGTGCTTTAATATATAATCGTAAAGTTTTTCGAGAAAATGGCTAAAGGTTCCACCATCATGTATGAGTGATTGCACCTTTTTCTCAAACTTTATCACTTCCTTTTCAAGAAATGATAGATGAGTTTTGTCGGAACCAGGTTTGCTCGGTGTGCAATCTATATTATTTCCGCTATTTTCGCAATCACCGAATTGAATAGCAATGCCGAGGAAAAATACGAACAGGCAGAGACGTGACATCGTGCTATTTATTTACCTAAATTGTATGGACAATAAGAATGTTCTCTTAATAAATGCAATGCACATGTTACTACATTGCATGTGAATAACAAATTGAAGAAAAATGAATTTAAAGATAAAATTAATTTATCTATTAATAGTTCTTATTAGCTTAACATTACAAGTGATAATATATTATCTATGTATAATCATAGATCGGAATCTTAATCATTCATCAGATGGAAATATAAAAAATATAAAAGTATTTAAGACAAAGTTTTTTTTAGAAATGTGTATAGAGTCTTCGTTTAATTTTTAATGAGGAATATTTATTGAAAATAAAAAATATATATAAATTAACAAGATATGAAGATATTTTATTGATGTCTTGAATAATAAATAATATTCAATATAGTATTTAAGCTAATACTACTGTGGAAAAATAAAATATCTTTTCATACAAAATATAAGTAACTAATAATTATTAATAAACTGTTAATAATAATTATATAATTATTAAATGTAGATTTAATATAGCAGCTATATTAATGTAAGATACAGAAGAAACAATTATAATATAAAGTATTTAAAAAAAATAGAAAAAAGATATAATACAAAATATCTCAATGTCAAAATATTTTAATAAGCGAATAAAACATATAATGAATAAAACAAATGAACAAAGTAATACATATGGCGAAAGTTATCTACAATAAATTCCATTAAATAGATTAGCAAGTCTTGAAGAGGTTTTCCAAGATTGGACTCTTAAGGAGATTTGAAATTTTGAAAAGAACTTTTTTCGATATTTATTAATCTATTTATGAAAAATGCATATTATAGTGATGCATATCATGTTTGCTTACCTCGCTACGACTGAACGATAAAAACTGACTTTCAATAACTTGACATCTTACTTAAATACCGCCGCTACATTTTCTACCAAACAAAACCAGTGTACCAAACAAACCCACACGTGTAGTATTCGCTAAATCGTATATTGTCATTTAACACTTGTGCAAATGTTAAGAATGATATTATAAAAATTCTATCAGCATACATATATATCATGTTATATTATTTAAACAAGTGTACAAAAATGTAAATGCTCAAGTAATTAATAATGCATATTGACAATTGAATTGAAATGAAACTTCGCGTGTTTATCGTTTCTTTTCTTTCTTTATCTTTAGATCATTAAACAATAAAATTATATGCATGCATTACACATACATTTATACGTAGAATACGCTAAATGGTTAATTATTAGCATCCTTCTCTATAGGAAGTAGAAATGTAACATCACAATTAATGAACAATTTATTGATAACTTGTATTTAATGAATGACTACACTATTTATATACGTAAAATACACTTTGATATTTTACGCATTTGACTATTAAAAAATGTGATATATATTTATTATTAAAAGATGCGATAAATATAGATATTAACTTGACAACTTCAATAATTAGATTGTAAGTAGACAAAATTTACTTATTAGCGCAAGAAAATGTTATACAACCTTTAATATATGTGTGTAATGTGACGGATATATATAAAGATGACAGCCTAAACTGCTTTAAAAAAATAACAGGTACAAAGTATAAATCGTTATGCAAATATATTATACAAAATATTTTACGATGTTTCACAGCATTTCATAATGCTTTTATTTAGGAGTTCTTTGCAGTTTCGTCTGTATCACAGTCTTCGACAGTATTTTGTCCTTGTAAAGCGCGACGTTTTTGCAAACGCGCGCAACGTGGACAACAGTGATTACGTTTAGCCCAACAAACGCGATGATGTACTGCCGAACACTGCGGACAAATAATTGAGCTCGCGTCCCATGGATAAATGATCTCATCATTGCCGCATATCTCACATAAATGTCCCCTGAAAAGCATCATTCTTATATTAATTAAATTAAATTAAATAAATAAATAATTCAATAACAAAAAAATTAGGGATATCATTAAAAATATGAATAATGAGATACTAATTACTTATAATTGAAATAAACATTATATAGTGTGAAAATAGATTTTAAAGAATACATTCTAAGAAATTATACATATATTATTTTAGTAGTTTTAACTTTTGACAAATAAATTCAGCATAAAAATTGAAGCGTGTCGAAATCGCTCAAATATATTCTTATACAGTAATTAAAATTAAAATTTAAAAAAATGTTTTAATTTAGAAAATAAAAGTTTCTAAATACCTACAATAAAGAAAAAGAGAAAAATTTCATATACTCATATCATTCTACAAATATTAAATTAAAAAATAATAGATAATAAAGATTTTATGAATTCGACATAAAAACCGAGTCACAATGATATAAAAGAAATATATCCTTTTTAATGCTCACCTTGCTTTACAGAGTTCACATTGCTGTGTAATATGTGCATGCATCGTATCATAAGCGGTCCGAAGCTCATCCAGAAGAATGCCACTCTGCAGATCGATAAGATCCTTGATGGAATAGTTACCTGAATTCTCGATCATGTGTGTGCGTAATCCGATTTTCCATGGTAATCCTTGAGTACAAGCGTCTAAGCATAGAACCAAGTATTTCTTCATCATCTGCATTTCTCCTCGCATTCGCTACAATTTAATCAATTAATTTGATTTAATTTTTCTATCCGAATATACATCTAGATATTATTAATTTATTAATTTTTTATTGCACTGCTTTCATCATATTAATTGAAATGTAAGTATTCTCAGATTAAAGTTATATTTATATTATATTACAAAGAAGTAATTTGATTAATAATTTGATATATATTGTAAGTAAATTATTTAAATCCTTCAGAGATTTATTTTAGTGAAAAAAAGATTTAACTTATACATATAAAATTAACATTTTATATCTAATAATATTTCTAAAAAAGTTAATTTTATTAATCTAAATATATATATTTTTCAGGTATGTATTATATATAATATGTGATTGTTTCACCTTTACAAGCGACAAATCTGGGACCAAAGTGAAGAGTTTCGGATTTAATTCTTCCAACGGCAATACAGAACGATCCTCCAAAAGCATAAGAAGTTGCGCCGCGGCACGAGACACCAGGCGTGGTTCCATGTCCCAGTTTCTGATCACTCTCGCAGGAATAACCATAGCTGTGTTCCAATGGCATCTCTGACAGTAATATAAACCGCTATAGTCACAAAGTCGCGGCTCCACCCATGCCGATTCTAGAATCGTTATATCTTTATATTAACAGATTATATACATATAATCATAAATATCATAAATATTATACAATTCAACAAAATGTCTATGGAAAATGTATTTACATTTGTACTTTATGTCGTTGATTTATTGAAAAATTTTTGTTATTATACAGGGTGTTTCTAAATCTATGTCAGAAATTTTAAGGGCGTATTCTAAGGGTAAAATAAGAAAAAAAGTTCTTATAAAAATGGGTCCAAAAATACTTTCCCTGAGTTATAGCCCCCTAAAGTTGGTGGAAAAAATCGCAAAATGTATTGTAACTCTCGGAGACTTTTTCACAGAACATTAAAGTTTTGCACAGAAAAATTATATAATAATTAATAATTAATAGTGACCTTTATTTTTTCAATACTTTTTGCAATTTTTTAATAGGTTTAGAAACACCCTGTATATTCATACATTTTCCTAATATAATCGCATGTGATAAGAAATTGAAACAGGAAAATGGAATTAAAGAATTTGCATCAAAGTGATAACGTATATGTGCACGTGATAACAATGTTAATGTAGATATAAATATCTTAAATACCTGTGTGCTTAAAAGAACTGCCGAAGCAAGATAGTGATAATCCTTTTGAGAAAGCTTGCAAGAAGACAATAATGTACTTACTATTATTATCTCATGGGATATCTTTGCGCGCAATTATTAAAGGACAAAATAATAAACAGACTTATAAAATAAATGATAAATATAAACACGTATAAAATAAACGATAACTACTTTATTTATATATTATTAGCAAAACACTTATCTGGCTCTCTTGTAATCTGAAAAATCATACTTACTAAATGTTATTCTAACTTTGCATTCCGCACAACGATAGCTTTGTTTTGAAAGGCCTTGCTCTGGACAAATGTCTTTCGTATGGGTGTAACCACCAGCCTCACTGGCGATCACATGCACGCAAATACGGCATACATTACTCAGACACTTCCAATGGCAACTAAATTTGCAATCTGAAATAAAAAAATATCACATAATCAGCAACAAGATTCGTAGTTATTCATTAATGCGATATTTTTATTTTTATAGATATTAGTGTCATTAGTCAAAATATGCTAAATTATTTAATATTTACCACTACACATATACCATGATTGTAACATCGTCCAGATTGCTCCGCTGCAGTGATCACAGTAAACTGGACCAGATGTAGTGATATGATATTTCTGTGGCACGAAGTGATGCCCAAGAATCACACAAGTTTCAAAGAGATTCTCATCCGAGGTCTCGCGCAACTCCTGTGCGCGTAAACGTAACTCAATCAACCGTCGCACAAGCCATTTACGTTCGTCTGAACACTCGGCGCTTTCCAGCACCATCGACTTACACTTCTGTACCATTTCTTGAAGATCTTCCTCAGAAGCATCCTAAACGAAAAAATAATTTGTATTCTTTCATTTTTTCATTTATACTAAAATGTATAATTATTCTTTAGCCAACAGATATATACAAATAATTAATTATATAATATAGAATACATTTTATTATATATATATATATATATATATATATATATATATTAACTTATTAATTTTAGATTGGACTTTATTCAAGTATTATCTTATATACCTTGGATAATGAAAGCATAGTCTCCACTGATTTTAGACTAAATGGAATAGTTCCCTTGCTGTCGGAGCTATCATCTGCTTCCCCTGTCAAGTAGTCAGAAGAGGATGATGGCGTTGATGTTCCTGTACCAGAACTATTCGCTTGTATCCTTGATTCATAATGTGAGTCAGTTTCTCCAACGATGGGAGAATTAGTTTTTATGTCTACCATTTTCTATAAAACACATATTACAAAGAAACAGATAAAGATAAGTGTGTTATATTTCCTTAAAATAAACTTTCCACATAATCATGTTTATTAGTGTGATAAGCATTTCCTATAATATTTTTGTTGCTCTTAATCTTTTAAATCAGTTTTAAACATTTCAACTCATTGAAGAAAAGAGGGCATTATTATATCATACTACTATTATAATCAGAAATAACACTAATATATTTTAAAAAAGCATTATGCACTACATAATATATATAGAAATATAATTTAAAGAAATTGAATATAATTTAAAAACAAAATTGGAAAGAAATTGAAAAATTTATTGTATATAATTGTACTTTATATAAATGCTTCTCTATGTCTTTTCCCTTTGTTTTTTCCACTTTTTTTAGACTATTCTTATCAATTTAACTTTAAAATATATCAATAATAATTAATCTGAAGAAATGTACATATCACTTTAGTCTGTTTTTAAAACAGCATGAGCGTGTAATATACCTATCCAATATATAAATAAATAATTTAATTCCAATTTGCGCACAATTCACAAAAACAAATTAAAAATTCAATAATAAATTAATGAACAAAATACAAAATTTTAAAGCCACTTTCGCTTCGCTTAAAATTTAGGTTACGTTCGACAGTTTGTTTTTCCTTTTAATCAAAAGGATGCGTTCCGAAATCAGCTGATCTAATGAAGTTCGTTTTCAAAGCGCGAAATTAAAGTTTGACAGATCACGCGATTTTTTTATTTGGCTTTCCATTTTCCACATTTTGTCCTGAAATTGTTTTGTGACTATTACTAGAATAAAAACTACTTTAATTAATCGATATCTATTAATTCAGTTAATGTTAAAAGTAAAACTTTATCATAGAAATGTAAAAAAAAGAAAAAAAAGCAGATTTTATTTTAAACAATTTATTTTTTCTCTACAAAAGATTTTATTTGTAATATCCGTGAAATTAGAAAATATAACGAGATTTTACAAAAAACTAACAGTATTTGCACAGTTAATAAATATTATTTTATAATTTTTTAATTTTATGATTAAATATAATATATAAAATTTTTAAATATATATTACCAATTTTTTATAGGACATGTTATAAAAAAAATATTTTTAAATAGTAAAATCACTGTGTAAAAATATATATCTTAAAATTGTATTAGGACGGTTTAACTTTTCTTTCACATATTATTACAAAAGATATATAAGAAGCATAATCATATGAATTTAAAATATGTATTTAAGAAAAAGATTTTTATGTGTGTGTGTACACTCTATGTAAATTAATTTCAGTCTTAGATGTAGGAAGCATATGTATATTTGGAAAATTCTATTCGTTTTCTTGTTAGAAGTTTACACTACACAATTATACTATATGAATTATATTAGATCTTGAAAAATCTATTAAAAAATCAGTATATGCACAAAGACGACGTTTTACATTCACATGTTCAGATCATTAATTTCTTATTAAAAATATGCATCCTACGTTATGATAGTTCTATTCATAATATCCTAAACAAGGAATCATGAAAACCTGAAAATAGTGTCAGAATTTTCAAATCGACATTTGGATTTTTTATATCAAAGTGTATGAATCCAAATACAGATTTTTAATAAAAATTTTTAACACTATACTGCTTAAAATTATAAATAATATATGATCTATTATCAATTTATTAACAGGCGAGAGGAAGTTCAAAGTATACATCCTAGAACGCATACAATATCTATACAATCCTTCCTGCGCAATTATTAATATTTTCTGGCACAGTCAAATTCTCGTAGCATTATCGTTCAAGCTACTCCTGAAATCTAAGTTTATATAAATATATATAAATATAATTTCAAGTTTTTTATTTATATATATTTATACAAATATATATTCCAAAAGTAATGCCTTTGATTGAAATAATATGGAATGCTCCGTTCGATCTAAAGATCATGCATAATATATTGCGTTATAATTTCTGAGAGATATTTTGTCAGAAATATATGGAGTTTGATCCATTTCACACATGTCAGCATGAAATCACGCATTTTGAAAAGGAAAGAAAAATGGCGGGTGGGAAAAAGGCGAGGACTACTAACTATAATATAATGGACTTAATACTTATGCTTTGGTTTTTAAGAAAACATCCTGCAGAAACTGTGACATCATTATTCATAAAAAAGCATCAAAGAGAAAAAGAGAAAAAAAAATTATTCATATATTATTTCGAGAAATTTGAAACACAAACGCGTATCTATATATTATTGTTATTATTTATATGTAGAACAAGATCATTATCTCATGAAATACAAGAGTGTGTGTACATGTCTGATATACATTGGGACTCGAATTTTATACTTGATCGAGCTTTCGGCAAATTAACAGTTGAAACTAAGAAAGACGAGCGATATGCACGAATTTTCTCGTTGTTATTAATATTCAAAAAGACATATTCTTGCAGGATATGTACCTACCTCTAAAAAACTCAAACATCTGAGAAGATAGATATTTAAACGATATTCTAATCTTTCAAACTTTCAGGTATATTTTAAATTCTTACATTACGATTTCTGCTTTTAACATACTTTTTTTGCTTTAGAGTAAATTTTTCAAATATTTATTAGTCATATTTATTAGTCATATTTAATTAAACATGCACGTTGAAAATATATGCATAAGGAACCCACATTCCTTTTGGTAAAATCAAAATTCAAGTCCCACTGATATCAGTGAAAATAATATAACAAAGAAAGGCATCAATATGTATATGATTATGTCTACAATATTACTGAGCCATTGTGATTATAAACGCGAAAATACAACTTTGATCATTTGTGTAACAAATACAGTTTGAAAATACAACTTTGATCATTTGTGTAACAAATACAGTTTGAATTATAAAAATTACACTCGTTGGATAGAGAATTATCCAATGCTCAAAACATGATTTATCAAACATTATCATTACAAATAGATAACAAAAGCTAAAATAAGAGTGAGCGGTGAGTAGGATAAAGAGCAAAACAGAGGATGATGAAAGAGAGAAGGAAATTATCGCATTCATACAGCATCATTGTATCATCACTACTTAAAAAAAGGAAAAAGAAACAAAGAATGAATCATTTATAGTATGGATACGCTTCACTCTGGAATAAATCTAACAGAACGATTATGAGACACATGAAGCGTCTTCTTGTCGATATGTATATAAGTAGCATAATGAAAGGAGAACACTCTTGGCGCTACGCTTACTCGTACATCAAAAGAAGAACGTATTAGAGGTATTTCCTCTAAGATACACCACACTTGCATTAAAGTTCCAATCCATGTCCTATTACGAGAACGCTGCTTTTTTCACTTTGAACGACAAGATCGACGAGAAAGATACACTGAACTTTAGATTCAATATGCAGGACATAGATCTATTTCCTACATCGATATGCCAAAAATAATCACGTAATACGACACGTCGAATCTCTAAATTCTCACACGTCCGATGACGCGATCTCTTGTATTCATCTGTGATTGTCCTGATTGATCTGCTCGACATGAATGTGATCTGTTGGTTTACTTTGATTACTCGCATCTGATAGAGAATCGCTGTCACTGTTTGGAGCTGCGCGAACCGGCGACGGACTGTCCACTGGTCGGAAGGAGAAACTAGGTGAATCTGCGCTCGATAACGATTCAGGTGTACCGACAGAACTAATAGTCCCTGGAAGTGGACTGGACATTGCATCTAGCCTAAGAGAAATGATTAGAGAATTTGATAAACTGTATAAAACCATTTCATATATATTCATTTATGTTGTTTAGAAAACGATCGATTCTTCAATAATGTGACTCAATATTTGAAAATCTGAAAAGATATTTAGTACAGTAAATTAACTAAATTGAGATCTTGGCAAGTCAATTTTGATAAATTAATTTTCTTTTATCTTATTTAACTTGTAATTTCTTCAAAAATTTGATTTTATATAACAAAAACTGTAACTATAATTTACTAATTTTATTATTTTATTTTAGAAACATATATAAGAAGGATCGATAAAAGCATACCTGGATGTAACCGATGTCAATAAACCAGACGTGCGCTTTGCAGGTGGCTGCAAGTTGTGATCCATCCCGGTCTCGTCTAATTCGAACTTTCTTTTAACTGGCCCCAAACAGCTTGGCCTTATCGCTATAGGACTTAAGCTGCGCCTATTATTTCATAAGATATCAATAAAAAAATAATAATATGAATATGAATAAATAATGTATAAGTTTTAACAAGTATCTTTTTTTAAGAATATTATTTCTACCAGCTATAAATGAACATTATATGAACATTATAATCTATACAGAAAATAAATGATATATTTTTATTTATATATAATCTTCTAGTAATAACTTTAAACAAGATAAATTTGCAGTGCAAAATATAATCTACCTTGTGGCAAATGCTTTTCTCGTAGGACTAGGAGACAAATTATTCTTCCAAAGATGAATGCCAGGAGAATAACACTGTCTTTGATTAAATCCTGATCTTGTGGGTGAAGGTGAAGAACACTGGGATGAGCCAATAGATAGATTTAAACTTAGAGGATCTAACGACCTCTTTGGTCGTTCCATTTTGTTAAGCTGCTGTGTAGAAGGCTCTGAATCTTTGAACGATAGTCCTTCCGCCTCCAAAGTGAGATCTTCCCATGACTGAGATATTTGCATGGCACTATGAATTTCCTTCTCATGTGCAGCTTCCCGGCCAGCAACATCTACACATTCTTCCTGTCTTAATTGACTCACACGTGGTGTCAATCTAGGAACATTACCAGGACTCTAAAAATAAGAAAAAATTGATATAAAAAAAGATCATATCATTGAATAGTTTCTTCAAAATTAGATAATATATCACATTGTGAAATAAATATTATATATTGTCATTGATCATGTTTTTTTCATTAATTACAATATCAATTTAATTTTATTTTATAAAATAGAAGACAAATGATATATTTTTATTAGAGTAACAAGAGAGTAACTACAGATAATACCAGGTATCAAATAATTATATTGATTGTTGATTAATGAAAAATAAAAGAGAACACAAGTAACATGATCTTACGCTAGTGCTGAAGCGTCGTGATCGCGTAGAATTAGAAAATATATTGTAGGTTGACACAGCATCCCTGCAAATAATAATATAAAAAATGTTTAAAGATAATTTAATTTTTTGATATTTGCATAATCGTTGTTTATATATATGTATTTGTATATTAAAGATCTTTCCACTAAATTATATTTGAAAATAGGCAGAATCTGAATCTTCATTAATTTATAGCAAATATTATACAAGTCATATATTTGTCTAGCGTGAATTAAAATTTATTAAATAAAAACAGAAAAAAGAGAATTATATATTTTAATGTATATCATATTTTTATCAATATTTAAATTTTAATATGTAAATATTAATAAAAATAAAATAATAATGGTAAAAAATATAGATATGTTTTTTACAGTACAACTTATACCTCTTTTTCTAAAAACTTAATATAAAAATAAAACATAATACTTATGTATTCTTACATTTTTATATAACATATATTCTATTTTTTATTTTTATTCAACTCATATTAAATTTTGCTTCCAAAGAATAGTCTAATATTATATAAAATATATATATATATATATATATTTTATATTATAAAATGTAATATTTTATATTATACATATATGACATTATTTTTCATTATGAACGTGCATGTGAAAAAAGAATTGTTTTCTTATTTAACACTATGCAATACTGCTACTTTTACAAACATTAAACAGTTTAAGCAAGCAATATTTCAATTATTGCAAGAAAAAAAAACAATCCCTACAAATAACAATTTCTGACATAAAAATCATTATTGTAATTACAATTATGTAGCACATATTAAATTTTAGGGTAGAGTCTCAAAAACCTGAACTGTATTATTATCCTAAATCAGAGATAACAAATAACCATATTCAAGGACGCAATCAGAATACTCTCTTGGATAAACAGCAAAGAGCAATCTCTCTTGGATAAACAGCAAAGAGAATCTGCAGACATGCTCACCTCGACGATGATGTAGACGGCGTCGTGACGGACATGGTCGCGCTAATCTCGTTAATCATCGGCGCACTGCTGGATCGCTTCAGGCTTACGATCGGGCAGTCAACATCCATGATTGACGGGGCAGCACGCGGCAGTCCCAAATGTATCGAAACAACGTGGGGCAGCGTCCACGTGGTGGAAGCACATAGAAGAGATCCCGTGAATATCCCGAGAGTATCCGATGACGTCGTCTTCCGTTATTGGGGCTGTCGCCAGGACTTTCCGACTGTGGCAAAATACGACCCCCTGTGTAGCACCGTACGTCGTCCTCGTCGGCTATCGTTGCTGCAGCGGGCATCGAAGTATTTATCTATTCATTATCTTCAGGAAGATACGAAGGAACATGCTGAATCCTCTCCACGACTTCCCTGAGACTCATCTTCCGGAGGACGACACGATTGTCACGATTGTATACGAGTTTCACAAATAAGCCATCTAAGGAGCAGTCGAGGTGACTCGGGACCGGTTCACGATGGGACCGACAGATCGGAGTCGGGCGAGTCTGGCCAAGTGTCGTCGCTGCTGCTGTCGATATTAGAAGAGAAGCTGGATGCTGTTGTATTTGTGCAAGGTTCGTTCGGTGATGCGACATATTTTATCGATCATCTTCCTTTGTAATTCCTGTACAAGCACGTGGCAAGATTATGGAGATACATCTGGAAGAGAGAACTGTAAATTAAACTTTCTGAAAAAAAAAGGATTGGACAAGCGAGTGGATAAATTTAATTTGTACATACAATAATCACGCTCGGTATCTGACTATTTGTGATTGGCGCGTACTCTCATGTCTATCTATCCAAGTCCAAAAGCACATGCCAATCGCAAACAGCTGTTCGTTGAATAATTTTTGTGCTAAATACATTTGTTGAAATTGAAATGAAAAGAAATAGATCGCACGTGATTGGTTACGCCATATTGTTTTTCTAGACGCATCAAGAATAACACTTTTTTTTTGCTTGTCCGATTTTTTCCAATTTTTTACTTCGGACAAAATTTGAATTTAAGTACCATACAGTACCATAACAAAATTTCTGAAGCACGAAGAAATATTTTATTGCAAGACTGCAATATTATAAATATAAGACACGCAAAAAAGCCTTTTTACCTTGTATATAAAATATTTATATATATCTTATGTTTTATCTTATTGTATATCTCGTATATAATTCTTTATATACATATATATATTTATATTTTATGTCTTTGATATGCTATTGTAAATATATTGCTATATAATTATTAAAGTTCAGACACAATCAAAGGAGATTAGGAAATATAGAATTGAGTATAAGAAATCAAACTCATATCTAGACTATACACATTAAAGATTAATATTTTAATCTTAATTCTTTACAATTCCTTACTTTTAATTCCATATTTCTTATTCCTTGTATTGTATCTGAATTCTTATTCTTGGAAATCTCTTACAATTCGACATCTCTATGATATACTATAATATTTACAAAATTGCAATAATGCTGCAATATATGTAGAGATATATTATACATAATTGAAAGTTTATGCGTTCTATTTGAAAACAACGAGCCAAATACCTACGTAGTATTTTCACATATCGTGCTGCGATATCCTCGATAACTTCCCGCGAGCTACGCCAATTCAAAACCGGACGTTCTTTCCACGACAGTTCTAATTGTAAGGCTAATATTACATTTGCCGTACGACAAATTTTTTAAGCACATTGATTGGTTGCGGAATAATAATTTTTTGAATCTTTAAAAATTTTCTATTCTGCAGCCAATCAGTGTGCTTAAAAAATTTGTCGTACGACAAATGTAATATTAGCCTAAGAAAGAGTTTTCTTTACCGTCTTGTCAAGCGCGACGATTTTTCTTTTCGAAAATACGTCGTGTCGCGAGCGGAAGCCGCGGAGGAAAATCCGGATGTCGTCACTCGCGTCCTTCGCGAGAATGTTGCAACGTGATCGTCGTGGTATGTAATTTTTCTTTCAGCGAAATCGTTGTAAATTTATCGCATCACGCGCGCCACAATAGATTAAATTTCACGATCCGGGCCGCTAAGAAGCGAGGAGGCCCGGTCGCCTGCTCGCCCGGTTTTCCTCGCGAAACTCAGTCTGTCTGTGTTCACGGTTCCCGATGCGGCTTCTGTCACGCCAATTGTCAAAACGACAGCGCGTAATATAACCTCTCCTCCGAGTTTCTCGATCGTAGGATCATATCCAGTGAACGATGCTGTCGCTTATCCCGTGCTCGATCGTCGTTGATTTGAATTTCAATCGAACGACGATAACGATAACAATGACGTCGACAACGATATTTTCGCCATCCTCCAGTCGAATATCCTGATCATGCTTATTTGCATCCATGTTAACCTCTTTGATATCGTGAATTCGAGCTTCCAGCATAATTCATTAAAGAAACTCGCGATTTAAATTAGTAAATTTTGAGAAGAGATACGAAGATTATTGATGATGGTAAACGTTTCGTTTGCCCTGATGAAAAAAAGTTATAAATTTCTGGTAAAGTTTGGCATCTAGCTAAATTTCTTTTTCATTTTTGTTGCATAGATTGACTCCTTATGATGGATGTGAGCACCGGTATTAATGACGATGTATCCTTCCGCTTGGGGGAAATGTTTGACAGTTATGAAGAACTGGAACAAAAGCTAGACAGATTTTCAAAGCACAGTCTGGTGCATTACTGGAGGAGAGATAGTAGGACTGTGAGTGGAGCTCATATGAAGACTGCAAGACCCATCAGTGAACGATTAAAATATTATTCTGTCAAATATGCTTGCATTTATGGTGGCCAGAAATTCCTACCACGTGGTGCTGGCAGAAGACAATCTCAGTTAGTTTCCTATTTTTTGAGCAATATAAATATTTATATAAGTATTAATATTTATGTTAATTTTTTTTAATTTTTTTAATTTGTATATTTATATAAGTATTAATATTTATCTATAGTTTTAATACATGCTGTTTTTATTGATATATAGATCTATACGAACAAATTGTCCTGCTCACATTATGCTCAGAGCATCTAAAGATGGCACCAAGTTGGAAGTGACTAGTGTCAATAATGAACATAATCATGAAATTTCAGAAGTATGTAGATTTCAGCAACTTATTTTATTATCCCATTACAAGAAATTTTATAGCATCCAGAGCATAAAGTGATTCATAAGAATGAATTAAAAACTTGCAACATTTTTTTAAACAAGATTTCATTTTCAAATAAACAAATATCACTTTATGATAATTTTTAATGCTACGCAATGTTATATGTTTCAATTAGATTTTTATAAAAAAAATATTTTATTCAATAGGAACTATTTAAAAATCTTCCACAAGAGAGAAAACTCTGTGGTGAAATTAGACAAGAAGTTCAAGACCTCTTACAATTGCATATTGATCGTAAGAGACTAAGGGAGTATGTACGATTGCGTACTAACAAAGTACTTCGATCCAAAGATCTGTTCAACATAGCAGCAGCTAATAAGCAGAAGAGAATCATCACACCAGAGCGAGCATATCAGTTAATTAAGAAGATTCATGACATTGAAAAAATGCAGGCTAGAAATAGCAATAGAAAGATATATCCTGAATCTGAAGATGAAATAGCGCAAACTATAAAAAGAATGAAGAAGGAACAGGAAACTGCCTGGGGTCAAGATGTAAGACATAACTATATTTGCTTTATATTCACTTTCTTGTATGAATAATGTAAAAAAAAATTTTGTCTTTAGGGATTATCGACAGAATTAGAAGTGAGCGAGGGAAACGATGGTGAAGATTCATATAGCGGTCAGTTGACGCAAGAAGAAGTAGTCGATGAAATCGATACAAACGAAGATGAATTATTGAGAGCGGACAATGAAGGTGATATAATAGCAGCCGATGGAGAAATAGTAGGTGAATTGGTAATGGAGAATGGCGATCCATCAGTGATAGTCGAGTCTATCGTTAATGCGGACGGTTCCGTTTTCGTCGATGAGAGGGAATTTAACAATTACTGCAACAATCACTTGTCGCACACAGTAGATGATAGTCAATCGCCAAAATCGCGTGGTAAATTGATTTTTTTTTCTATAATATATAATACATGTATAATAGAAAGATGTATAAATTAAGAGAGATTTATATGTCAGTTTTAGATATAGAAGCTATCGCTTCAACTACCATAGAGAAAGTCACAAAGGAAACGTCTGTTTCGCCTAATCACAAGTCGCAAGCTGACTCTTTAACACTGCAACAGTCGCCGAAATCACCTAACAGTTTTCATGAAGCGGACTCGAGAATTTGGATTATGAAGGAAAATACTTCCATGGAAACGGAACCAGAAAGCGGACCCGAGAGTGAAACTATGACAACCAAGCAAGTCCCTATGGTGAAATCGGATATGGAGACGCCTGAAGTAGTATTGTCCGATGAAGCGAGTCACCAATTGCTTCAGGAACAACTGGCGGTATTGCGCGCCGAAAAAGGGAAACTGTACCACGAAACTGAAGTATTGAAACTGAAGAAGGACAAGCTGAAGTTGCAAATTAATTGCTATTCAAACGAAATAAGGAAACAAGAGATGGAGAGGGAGAAGCTTAGGCTCGAAATCAAGTTACTTCAGTCTAAAGTTATGGAAGACACTAACGATGTATCACATTACATCTTTGTGCCTTAAGTTTTTTGATTCTATTGTAAAGTAATTGTAAATAGTACCTTACTTACATTGCTTAAGAAGATATATTTGCATGTAAAGATTACATGCTCATATATCTAGATATATGTTTATCGCTATAACAGAGTTTTATCTGTGAGATTATCAAAATGAATACATTGCAAACTCAGCAATAAAAGTAGATTTTGCTACTAATTCTGGTAAGATGAGATATTCTTCCTTATAAAATGTGTGATATGTAATAAATAATAAATATGATTATATATCACATAAAAATATATATATGAATTTTATATGGCAATTTATGAGTTAATTAATTCTAAAACATTTCTCTTGATTTCTCACATATACAATTTTAACTTATGAAATAAAGTGATATTTTTATTTATCCTAATCAATTTTAATATGGATAAATATTACTATTTTTAATAGTAATATTAATCCATATCAAAACTAATTTTTAGTACTATTAGTATGGATTGATAGTAATATTTTTTAAGAATTTTGTTCAACATAATATTCGGTATATTTTATTTTATGGAGAAACAGACTGTCTTTAAAAAATTATTTTTATAAGGCTATAGATATATATATGTATCTATATGTATCTATATATATATGTATCATTTTATGAATTATATTTTTACAAAATAATTATAAAATAATTTTATTAAGATAAGATAAAATAATTATACAAATAAATTATAATAATTAAAAATAAGATAATGAATATTAAATAAAGCTATAAACTATACACATCTCATAAAAAATTTCTTTACAGTGAATTGCAAATCATCGCATTTCAATTGTCACTTAGCAAACTTAATAATATCTTAATAATTGTCGTGGTTTTTCCGATTATTTTTAGCTAGCTGCGGGAAGAAAAATTTCAATTTGTCATATGAAATTACAAATTACATCATTCTCGATTCGAAGAAACCGCCATTATCCCCACTCGCGTCATTGGATATCACAGTTGAGACAGATGGCAGCAAGGACGCTGCTGGATTCTTGCGACTCTTCGATGGACTTTTCATTTTCCCGGACCGCGCTGATTGTGGTTCGCACGTACGTATAGTAGTAGTTTTCGACTTGACTTCAACGAGCATCTGACGACATGATGAGATCCCTGCTGCTTTTGTGCTGGGCCGCGACGATCGTATCAGGTAAACAAATATCTACGGTCAAGTTTGCGATTTCATTATCTTCCTATGACAATGACAGCTGGTGTTTGCGGAAACTTACTCCCGTGACGTATTCGGCGACGTTGGGGCGATTCCCATCGTCGTCCTTGCCGTCATCGTCGTCGATCTTGCGCGATTTTTGGCAACGAAGGAAAAAGAGGAGGGGAACGAAATGTCACTGCTGTTTCAAAATTGCATTCTTGCCCTCGCAATAGCTGTACCGAGCATGAAATTAATAATTGCGCCTCCAAGTTTTTCGTGGGACGCCATGATGAGGCGGACGTATCTATCTACCATTCGGCTTTTTTGAACAAGGATATTGTTACGGGAAACTCGAGTGCAGCAGCACTTGCGTTATTCAATGCACGATGATTAATGCTTGAAACAAAACGATCACTCGGTGTCCGCATGAAATGACATTGGAACGAGATGTTCCGGAAAGATCGCGCTTATATTACGTTACGCGATAAGGACTACCGTTTTTCTAGAGATAGAATTTATATTAATCATTTACGGATGATGCCTCTCTCATTAAATCCGTCATCGTGAATTCAAAATGATTTTACTTTACTAAATTTATATGTAAAAAAACATTTCACGTTTTTAATATTTGAGTTTATCTCTTTCTTTTTTTTATATTGAATTTTGCTTTTCTTTCTCAGTAATACAGTTGACAGTTTTTTTCACGTAATTCGTCGTAAACAAATATGCAATATGAACAAAATTTTAATGTTAAAAATATATGACATATTTAACTTTTTAATAATTTAATAGAATATTGTATGTGTGTAAAATATAACATTTTTAATACTGCTATGTTGTACTTTGTATATTTTTAAAATTAGAGATGGAAAAAATATTGAAAAATATCTTAACTGCAAAAATAAATTATAATAGTCTCTTTTTAGAATTTATTTTCCTTATATTATTTTCCATTTTGAAAACTTTTTTTATATATGACCTTGAATATTGAGAATGCCCTGATATAATACAGAAATGTAATTGTATATGTATGATTTTAACAGCTGGCCTGCAGAACGTCATCAATAACACAAGTGTTTCTATCAACTCGGCCGGCGACAATGTAGCTCCAAATGTGTTAAAACCCTCTGAACTAGGATCTTTATCATCGACCGAAAAAGATGCACATGTGCCATCCATTCCACCCGAATCAAATACAAATTCAAATGTAACTTCAAGGGCTCCTGAAAATGTATCTTTAAATGATTCTGCTGCAATAACCCTACCAACAATTGTAATAACTACAACATCTAAGCCAACTACATCAACTACATCTAAGCCAACTACACCAACTACATCTAAGCCAACTACACCAACTACAACTAAGCCAACTACACCAACTACAACTAAGCCAACTACACCAACTACTACAACATCTACAACATCTACAACTAAACCAACAACAACACCTATACCTAGTACAACCACACCAACACCGACACCACTTCCACCCCCCAGTACTGGAACATGGAAAGTTCAAGAGAACAATACATTCTGCATTATAGTTCAAATGGCTGCACAATTCAATGTTTCTTATATTAATGCCAACAATAAGGTAAGCGTACTAAATTTGCAATATATATATATATATATATATATATATATATATATATATATATATGCATGTATATATATCTATATGTAAATAATTTTTATCAAAAATTGATATAAATATAAGTGAAATTAATATTAAGATTATATTCATCATGTATAATCAATGTTATGTCTGTACTATTTTTGCAGACAATCCACAAAGCAGTGGATATACCCACAAACAGTAGTGTGACAGGAAAATGTGGTAAATTTGAACAAAATCTAACATTGTCATGGGGATTGCAGAATAATTCTGCATCTAACCTTACTGCTCAAAATAATTTCACATTACATTTTGTAAAGAACGAGACGGAAAAGCTTTATTCTCTTCATCATTTAGAAATCTCTTTGGTGATAGAAAAATCTTCGACTGATAAGTCAAGTATGGTATCATCTAATGTAAACAAAGTCGCACTTTGATCTCTACATATTTTTTTCTAAGACGAATTTCTATACCATTTCAGATCAAACTATGACGGTGATACATATGGCACCACAGTTTAATACTGGATTGAGCAACTCTTACAGATGTCTAAAAGAACAGTCCTTGAACTTAACTTCCAAAAATGAAACTGTAGGGCAATTGAAAGTATCCCATTTGCAATTCCAAGCTTTTAGAAATGACAATACTACCGTTTTTGGCCTAGGTAAATATTATGAGTTTTTTATCTTGTCAATTTTATGCCATATATGTTCTCATATTGATATTACTTAATATAATTTGTAAATTTACCCTTTTTTTATTTTTCCTTTTTTAGCCAAAGACTGTTCGTTCGATACGCCTGACATCGTTCCTATAACAGTAGGTTGTGCATTGGCGGGTTTGGTGGTAGTTGTATTGATTGCATACCTTGTTGGCCGCAGACGAAGTCAGTCTCGCGGTTATCTTAGTATGTAAGCAGAGTTTTGTGAAATTTCTTTTTTTTTCTCTTTTTTTTTTTAAATTGTTAAATTCATTTTTTATGCGATGTTCCGTTAATGGAATCGATTGTCTTATTGAGAATTTATAATAGTTGTACTTTTTGTGTTCTATAGCCATGAGGGCTGTGACACAGTTAAGGAAAGAAAAAGTATAGTTTATACATTTATAAAGTTATCTCGATGTGCGGAAAAGGGGGGCAATATTAAAAAATGCGTTATCGATATGTATCGCAAAGCGGTTTAAAATCGATATTCGAGAGTGGATAATAATTTCGAAACAACATGCTCTGTTCCAAAACGACGATACTCTAACGACATAGGAATGAATTAATATAGATAAGTTGTGTGAGATCTGCATTGTATCTGCACTGCTATTACTTTTGATTAGCAGTGACGATTGTTTGAATTTCCATAAACATTTTATAATGTGGAATGAGAATAAGGAACAAGTTCGTTTTGATCGACACATATGATGCTAAAAACCTAGATATTCATGCTGGATCTATATAACTTCACCTAACAAAAGGCATTGTAACACGAAGTTTTCCTTTTTTTTTCTTTTTTTTTTTCTTAATTATTTTCCTGACTTTTTAATTTTACTACGATGCGATATTCCTCTATACTTTATATGTACATCGATATTTCTGTGTTTGCGTTCGTACATGAATTCTTTTTATTAAAATGTACTGTGAAGTAATATCAGTTGTTTATATAGCCCTAAGTATGCATGCGTGAGCGTACCAGGAATAGTATGAAGGAGCACGAGCTTCTATCAGTCGATTTAAATTAAATTAAAGTTTGTGCTTCACTTAACTTGAAATAAACACGCAACTTAGATACTACAAACAGTGCAATCTTCTAGATGTAAAAATTCATCAGTTAACATTAAGTAGAATAAAACGTAATCTCAAAAATGATAGATCAATTCCTATATATAAATTATATAGGGAAATTTTACAGAAACTTCGTTTTCTGAATGAACGTATGTTCTATTTAATGTAAATGATAGTCTTGAAAATAAATATGTACTACACTGCTTATAGAGAGGCACTGATTTTAATGATGGATTTAATGAAAAGTATTTTTACAGTCGCTGTTGCTTTTGAAAAGTTTTATCTAAAAGATAATGCGAGGATATACAGGGAGATCTAATGTTTGTATAAAAGAAAAAAAAAAGAAAAAAACAAATGGAATTTCAGAGTTTAACAAGGATTTCGCGTGTGCACCGTGCTGCTTCATAAGTACTATATTGTGAAAAGACTGAATGTGAAAGCAAATAGTGAGAGAGAAGCGAAAGTGGAAACAGGGCAAAAAGAGTTAAGTAACAAATATATATATATATAATTGAATAAAGCGCTGTGTGTACATATAAAACAAAGTAGTAAAATACTACTTTTGGATTATATAAGTACATGTATTACAAATAGGCAAAATTGACATTATTATCAATAAAGGGAATATTTCAAAATTTCTGCATTCTTCTAACGCTACATTTTCCATGCATTTTCTCCAAGTTCTTCAATTTTCTCTGGATTTTTCTTTTATCGAAATTGCATGATTGATAGTTTTGAAATAATTTAAACAATATATAAAATTATTTGATTTACAAATTTAGGCATAAATTTAAATATTAAACATATGAGTATGCGTTATTTTTTTATACCGCTTTTATATATATATATATAATAACAATAAGATAATTGTATACTATTTTCAAGTTGAATTGCTTAAGTGGAGTCTGAATAATTTTTTTAACGCTTTGATTGGTAAATAATGAGCACTTGTTGGAAAACTTGTTCATCAGGGATGTATTTGATTGACCAATTTCTTTCCTTCTTGATTGTTCTATTGATATTTGATCAAAATGAGTAAATCTTCGAATGAAATACGCACACTAATGCATACATATGTTACACGTGCCCAATTAATGGCGGCTGCTGACCTAACTTTCAAGAAATGTAGATGCAAAATGTAAACAATACGTCATGTAAATCGTATTAGCGAGTACATTGACGAGTAATTGAGATGTACACGTTGCTGCACGGTTTGTACAAGTATTTGGTGCAAAAGGATGAGTATTTCATATTAATTCTGGGCCTTGACAATGCAGGAAAGACGGTACTTGCTCTAGGATTTTGCAATTTTAAAGGTTATGACACGAGGAACTTTACGTATATGTTTTTTTTAGACTTACCTGGAAGCGGCGAAAACGAAATTTACGAAGAATTACAAGGGAATGAATCCGAGTAAGATCACGACTACCGTAGGCCTCAATATCGGCAAAATCGACATCGCCGGTGTTTCCTTCAACTTCTGGGATCTTGGTGGCCAAGAGGAGCTGCAATCTTTATGGGATAAAGTAATTAATAATAAAATTAATGCTTTACATATATTTCCATTTTGCTCTTCCTATACATTATTGTATCTCTCTATATCTTTTTTCTACTTTTGGAATTGTACGAATGATATTTTGCATCGCATTGATAGCATTTAATATAGTAACGTTGTTTCATTTGCAGTATTACGCAGAATCCCATGCTGTGATTTATATTGTCGACTCGTCTGATCGTGACAGGATACCAGATTCCAAAGAAGCTTTTGGTAAGGCATATTTCTCTAATGATGTTTGATAAACAAATTATAAGAGATTATACGTAACAAAATATTGTATGTAAAACAATAATGTGAAACATTTTTTAACATATTTTTTATATAAATTTTTTTACATAAAATTTTGAATATTTTGAAGTTAATTTTTTTCAATTCTTTACACACTTTAATCAGACATATAACAGATAATGAATGACATAGAATATATGTAACATAAATTACATTTGATTTTAGATAAAGTGATATCGTCTGAGCATCTAACAGGAGTACCATTACTGGTGCTCGCAAATAAACAGGATGTACCTGATTGTATGGGTGTCAGAGAAGTAAAACCAATATTCAATCAAAGTGCGCATTTAATTGGTAGAAGAGATTGCATGGTAATGCCTGTATCAGCGCTTAATGGGTAAGCAAACAAAAGTTTCTTACCGATTTACATTTGCATTAGTATATAGAATTTTAACAAATCAAAATAGCAGCTTTTTATACTACATAAAATTTCATAAACCATGTCTTCTGCATTTATCATGTGAAATAATGGTTCTTATTTCATCAAGGGATGGTGTAGATGAAGGCATACATTGGTTGGTAGATTGCGTCAAGAGAAACAGTGATGTGCGACCGCCCCGCAATCAAGACGATAATTCTTTATCGTAGTTGTGTATGTGTGTAACATTCCTGTTTTATAATTTATATATAATATTAGATGCACTGTACATATTTATACCATGGGTGTACAGTGTTTCTACAAGTAAAGAATTTTTTTAATATGCATCTTTCATCTCCCTCTGTTTAAACAAATATATGTTATGCTTGCATATGAAATATCACATATGCATGTAAGATTATTTATAATTTTTTATAATATTGTTTAAAATATAATTGTAAAATAATTAAAAAACTATCAGATCTTACTAAATTGCCATTAATTGTGAATGAGAACGATATTATAAGATGAATGATAATGTGCGTAATGTGTGTGATATCAAGGTAGGTAGAGAGATAAGAGATAATGCTCATACCTTGTCCCGTAGCTCTATTATGTTAGTGATAAAGAGCGTACAAAACTGATCGTGCACTTGTTTGATATATAGATTGTGATTTTTGCTACGTACATTCTTTGGATTGTAAACTCTTTATTTGTTCAACATTATCATACACCACCATGTGGCCTTACTACGACGCCGACGATTGCGGCGTCTTACCGCCAGACCAGAACAGAAGGTGATTTATTTGATTTATAATTCTAGCAGATGGAAAGCTTTTATCAAATGTATATTGCATAAGCTACTGTTCTTTGATCTCTCTTTTGATGAAGATTAACGTTGTCTAGATGTTTTAAGAGGCTTTTAGGGGATAGAGGAAAAAATCAAATCAGTCGGTTCATTTGCTTATATTCATATACCATGTATGAAGTATTAAATATGACTACTGAAAATATAATTCTCATACGAAGACTGCGTATCACATTTTATTCTTGATATAGTATATGAAAGTAGATGTATAAATTCGAATATAAACATCTTTCACATTTTATTAAGAACAATATCTTGCATTATTCTCATCGCATATTCCCTACATGCTTTGTACCTGGAAAAAAACAACGCTATCATTTATCTGTCATGTATGTGTGTGTATCATGCAATGAAATTTGCTGAAAAAAATTTGTGACTTGCAATGTTAAACTAACAGTACTCGTTATCTTATCACGAGAAGAAAAGCAGCAGAGAGGAAAATATCGTGTCCATTTCTCGCGAATGAAAATCGCGGTCGAAATCGATATAATCCCTGCGAAAGCAACAAGGAGACACGTTTTTTCCGTAAATCCTAGATTACCTTGGATTCATCGCCCTTTCGCGACATCCGAATTTCGCGCCCATGTGTGCGCGCAATGGTGCCACCACACACACACACACACATATATATGCGTACACACACTCGCAACGTTATTTCCCATACACACAAGTTGGAATTTATGTGACGCGCGGCGCTTCCCGCGCGTTTTCTTCGACAGTCGTTGTCATCCTCTCGAGAGTCGGAGACACGCGAGGTTATAATTCGTGCGTGTGTGTCTCTAAACCCACGACGAGAGACATCCTTCTCCCCTCGCGTCGCGCTTCCCCATGGAAAGTCCCTGACGACGTCAGTGACAACGTCGACGACGGGCGACAGCCATCTTTGAATCCTCCCGTCCTCGCGCACGACACGCGAAATTCCGCGCGACCTGTCGTCGACGAGACAGACGGGGTGGAGAAAGAGAGAAAGAGAGAGAGAGAGTGAAAGGACTGGGAAAAAAGAGCGAGAAAGAGGAAGAAACGTCGGGTGTCGAGTCGTTCGCGCGGGCGGGCTGTCAGTGTGCGCGTGCATATGTGCGTGTGCGCGTGTGTATGTGTATATGCGCGGTCCGTGTGGTCGACGACCGTGGTAGGTAGGGACTTCGGAGCTATGTTCTTGGGGCTCTGCTGACTAGAGACTGGCCTCCGTTTTCACGGCACCCGACGACGTCGCACGGTACGTATCCACGTTGCATCGTCGTCGTCGTCGTCGCGAATCACAAAGATCTCTCGATTACCTCGCGATAGAAGACGCGGGGGGGGAGGTGGGATACCGGTGGCGTTTCGAGTACCTCGAGTACACACGTCGCGAAGGTAGAAACGTGAGGGCGCACGGCTCGCATTCACCGAGGCCGAGATTCGGTGGATTCATCCAGAGCGACGACTTCGTGATCGGACCTGGTGACCCCCCGAGTTCGAGTCCCGTCCGTGATGTGAATCTGGCACCCACCTGGGGCTAATCGCGCCGACCCTACGGCAGCCGAGTACTCGGATCCGCTTCTGTCATCGCGTATGTATTCCCGCGCGCGATAACACGTCACGCGAGAAGTTGCTGGCCTCTCCTCCTCGGGACGCGTTCGCGAGGGATGCTCGACAGCCGCGGGCTAACCCTCCCTCGACCTGCACTTCCTCCTTATGCAAGGCCCCCCCCTCGTGTTTTGCGCGATATATGCTGTCGTGGCCGAGTCGAGCGCCGCGGGATTCAGGCACGTGAAATCGCAGTGACATCATTCGTCGTAGTTGATTGATATTGCTACCGTGCCCTTTTTTTCCGTCGCGATCGACGATGCATTCGGAGCCCGGTATGTCCCTCACGCTTCTACCGCGAGACGTATCACGAGCCGATATGTGATCCGTATGCCCATTGCCCTACTTTGGGAAGCTTCTTTTTTGGAGCTTTCCTCGCATTCCGTCTTCTGTGTCAAGTTGTGTTCAATGATGCGTATATATATTATGTAGCTATTGGTCTTTTGAATTTATCAGCTTCTAATTAAGGTAATTTCAAGGTGACTAGATCGCTTTTCTCTTTCAAAGTGGCGACAGATTAGATTTTCACGAATGGCCAATTATTGTACATATATTTACATTACTTTTAATGGAATGTTAGATTTTACGTAACAATTTTTTATATCTCTCTCTTATGCGAAAAAAATAAGTAACAAGATACGATACTTGTATGTTAATTTTGACAATGTACATAATAATCATTTTGCCGTAAAGAGAAATCTTTTAAATGGCCATAGCATTGTTATAAATATAACATTATTCTTTAAGTAAAATGTGCAAAAATTGAAAATTGCAAAATCACTTTGTGGACTAGAACATTAGATGTACATTTATAGGAATTTATATGTATGCAATCTAAGCTATTTTTATCGCATCATCAACACAGAAGACTGAATTGTTTTTTTTTTTATATTCTTCGTTGTTTTGATTCGAATTTCCATTATATATGTAATCTATTAATATAATACTAACATCCTTTATAATATTGTCATTGTCCTGTGTCCACTAGGAGGATAGCAGAGTTCGTGTTTTGTACTCATCTGTGCTTGGTTTTTTTTTTGTGAAGCTTGTGGCATAGAAATTCAAAACTCAAGTTGAGAAACAATGAATGCCTCAGAACATGGGTAATGCATACCTATACATTCTTATACATATATGTATATTAATCTTGAATTTTGACAATAGTGACAGAAATAATAATGAAAGAAAAGTGAATTGTAATATGTTTATCTCTCTCATGTGTTAAATACATTAAAATCAGTTGGTTTGTTATTTTTACTTAATTGAAATGTCCATTTTTTAATATGAGTGAAAGAAATTTATCGTAGATGACATATAGTTGTTATATCATATTTTTATATTTTATATTTTGCAAGAATATGAGATACCAAAGTAGCTGCGATAAAATTAAGTTGTTAAATAAACAAATATTATTGCACGATGAGTAGATCTGACAAGTAGAAATATTGATGCTTATAAAACAGCATGAGTGTGTATTTTTTTTAGGTTTAACCCAGCCTTTAACATGGCCTCCATAAAGCAAGCTTTCAATGAGGCTGTGGAGAGAGGTAGGTGTATTGTTGATGTAATTAACTTACAATGACTGTAACAGCTAATCATTGGAACATCTGATTCTGCCTGTTTGCTACTTGCAATCTTTTCTGTATTCTTTCATATTTTAAAAATTAATCAGGTTTAAGTTACTTTAAAAGTTGTGAATTTTTATATTGCAACATATTTAAGTAATGACTAATTGGTTTCTCCATAATAGAAAAGTATGCGTTTTGTTTGTCCAAATTTTTCTCAGGAATTTTTTATCGTTGTATTTTTACTTTACTTAGTTAATTTATAAAGTTATTTGCAAGCGGAATCAGCGGTTGCCAAAGATAGTAATAATTTGTACTGATGACTTTTTCACGCTTTAAAAGTCTCAACAGTTAGAATGCCTGCGCCGACACGGTTGAGGGATCTGATTAGACAAATTCGAGCTGCGCGAACGGCTGCGGAAGAGAGGACAGTCGTAAATAAGGAGTGTGCATATATCCGTTCGACATTTAGAGAAGAGGACAGCGTCTGGAGATGTCGTAACATTGCCAAATTGCTCTACATACATATGCTGGGGTTGGTATCGAGATATTAATTATAATGTCCAATATCGTCACTTGAAATATTATCACACAAAACATTATTTTTTAAATATCCATTTTAGATATCCGGCGCATTTCGGTCAGTTGGAATGTTTAAAGCTCATCGCTTCCCCAAGATTCACAGATAAACGAATTGGTTATCTGGGGGCCATGTTGTTGCTTGACGAGCGACAGGACGTGCATCTCTTGATCACGAATTGTTTAAAAAAGTAATGTTGCTCCGCATTTTCAGACACACTTAACATTTCCATGTGTTTTTCAAAGAAGATTAATATCTTCATTTCTTTTCTTTAACAGTGATTTGAATAGCTCAACACAGTTTGTCATTGGTCTGGCATTGTGCACCCTTGGTGCGATTGCATCGCCGGAAATGGCGAGGGATCTAGCGTCCGAGGTCGAGAGACTGATGAAGTCGCCGAATGCGTACATCCGAAAAAAAGCGGCGCTTTGTGCCTTTCGGATTATCAGACGTGTTCCGGAGCTGATGGAGATGTTCCTGCCGGCCACCCGTAGCTTGATCACCGAGAAGAATCACGGAGTGCTCATCACCGGCGTTACCCTTATTACGGAGATGTGCGAGAACAGCGTCGACACGCTAAACCATTTTAAAAAGGTATATCTGAAACAATATTCACTTGCGACGCACAATATTCACTAGTAAAATAAGTTTCTTAAAACAAGTTTCTGTAGACACATGCAGTTCAATATCGTAAATATGATCTCCTTTGCCAAGTCATAGTTTTATTGCATCATTTAATTGATTTGAACTGTCACATGACTGTATAATTTGATCTGTCTAGTATGGCCGATATCAAAGACTGATAGTAATAGAGAAACTTGCTGAAAGAATATCTAGTATGCATATCTGGAATTATTTATTAGATAATTTACGAAGTGGAATAACGTTAGACAATTATGGTATGTTCATGAGATAGTGATGGAAAAGAATGCAGTCTCAATTTTTATAGATATGTTGTGAAATAGTGTTACGAAAGTTGTTCAGAAGAATATTTTATTGGAGTTAGAGAGAGAGAGAAAGAAAGAAAGAAAAAGAGAGAGAGAGAGAGAGAGAGTCATAAATATTAATGAATCACAAATTATTTTCTCTTGGCGAATTTATAAGTAGTAGGAGAAAAAGAAATTATCACTTTATGTTAATATCAAAATTTTGAACATATCTTTTATTTTGCAGTCATAATACTCCTTGTGCTCTAAATAAATTATATTGCAGCTTTATTTATATATAGGCAAAGATTTGCGAGTGTTTTCTTCTATTTTTGGTATTTTTCGAGGAAAATATCATCTATTTAAAGAACAATTATATAATATATGTCTTATGAAAGTTACGTAAAATTTAATTCTTTTAAATTTATCATTTGAGTATACATAATATAAGCATTGATTTTGTCTTTCTTAGGAATGCGGCCACCGTGAGGTAATATGCATATAAAAGTTCTTTGTATTTCTGCATGTATGCTTACTACTCAGACTTCATTCTTTTCTTTTACTTTATCTGAAGTAAATGTTGTAAATGTCAACTACCAAAAATCGTGAAATCAATATCTTGTCTGCTTTTTTGGAAACATTATTTTTTTAATTATTAAATTACATTTCTATATATATATATATATATATATATATATATATATATATATATATTCTTCTTATATAACAATATTATATAAAATTTTTTATATTATTATTCTTCATATGAATTTTTCATTATTTTTTGAGAAAATAGTTAATGTTCAAAGATATTATAGTCACAATTGTAATATTTATAATTGGCATGATGATATTTTGTATAGTTGCATGTTTATCTTAGCTTGTTTATGAATCAAGCTCTATATTTATCATATATTTAACTAAATAGCTTGTAAGTGTAATATGGATATTTAATTAATATAATATATATAATTTGCATTCAAGAAAAAATTGTTCTTAAATAAAGCTCTGAAATCAAATGTTCAAATATTACTTAAGTCAATTGTACGTATATTATTTGCATTTTGGTATACGTTACATGACAATATATATGTATATTATTTCATAATGGTTTGTTCTGTCGATCTTATTTCTTATATATATTTGATATTTGTAAGTAATCGCATTAAATGTAAATTTGTAGTATCTTTGGAATTAAATAAAAGTCTTATTGCAGATTGTGCCAAATCTGGTAAGAATCCTGAAGAATTTGATCTTAGCTGGATATTCGCCCGAGCATGATGTGTCCGGAGTGTCGGACCCTTTCCTACAGGTGAAAATATTACGTCTTCTTCGTATCCTGGGACGCAACGATGTCGACGCGTCCGAAGCCATGAATGATATCCTTGCTCAAGTCGCGACCAATACGGAAACAAGCAAAAATGTTGGTAATACTATACTGTATGAGACAGTTCTTTCCATCATGGATATCAAGTCGGAGAGCGGACTTCGAGTTTTAGCGGTCAATATATTGGGCAGATTTTTACTGAACAATGACAAGAATATCAGATATGTAGCCTTGAACACATTGCTGAAGACAGTTTATGTGGACACAAGTGCAGTGCAGAGGCATCGATCGACAATTCTAGTAAAATACTTATAAATCTTTTTTTTCTTTCTGATAAAAATAAAATGCTTTATTATAATTAATCTTTGACATTAATTTCAGGAATGTCTAAAGGATCCGGATGTGTCAATTAGAAGACGCGCAATGGAATTAAGTTTCGCGCTCGTAAATACCAATAATATCAGAAACATGATGAAGGAATTGCTCTTGTTCTTGGAACGAGCTGATCCGGAATTCAAGGCTCAATGCAGCAGCAATATCGTAATGTCTGCGGAAAGATTTGCTCCAAACAAACGTTGGCATCTAGAAACTCTATTTAAAGTACTCGTTGCGGTATGTATTTTTACGATATCGTAAAATGAAATTCATACGTGCGAAACATGATTATTGAATCTTCTAATCTTTAGGCTGGTAATTATGTGCGTGACGATGTAGTAGCATGCACGATACAATTAATATCCGAGACGCAACCTCAACAGAATTATGCTGTTAGTGCTCTGTGGCATGCGTTAGAAAAAGATACATCCGATAAACAGCCTTTAGCACAAGTTGCCACATGGTGTATCGGCGAATATGGTGATCTATTGCTGTACAGTCCGCCATCGGAGGATGTCGAAACTCCAATCAATGTAAGTTCGATTATAGCAATAGTGATGATCTATACAGAAGAATATTTCAATATTGCTATGATGGAATGTTTAAACCATTATTTCTTGATCACATTTTTCTTGAAAATTTTATATGATTACAATTTCTCGTAATAATTTCTCAAACTTTTTTTAGTTGACAGAAGATGAAGTTATCGATGTATATCAAAGATTACTCTGGAGTCCTCAAAATACTGTAGTCACGAAACAATATACCTTATTGTCTCTTACCAAATTAAGCACGAGATTCCAGAAAGGTCACGAGTAAGTATCACACTTTTAAGAATTTATGCGCGCGTGATTCTATATAAAAGATCTATATAAAAAATCTACTTTTAAAATGTAGTCATTAATGTTTTGTAATATTTTATTATTACAGAAAAATTCGTCAGATTATAGATACATTTGGTAGCAATTTGCATATCGAATTACAGCAGAGAGGTATTGAATTCTCACAATTATTCCGAAAGTATGATCACTTGCGGCCCGCTTTACTCGAGAGAATGCCGCCTATGGAGACTGCTCGACCACAAGCTAATGGCATCATAGGTATGGTGAATGGTGAACCAGAACCAGAAGAGGAAAAATCCACAGTTCAAGAACCAACCACGACTACATCTGATTCAGTAAGCATATAGCATTAATTCCTTTTTCTTTACATATATATATAATTAATATAAATTTATATTTCATGTCCAATATTTTATTCATATTCTCAATTATACTCTTTTTTTGTTTTCAATATATATGTGAAAAAAAAATATATATATACAACGTTTCTTATAATATATATTAAAAATTTCTAATCATATTAAAAAATAAATGCATTTAGAAGAAAATTAGAAATAATTTAAATAATGAAAAATATACTAAGAATCATATTTCGTTTCTTTTTTACAGAGTGCACTTCTAGATTTACTTGGAACTACGGATGTGGGAGTGACGATGTCGGCGACAACGACCTCCAATAAAAATGCTTCGGGTTCGACCGCGGTAACGCATAATAATGATCTGTTAGACTTGCTTGGAAGTTTAGATTTGAATACACCTACGTCTGCCGTCACACCTACGCTGCCGTTACAACCGCAGGCATCATCCGCACCAATGTTTAGTCCCACCAACACCAGTAACTTCTTAGTGGATGGATTGCTCAGTACTTCCTCAGTTCAAAACGGTTTGTGGAATTTGAAAAGATCGTGAGTTTATTTTATATTATAAATCGTTATAATCGTCTTTCTTATTGCAGAACTACCCAGTATGGTTGTTTTGGATAAATCGGGGCTCAAGATAACGTTCAATTTAGAGAGACTGCCAGATATTCCCGATCTGTTAGTTATAAACATGTTGGCTCAGAACTCTGGAAGCACCGTTTTAACTGATTTTCTGTTTCAAGCAGCAGTTCCTAGGGTTAGACATGATATATCAAATTTACATATATATATATATATATAATTATTTACCATATATAAAAAAAATTTTATGCATTTATTTCATATTTTCCACTTTTAGACATTCCAATTACAAATGCTATCGCCATCAGGTACTGTCATTCCACCATGTGGTCAAGTAACTCAAGTGTTGAAAGTCACAAATATGAATAGGGTCAGTTGCCAATACTTCAATTAACATAAAATAAAGTTTTTTAAACTTTTACTTTCTAATATCGATGATCTTTTCTATATTCTTTAGGCAGTGCTGAGGATGAGACTGCGTATATCATATACAGGTCCAGCTGGACCAGTTTTGGAACAGACAGAAGTTAATAACTTTCCCGCCTCGACATCACAGTGACAAGATATAATACAAACAACATTTGTATATATGCCTGCCTAAAAGTAATTAATCGATTTTTGAAGACAGACTGGGAAGAAAAAACAGGAACGCAAATTTCATCTCCATTCGAAACAATGAAACATATAAGTTGGCAAATGGATATATCTAACATGCAACAATCAATTCAACAGAACTCCTGCTTATGCGGCACAGATAAGACATGACCTAAACTTTATAAGGAAATTTTGGATTTGTTAAAAATACGTTTTTTAATTTTTATGCGATTGTACGGTGTGTTCTAAAAGCACATTTGCAACGAATTTTTCGAAAGATATTCTTTTGCCGCATATTAAAATTATCAAGAATTTCTGCGTGGGCAAGTTCCGATAAATTTCCAGTCGCGAACAATGTGATGTTAACATTTAAAGTCTTTCAAAATTACATTATATATATATATATATATATATATATATATATATATATATATCATTATCATTATCATTTCCGCTTCGAGTCTTACAACGAGCGAATGTAAAAGTACTTTGCTCTCGCAATATGCCGCAAAAATGTATGAAAAAAAAAGAAAAAAAGATGTAAATATTTTTTCTAACCAAAACAGATGCGGAGAGAGTTGAGGAAAATATTGTGCTCTGGTTGGTTGCATTCCCGCTGTTTTACGGCTACTAATTTAGTGCGTAATTTCTTACGTAGACTAAAATGATTTAAAAAACTGAGATATAGGAAAATGAGTAAGAAAAGACACACAATATACACATACATTAGATGCATCACATTTCAAAAAACAAATCGTGAAACAGAGGGAGAGAAAGAGGAAGCGAAAGAGATGAGATAGATAGATAAATAGGAAGTTCCGTCACCAAAAGTGCGTTGTCGTTATCCCCAAAAGAAACAAGGAAAAACTTAATTCTCACTGTAACAAATCAATCTTTTCTACTGCTATATTTATAAGTAAGACATCGCGAATCGTTAAGACTTGCGCAATCGTCTTGTAAATATAATCACGGTGACATATAGAGAAACAAAGAAATTCTTTTATGAAGAAATAGGAAAAAAAGAAGCGCGAAATGGAATTCTTTATAATATACGAGGTCTGTAAATAAAGTAATGAGACTTTTTCGAGATAAACTTTTATTTATAATTTAACTATAATTTAACTCTGTCTCCTTCAAAATAGTTTCCTTGAGAAGCCACGCAGCGCCTGAGACGTTGTTTCCAGTCTTTATAGCAGTGCTGGAACTCAGAAACCCGAATGGCCTTCAGCGGGTCGGTTACAGTCGCTTTTACATTTTCGATCAAAGTGATGTCTTTTAAAATAAGTTCAATCTCGGGAAGAGAAAGAAGTCACAGGGACTCAGGTCAGGCGAATACGGAGGCTGGAGGACGACAGAAATGTTTTTCTGTGCTTTCGATTACAGAGTTTTTGGCACGGAAAAATATTTCTCGTCGTTCCTCAGCCCCCGTATTCGCCTGACCTGAGTCCCTGTGACTTCTTTCTCTTCCCGAGATTGAAAACTCATCTCAAAGGACATCACTTTGATACGACCGAAAACGTAAAAGCGGCTGTAACCGATCAGCTGAAGGCCATTCGGGTTTCTGAGTTCCAGCACTGCTATGAAGACTGGAAACAATGTCTCAGGCGCTGCGTGGTTTTTTCCGAAGGAACTATTTTGAAGGAGACAAAGTTAAATTATAGTTAAATTATAAATAAAAGTTCATCTCCAAAAAGTCTCATTACTTTATTTACAGACCTCATATGTACATGCTAGAACTATTAACTCAATAACGAATACGATAATATTCATGTTTTCGTCTTCGAGAAATATCATTTGGAGGGCCGGGAAAATGGTGCATACACATATATGCTACTGAAACACCACATATACATACACACATGACACTCACATTGCACAAGTGTGTTACGTATGTAACGCGATTTCAAAAATTCATATTCAGAGTACAGAGTAACACATTGGAGGGCTGATTGTATCATAATTATTGTCTCGCGTATGTATATTAAACGTTGCATCCAATCATAAAAGATCGGGATTCATTATCGATCAATTAATTCTCTTTATTGTGTTCGAATGATATTAATTTTCGCAAAGTATCTCTATCAGTGTTTCTTTGCGTTGTATAATTCTATTAAATTAATTCTAATAAAAATTACGAAATAAATGCCGAGAGGTATAAAGTTTTGGGGAATATATCTTAGCTGAAAAATTATTGCAAAATAGAAAATAAAATGTAAAGCTTCGAGATTGATTTTATTCACATCCGTAAACTCTGTAGTCTAATTATCGTCTAGCTGTACGCATTTTTAAGAAAGTCATAATGTAAAGTCGAAAAAGAATTATACATATATATCTTGACAATAGTCTACTTTTAAGTTTCAGTATAATTACTAACATAAAATTAACAGCCAAGTAAAACGATGTACGTGTCTCTTGGTTATCATTTAATTTTGCGAATTTTAATTTTACTCGATTCACTTTGAATTATTTACAGCGCCACAGATATCGCTTGTACATATATGTGTCGAAGAAAGAAAAGAGAAAAGTGTACGGATAAAAAACTCGCTCATTTAATATAATATATTCGTACGATTTTATACTTACTTTGTCGAATACTTTCACGCGTATGTTGAGCGACAAATATGTATGTGAGTTCGCTATAATAGGTATACAGTTTAGAAAGAATATATAGTACGTCGGGAGCAATAGAGTTGGCAGGCCAGATTTCCAGATATCTATTTTCTCTAGACTTTCCTACGAATTAGGTTAAAACACGCTGTTGTACTTAATTATTTAATTCGCTCCGAGATGTGACAAAACATTATAGCACGTAATACTATGTAAGTGTAGATGTGTATGTATATATCACAAAGATTCATCTCTTATATTAAGAACGTCGTTCTGGCACTTTTCTTTACGATCGCGTCGTTTGATTTTTCAATCGAGATGTCTTTTGTATAACTTTTCGATTAGGTTTACGATTGATTGATAAAACTATATGCATTTTAGCTCCGTCCCTTATATGTTATGAGAGATGCGAGTGCGCGCGCGCGAAAGGTATAAGAGTATATAAAATAGAACAGGTGGGTGTGCGTTTCTGAGTGGCCTTGTCCTTAAAGTCTGTGACACAGCGTCAGCCCTTCAGTGGGTTTTGCTCTGCCTACTTGTTCTGAATATATTATATATTAGTTTTATATATATATAATATATAAATATATATAACATATATATATTTATATTACATATATATAATATATATATATACATACACGAGGATATTGATTAATGATAAAAATGCTGTATATATACTTTCTAGCGAATCAAGGTGTGAAAATAAAATGTATTTTTATTCCATTATGCTTTTAAACATTCGACACATTCATACTTGATACATTCTTGAAGTATATTTATGTAAAGAGAAAATATTGAAAGGTAATATCATCATATCTCCGTATTTTAATTTCTCGACGATTTTAAAAACTAAGAAATCTTAATCGAATTTCAAAAATTTGAAGGAGATATATATCTCATACATATATCTTTATTACAAATACATATTTTCTAACAGATTATCATAAAGCACACCTTATTGTTTCTGCTGAGGATCACAAGTTGCATTACTGCCAACATGATTAAATAGTCGGTCCTTAATTATTTGTGCCATTAAACCGTGAATAACTTCGATAGTGGTCTTACAACTATCTCTGGTTGCTTTTATGAGTTTTTCCACTGTGCTGCGATCGTGTGGATCTGTGCCACCCAAAACAAATCCCCTACCCAAAGCTGACTCCGACTGTTCCAATTTATCCGACAAGTCGAATATCTGTCCAGTAGTGTAATCCGCATTTGTTAATAGGCTAGAAGAACTTAGAGTGTTGACCCAATATTTATTCCATAACGAATCGAGCAATCGTCTATCCAAGGAGGACTTGAAATAAGATACTTCCAAAGAATAATATTGTTTGCAATGAACACCAAAATCCTCGATCTTGTTCAACGGTATTGTCTGATATTCTGATGGTTCCTCGTTTGCAGGTTTATATCCCTGTACAAATAGATATGATTGAGAAATAATTTATAGTGCTTTCTCGCGATAAAGAATAATTCTAGACTCAAATTATTCTAGAAATGAGAGAAAAGAACATCATCTTTAATCTTCTAATTTTTAAGACAGATTGCTAATTCTAATTTTCAAACATTATAGCTCGATACTATACCTTTGGATAAGTTCTGAATGCGCCCAGGCAAACCTTGCCGGCAGAAATAGTTCTCACAGGATCTATGACAATGGCGACGAATGGCTCTTGAAAATTTTGATTTAGCATCTGGGTGGATACATCGATCCCAGATAACCAACATCCATATCCAGGATGACTGTGATACCAACCAATTGCATTTTCTTGCCTACCAACCTGAATGATAAATTATTATATAGATTACAGATTTAGCTTTGCATTGTTTAATATTTCTTCATTACAAAATAATATACATACCTGCTTAGCTGCTTCTATATAAGCTGTCATATATTCATAAGCTTGAGCTTGAGCATTCACTCTAGTTTCTGTGCCCTCGACTGGCAGTGCAAAGGAATCCATTACAATCATTGTATTGGCTGCTACTTTACCAAGTAAAAGCCCCATTACCTCCAGTGTTCCGCCAGATCGTGCATGCATAACCATTTTCAATAAAGCTAATGCAGATATTTTTATGTCTTTGAAGAAATGGGGACTAAAAGAAAATAAGAAAAGAGAACAATTAATACTTTTAGTTTTCTCATGTCCAAATTATTGATATTCTTACTCTTTTTCCCATGGTTTGGCAGTTAATATATCGTGTTGTTCTTTTCTATCATATCTGTAAATCTCATCCATGGTGCTAATAGTTTCAATGTTATTCGATAATTCCCATGTTTTTTGAGCAATACCGCTTTGTTCAGTAGAAGGCCCAGCCATATTGCCAAATATACCTGATAAAGATACTAATGTTAATAATAATTATAGGAGTAAAGATTAATGTATTTCATACACTCCATTTTATTATATCAACATTGTAACACGATAAAAATGCGAGTAATGAATTATAACAAACACCAATCTCCAAATAAAAATTTTTTTCTAGTTGGAACTATTTCCAACTCTACAAAATATTATTCAGCACATTTATATTTAAATTTTTAATACATTTGTGAGGTTAAGAACATCGAATAGTTTCGAATTGTCATCTGTCAATATAATTATTACAAACTACATATAAATATACTAACTAGACGTCGATTAGTTATACTTTTTAAAACACAATCGTGCTAATTATAATCCACTGAGCAACTTAAACATAGCTAAAATAATAGCGATTATTATTGCGCTCACTACTTTACGTGAGTTTACTATATTTTCAACGGTTAGAAACACATGTATATACACTGTGACAGTATCGATAAACAATTATCGATGTATCGATAGTGTATAATAATATCGATACTCTTTCTGTGACAACATTCCTTCTCAATGCGATCTTCAGTTTTCACACCTGCGAGAAAATCTTCATAATAAGTCAAAAGTCATGAGGTAAATTGTACATGAGACTGCATAATATTATAGTATGACCAAGTGTGATTAATCTCTCTTTTTTTATATTTTCATATTCATCCATATCATTATTTTACTTAAATGTTTGTGTATTTAATGTAAAAATTCGTCAAAATTATTTTTTGATCATTATAGATAAAAGTCATCCTGTTGGAAATTTTATTTGTCAACAATGAAAGGAGTAAATAGGTAATGAAATAAAAATAATTATCTACAATTTAAAGAAAATAATTCTCTCTCTCTCTCTCTCTCTCTTTCTCTCTCTAAATAAAAATATAACTGTAAATAATAATAATCGTGTATACAAAATAACATAATAAAATTTGAAGGAGTAAGAGAAAATAATATATAATCTCGAAAGAGTGATTATTTCTCTTAAGTCTATTTAAGGAATAAATCCAACCGGACGCACAAGCTGCTCTGCGATAACTCAACTTTCCCGCTTTTCCGGAAATCGTAGGTTCAATCGTTTCCGGAAAAGCGACCGGCTGATTGGTTAAAGCGCGTCGTTTCTTAGCGCGCGTTGCACGCACGTTAGCGCGTACCAACGAGGGACGGGGGCCACTTAGCGTCCGATCACCGTGGCGACGACGAACGTGCAACAACGTCGGACACTCGCGTGCGGATAGTAGCCTGTCGCATTGCACTATTTATATACGCGATGGGCGAACGAGCATTTGTCTGTTTCCGCTACTGCCTGATCGCCGGCGCGATCCTCCTCGGTGTAAGTTTTTCCAAATTCCTCAGTGTTTCTCGTTATTTTCCTCTCGCGATCTCAGACATAATTCGTGACGATCGTGCGTGAAGAAGATCGGACCTCGTTCGAACGAAACGAGCGCTATCGCGCTATTGTCCTCCACTGTATTTCCCATTTCCCATCAGCTGATCGAGATCTAGTTCTATTATTGCGATCGATCGCAATCAGCGCGCAGCTGTTCCGAGGTCGCGTGTAATTGGTGGCTTTTATTCGGCGCCAATCCTACTCGTAATTTGTGTCTACGATGGTGGCATGTAGGCATGCACGTGCGTGGTGTGCGTACGCGCGCGCGTGCGTGTGTGAGAAGTAACACATATTGCGACGAATGAAAGAGAGAATTAAATTTTTAAGAGTCTGGTGGAAGTTATATATGTAAGCGAGTTGTGTTTATTTTTACAACGATGCGTACTCTTTCTCAAAACGAAGAGACCCGCATGTTTTATACATATGTTGTCGAAATGAAATTTTTAAAATTGTAATTATCATTTTTGAAATATAGAACTTACACACAAACAGTATAGGATACGTAATCGCAATCGTTAAAAAAGAAAAATAGATATCGCATAATTTTTTTAAGACCCGAAATTATAATTTTTTAAATACTTGGGATTTTTAAATGACGTCAAGTTTTAATTTTGATTCTTAAAATAACTCGTTCATTGTTTAATATTTACAAAAATATAACAAAATCATCCATGGTTTCTTAGTTGATACTATATGTATGTATTAATTAATAAAAGTCAATAAGAGTTGAAGGAGACACTCTGTAACAATTATGAAATGACCTTAATTAACACTTTATTTTTCGATTGTGAAAATATCGCGGAAACAAAGCAATAGTTTTTTCGCGATAATACAATAATAATGTAATTTCGATTTCTTTTATTCTAAATTTTATTAATTTCTAAATTGCATTATATACACTTACATATATGTATTTGAAATATGTGTTCCTCAATATTAATATTTATTTCGTGATAAATTTTTTGTCCCATAATCGTCTATCGATAATTGCACTTTTTATTTTAACAGCTATCATCGTGATATTAACACGATAGTATCGCAAAATATGACGCAGTTTGGTTTAATTAAACTATGCCTCGCCTACTTAGATAAGATTTTATGTCTCTTCTCTCTTCATCAAATAATGTACATTTATTATTAGCTTGCATCATCCACGTAAATTTACCTGGTGATTTCGGGGAAGGGAACAACATGAGCAATCGACACATCGCAATCGCAACTTCTTATCTTTAAATTTTTTGTATACACATGATGCTTTTGTATACACGTGATTAAAAAATATTAATTAAAATGTATTGTAGGAAATATTTTTGAGTCATTATTTTAATGAAAAATGCTGTATAAAATATCAAAAATTACTAACATTTACAATAATGAAAATATAGCAGAAAGTATTCAACTTGAGAGAGCATGAAGATAAATCTTTCGTTTCTTTCATAGATTTCTGGTGCGGTCGTGAGCATATTCGCCGGTTACTTTATTTATCAGCTGCATGAATATGCGTCGCTTACACCTGATAACGTATGTGGCTCAGCCGCTACCTTGTTGGCCATGGGCGTTATCACTTGTGGAATCGGCTGGTTCGTCTGGCAATTTCTCAATTTTTCCAACAGAGGTCAAGTTATCATTGTAAGCTGATTTCTCCCTTTTTTATCTCTTTGATATTTATTAAAGAAGAGAAAAAAATTAGAAATTAAATTCTAAATAAAAATATGAACATACTTATTTTTTTTCGCATTTAGTTTGCCGTGACACTTACAACTATCACTCTGATCGAGACCAGTGTCGGAATTTGGGCCTTGGTACGACACGAACAAGTGGACGCCTTACCGTCTACGCAACATGACGAGATCTTTGCCCTCGCAATCACGGATGAGAAATCTACCTGGAATCATATGCAGTCTACGGTAAAAATTTCATTTTTTACATATTTGAATATTAAATTTTTTACTAGTACGATATTTAATTAATACACACACACAGTCTCGTGATATTTCGCAAATATCCGAAGCATTTGCGTTTCTTTTATAAAGATTTCTATAGATTCTTTTATAAGTTTTAAGATTTTACTGATTTTAAATTTAATAATATAATCAAACAATTTTAATATAATAAAACGAAATATTAAGTTTTATTTCATTAAAATTGTTTATGTTTATCAAACTTGAAGAAAGGAATTAAAAAAAGATATATAATAAATTTTATTAAATTAAATTTCTCAGTTACAATGCTGCGGAATAGACGGACCTTCCGATTATCGTGGCACAGATGCGATTCCTTGGTCATGTTGCAACACAACGAACCTCGCAAATGATACTGAAGGCATTTGCACTACTCTCTATAAGCGAGGATGTCAGCTCGTAGTATTAAATCGAACAAAATCGATCCTCCTTCACGTTTTTTTGCTTGCATTGTGTTCCGTGCTGTTACAGGTACATAATCTTGAAATTCCTTTCATCATGAATCGATATATCATATAATTAAAGTGTCACTTTCAGGTTTTTTTCGTAGCGTGCACTACTTGTTATGCCAGGATCTATAAAGATAAAATGGATAGAAGAAGGGCATCGGAAGTAGCCAAGCGCTTGTCTCTGCAAGAGCCGGATACTAAGGATATTCTTTTAACAGGTCGATCAAAATATTTGCACAATTCTGACAATTCCTAGCCAACGCCGCAAACCGCGAAAGACGAACATGTGCGTCATTTACAGATGTTGCGTCACTGTGATATGCGAAATACATTTCGCGTGGTGACAATATCTACGATATATAGGTATACGACTGATGCTGATATTGTTTCTGTCATACAGAGTTCTAGATCTGAAAAAATATTTTAGCAAATATTTTATTCTTTAAACAAATTTTCGAATTGATTTCTCTTCAGATGTAATATCAAGATCGCGTAATTCGTTACAATTTTCAACATAAATTTTTGTGAGAAATAAATCTCAATTAAAATTTTTGTTAAAATTAAACGAAAAAAGAAATTTTTTAATTCGCTTAGAAATATTTACCTTTAAAATACTTCTTTAAAATATTTTTCACTCTTGAACTCCCTGTATGAAGGAAGAAATAATAATAATATTTCGAGTGGTGCTAAACTTCCTTTGCATCTTATTCTTACTGCCGTTTCTTGAACAAATACCTCGCCAAGTTTTAGGATATAGAATGCTGAAATATTCGTGATTACAAAATGACATCAAATTATTACTGGTATTATATTCTAGTGATAGGTAAACATATATCAACTTTTTAAAATTTAATTTTATATTTTTTTAATTTTTTATTTTATTTAGCAATGTCACTTCTCTCACTGCAATTATGATTTTGTTTTCGAAATATAATATCTCTTTGTTAACATAAAATGAGCAAAATATCAAAGTCTACATATATAATCTTTTAGTTTAGTTTTTGTACTTAATATATATTTCTTGCAAAAGCCATTACATAAGCAATACAGTGCACAGTGCAATGCTTTATACAGTCAACGATACGTAAAAATAGAATAACGTAGACACCTGGTATATACGTTATTCTCACATAAATCTAAGAACACTTAACTTTAGATAAATTAACACAAGAGATAAGTTTTTTTCGATATAAAACTAGTATAATCGCGTGAATGTGTGCAGCTTTTCATTTTATATATTCTTTTCTTATATTTATTCTTAATATTAAATACAAATTTTTTGTGAATTTTGGAAATATGTACGAAGATGGAAACTATTTTCTACAAAGAGCACATGAATGTACAATCTTCCTTAAGAAAAATGTGTTTGAATTGAGATTTTTTTTATTAATACTAAGCGATTTTTAGTATCCACTGATCTTTCCTTATCTTTACAGCATATGATTTACGCTAAAAAATAATTAAAAATAATTAAAAAATTGAAATGATCAAAAAAATGATCAAAAAATTAAAATATGACAAAACAAATTTCACTGAGATAATTTTCTTAATGTTACATTTAAATAAGAAATTTTTTATATATTTCACTTAAATAAGTATTTCGCACGATAAGAATTAAGAATTAAGCCTAATCACATATTTTTAGAGCGATGTCGTGTAACACGTCATCGTGATGACTAAATTCTCGTCAACTATGTCATATTTATATTTCGATTTATATTTATTCATCTTTAAAAATCTTGCAAAGAGATAATTTATTTCTATTTAATTAAATTAAATTTTACACGCATTTAATTAAAAAATTTTACAAGCATATAAAAGATTTTATATTTAGTGCTCATTATTCTTTCTTATAATTACAAGCATAATTAAAAATTTCATTTACAATCTATCAAATTACTCGAAATTTTAATGATCAAACTTCATTATAATTTAGATTGATACTTATTATTAGATTTTTAGCAAATAAGATTGCAACAGATTAGATTAGGCAATATTGTGCTATCTAAAATTAACTGAGAAAAATTTCGAATATCAAATATCTTCCTGATTTATCTAAAATACAACTGCAATACATAATAAATATATCATTAAATAAATTAGTATCAAATTAATTATAAATTAATATCAATAACTCGACTTGAAATACAAATATTTATGTGGTGCGTATATATCACATAAATATTTAAATTTAAAATCGAGTTATTAATTGATATTAAATCATTATTATCTATTTAATTTCTTCTTTTACTTCTATTTAATTTCTTATTCATTAGAGATTCCTTAGAGATTTCTACAGTTAAGATATATTTCCTTTATTTATATAAAGTGACATTAATTAATTAAAATTATATTGCTCTCATCTATTAAATCTGATCATATGTTAATGCATATGTTAATGTGATATTATTTAATCATCGGTGATTCAGCTTGTATACTTAAGAAATTTTTCACATGCATACATTATCTCGTTAATTAAAGATATAAAATTATTGCGTTGTTATAAAAAGAAATAATAATGCAATTTCAGAATATTAAGATAATATGAATTGGACAATACCTTATCGACGCATTCATGGAAAACTCTTCGGTATCTAGTGTAATCTGATGTGCGCGCCATTTTACCGCGAATCGCCCTTTCGAACTAACTTCGGGAAAACTCGTGCGTCATCGTCGCCGGTTCACGCAAAGCGTCACTGGAAGAGTCAGTTAAATTCGAACCGCCGATCGCGTCAAGGTGTGTCGTGAACGAGTCCGTTCCGCCTCCGATCGGAGTCCTGATTTATCGTCCTCGCAAAGCGGTTTCTCCTCTACGTGAACCACTGAATTAAACGAATCAACAATCAAGATGGGGTGCGGAATGGGAATGATCAAGTACCTCCTCTTCATATTTAACTTCATCTTTGCGGTAAGTTCAGAAAAGGAAGAGAAAGAGGGCGTCATTATGACGCCATAACTTTACGAAAGTAAAGAGGACGTGTCTGTCGTTTTTTAGCGGTAACTACCAGCATGAAAAACCGTCTATTTATTATTGCGCGTAAAAGTAAAACGGTGACATTAGAGGCCTTTTATCTCTCTGTCTTTAGCGATTATAAAGTCATTGTATAAGTCCAACAATTTCCATTCATTCGAGCTGCTTGAAGAATCCAGGTTTCTGAGATTCGGTTGCAGCGAATCCTTTTAAGTGGCCTTTTCATTGACGCTATTTTTTAGCGTCAATGAAATTGCACCTTTAAAGGCCTAATCAAATCTTCACAAATAAACGTCTTCGTATCGTGTGTGCTTTCGAAGATCGTGCTCGATAATCAAAATTGAACGGCGACGCATCTAGCGCTATAAATGCGCATGCGAAAGTATACAATTTTACGTAATACATGCCACTCCTTGTATATATAAGTAAGACATTTGTTTACTTTCGCTCGTTCCGCGAATTCGTCGATGATGCTGTTGCTCAGTCTTATGTGCTCTCGTCCTTGAGACACGTGAATCGCGTGTCCTGTCCCGTAATTGCATGCGTGACAGTTGCAATTGTCACGTTAATAAGAGGACCATTCTAATTTTTTTATATGCTTCCTCCTGTGTGCGTTCTTATTCGTGGAACGGATAAGATCGCAAGATTATTCTTGTAAAAGAATAAGGAAAAAATTATTCTTACATTGGAATTTTACAAGTGTTGTGTCATGTAAAAAAAACATATTGAACATGTTAAATATTTATTAAAATTGTACACAGAGAATTAAGGAAAAAAATTAATAATTTGAATTTATGCGTTTAATTAATAATTTCTAATCGAAATATTTAAATCAAATACATTATATTTAAATTAAATATTTAAATATTCGAATTAAAAAAATGTTAACTAAATACATTTACTAAGTTAACAATTTTTTCTTCAGTAGTGTATCAATGTCTTGCTTTTTTCATTGAATAAAAAATTTTTTTAAATAAAAAATGTAAGCGTTTGACTTGCTTTTGTCGTTTATGGTTATTAACCATATATAAGCAATTTGCAATAAGCATATGAGAGATCATGTAATTCTATTTTCTTGTATGCTTTTAGGCTTCCTGTTAAATATCTAACGACTTAATGACTTGTAAAGGACATCTAATGGCTCCATTATTGTGGAGACATTTGAACGTAGAACAAAATATTTAGGATATAAATATGTTGCAGAGCAAAAAAGACAGAGAGAAAAAGAGAGGTGTGATCATGTTTATGAGTCAGCTTCTAGTATACATATAAATATTGTCTTCGTGTAAACGCAACTGACTCATAGCGATAAGAAAAACCAAGGTTGATATAAAACCATGTAACGCCACAATCTAACGTGTTACACATATGTATCTCTCCTGCGTGCACCTGTCACAACATTTTTCAATTGCGAATATCAATTTATCTCTGTTTGCACGTTATCAATAACATTTATCTGATGATCATTGCTTACAAAAAATTTACAATTATAGCAGTTTGATTTAAGAGAAAATCGAAAGTCAAATCCTTATACCTATTTTTATACGTATTTTTTATCTACTTCATATAATGTTATTTTACATTATATTTTACATTATATTATGTTATTTTACTTCGTATAATGTTATTTTAAAGCAGAAGAGAAAAATATAATTTATACTTCTTGTTATTATGCCTATGACTAATTGCAAGACAATCAGTCATCAATATTGCCATTGTTTACTTATCAATCGATAAAATCAATTTTTAAATTCATCGTTATCTCAATTAATTCTGTTATCATTAGCAGTAGAATTCATAATATTTTTTCGTCTTTCTGACTTTAAAAATGAAGCAATTTCATTGAGAGAGGTCTGAGTGAAAGATGAAGAGCAGTGAAAGAATAAAAAAAAAACCGAGACATATGCGTGTTAATACGTGTCTAGAAATATGCATGTTAATACGTGTCTAGAAAAATAAAAGAAAAAGAGATACGTCTATCTCGTTTTACTAAAATATCATTAATGAAGTTTTTTGAAGTCATGTAATTTCTTTAAAAATCTATGATTGCGTAACATTTTCTTTAAAAACTCTATGATTGCGTAACATTTTCTTCGCAAGAAAACCTCAATTTAGGAAACTGACCTCAATTTAGGAAAAGAGACGGATATATTGTTTTCTTTAGCGGATAATATTCTCAATTAATCGATGACGGAATTTTATGGGAGATTCTCATTCAATACACACATTCACGAGGACTTCATGATGACGATCGAGGGGATACTCCTTTACGATCTTCCTTTCCGCTCGGTTGGCTTGCCATGGTCTGGTCACAATGGTCGTTTCTTACTGCTCCCAAGGTTTCCCCTCTTGTTTTCTCCCTTCTCACATAGTCGTAGTCGTCGTACATTGAATTTTACCAAACATCCGCGAAACTCGTTCTCTTGAAGGACAAAAGATCTTGTAAGAGACTATGGCGTCTCTCTCCCGTTTCATCTTTTTCTTTTATCCAAAAATCGATACATGATGGTAAAAATGAGCTAACGCTAAAATTAATAATTATGCGTCAAAAATGCGTCCCAACGAAGAGGAGCCGAGATGATCTAGTTAAAGCTGTACAATTGTCGTAAAATCTTGCGTTTTATATTATTTTGCTATTTTCTCTTCCAATCTGTCGTCATAAATTTAATATATAATTACGCATCGAAGGGAAAAATATCTGCTAGATACATTATCTTAAAAGTTGAATTTTATCAATTAAAATACAATGTTATAAAATTCGATATTATAAATACATAATTTCATTGTCCGATATAATATTGAGGCATAATTATTCACATCTTACACTTGGAGCAGATTCTCATAATAAATAAAATTAATAATAAAAAAAATATATTAAATTAATTGACTTAATAATTGCTTAAGATATTGTTTATCATTACATTCTTGTTCGCTGAAGTTTAACATTGTCTCGTTTGCATTATTTATCTGTCGTATATCAACGATAGACGATTCATTTGTCTCGTAGAAGTAATCTAGACTTTTATATACAGAGTGACTAAAATTAGCAGACATGATCTCGTTGCTCAGCTATGCACGCATACTTTAACAGCAGCAATAGACCGAAGACAAATATTATCTTTTTCTTGCCGCGAGATATTCTTTTATTTTATTTAATAAAAAGAAGAGCATAGATAATTGATCGCGTAAGAAATTTTCCAAGAATTAATGAGAAACGAAACTATGATTAAAAGTGTATCAATCCAACTCATCATTCCTAATGATTAGTAATATATAATAGGAATGACTAAGAAGCATTTTTTGATCAAGAAGCATTTGTGATTAAGAAACTATTAAGAGTAATCTATCATTATGTTTAAGTCAGTAGTTATTTATTAATATTAAACATGACAGGCATTCTATCTCCAAATAAATTTGAAAATAATTTTGAATCGAAATTTGCTTATGGTGAGATTTAATTACATATCAAATTTCATACTCGTTTAGAAAGCAGATATTTTCCAATTTCTGTTTCGAGAATCTTATTTTTGATCCGAAGTTTTATATGCTCTTTTTTTCCTACACTTATTATTTTCCCATATTTGAAGAATTAAAGTTCCATTTTTTCAAATCTAAATCTTTATGTTTTCGTTTTTTTTTTGTGTCTTTTATTCTTAATAAATCGATAAATTTTTTACACAGTAAATGACGTTTATATCTGTGAACTTCCTTGTAAGAGAATTTGTAACGAAAAAGTTAGATAATTGCAAGAGAAAGATAGTTGTTTTTTTAAGAGCGATTTTGCTCACTTCTCACATTTGTTTTCTGATTTGTTCTTGCAAATTAATTTTTTTTAAATGTATGATTTACCTCCTTTACAAAACATGTTCGTTTAATTTCGTAATTGTAGTCATTCACCGAGACAAATCATACATCATTGCATATTGAGAAATATCATTGTTTATGTAAATTTTCTATTGATAGCTCGAAGCATTGTCTAGAAGCTGTCTTGATAAGGCAAGGAAACAATCTGCTTACAAATTAATTAAATATCGACACTTATTCATGAATGGAATCATTCTATGATTATTTAACGATCCATTCGTAAATGTAAATGATGTAATTTCATTAGATTCTTTTTATCACATAACGAGCACATAAACATTGCTTATCTCGTTTTTTTTTTATTATCATGATTATATTTTTTCAATTTTGTCCTATTTTTTCTATTTTATAAATATTTATTTAATAATAATATTGTTTTAATTATTCAAATGATGAAGCAACTAAAAGTTATTTGCGTAATTTATACGCAAAAAATACATCACGTTGTGCTAAGTAATTATTAATAATTAAACAAGCATTAATTAGAAGTAGGTATCATATTTACATAAAATATTGCCGTTATATATATATATATATATATATATATATAATATACCATTATATACATAAAAAAAAACATTTTTTGATGCTTTGATATAAAACATATTTTTTTGAATAATTTAATTCACGATATGTTCTCATTTCTCTTTCTTTTAACATATTTAATGATAAAAATTGCGTATGCTTAAATACCTATAACAATGCTTTGTTATATAAACTTCTTTATGTTCTTGAAAATATGACAAAAAATGATGTCCGATGTTACTTTATTGTAGTGCTTATGTATACATTTCCTGTTGCGCGCATAATCGTTTTTTTTTTTTGCGTATTCTTTCGTGAAAAGCTGTGGCAACAGAGATATCGTTATCAGTTATTTTGCAATTTTCGCGATTAATTACGCAACTTCATACAATGTGACCGTATATTGAGTGGAAATTGGTTCAGGAAAACTGATGTATTCGACAATTTTGTTTCCCAGAATAATTCACGAGAATGTTTTATCTGGAAATAGATATGAAACCTACTTGACTTTGAAGGTAGATTATAATAATCTAATACAGTTAATGTTTTTCACATAAAAAAGTGATCGACAATATTTTCAGAACACATAAGTAATGAATCTTATTTATTTTATTAATTTGCCATACAGATTTTTTTTGAGTGATAAATTAATTTTACTTTTAATAATATACACTGAAAACTAAATATTATTAATAAACGATGTAATTTGCATTAAAAAATAATTTTACACTTTGTGCAGTTAAAATTCTGGTATTCTAATATTTTTTTAAATGTCTTCTAGATTTCTTTTTATGGATAGCATGAATATCATATGCCATCTTATCGATTATATTTATAACATGTTTGTTTCTGATTATTAACGATATTTAATTATAGTGAAATGTTATCTACGCGATATGTTTATCCCGAACACAATCATATCATTCTGAGAAAAGATAGGATTATGATTTGCCTTTAAGAATTAGAATTTTATTTATGAATTAAGCTAACTTCCAAATTTTTGTATTGAAATATTTTTTTTGTAAATTAATACATTGCGATACCTTGTAAATTAATTACTTCTATTAAATTACTTCTATTAAATTATAATAATCAAATCAGACTTGAATAATCAATATCAGACCAGAATAAAAATAATTAGAAGAATCACTATTACTCTCATTGTTAGATTAGAGAGAATATATTATAATTTTTTCTATTGTTAAAAAGAAATTTTTTTTAAATATTTCTAACATTGATTATTTTCCTTTATTTTTTTGCAATAAAAGGTATCTCTTCCTTATGGTATTATCTTCATTTTTGGCTGGTGATGAAGTCTGCTACTTATCAGCTTTTTACCATTTCGATGATGATAAAAATGAGACAGTTTCGATAATGATTTGAATGATGATGAAAAGCTATTATCTTTCTTTATCTATTTATTAATTCATTATCTTTCTGTTGCTTTAGGTTGAAATCACGTTGCGCATTATTTCCGTATAATTCTGTGCGCGAATTTCCTGTATATCATGTGCATTTCATTAACGTTGTAATTTGTAATTTTCATTCTCTATCAGATTTCTCGATGCTAATGAGCACTTCCCAATGTATAATTTTTCGTAATTATAGCGTTATATACCTTGGCTGCATCTATTCTGTAACTTATTATATTGTTTTGATAGATTAAAACTTTTCGCACTAAATTTATTATGAAATTAATTATTTATTTTCATACATTTTCTGAAATTTTACGAAAGATGAAAATGAAATAGTATGTGAATACCAAAAAATCGTATTATATTATTGTTATAGATATGTTTTAAGAAAACAATTATATTTGTAAAGTTACGAAACTTGTTGACGTTTATTTGTTTAAAGTTAAATAAATTAAAATTTGTTCTGCGAAACATGATTCTGAAAATAAGATTCTCTTCGATTTCTTATCGATAATGATTAATTGTTATTCATGTTTGTTATCTGCGATGCTACAGACATTTTATGATACATGTATTTTAGATATTATTAATTATTCTTTTTAATTTTAACAAGCGATATATAAAAAAAGTCTGTATTTGATAAATTATTTATCGTATTATCTACATGTTATGCTTCAAGTACCTTTAAAATCAATATTAAATTTATCAAAGAGGAGCGTGAAAAATTTCTATAAGATTATTATACGTTGTCTTGTATCTTTTATTACAATTTCTCTAGGCTAGAATTTCATTAGGCTAGATTTATTTGCATAAATATCTATTATGCAATGAGGTAAATCAACCTATTTTCAACCTGCGTTGTCAACCTGCGTTGTCAACCTGTTTTCTAGATGTGGGCAAATATTTAATTTAAACCTTATCCTCTCTAGTGTTCGATCGATACCTTTCTTATCGATCCTCATACAATAACCGCATGAAAAATTCTCGTTTTTTCTTCAAATCTCACGTATATTCAATGTTAAAAAAGCAAACTTACACAGCAACACTTACACAGAAAAAAAAAGAACATTCTCTTTTTGAAAATATATTTAGTTTTAACATGGAAACCTTAAAATGAGATTATATTGCGTTAATAAAAAAAAATATAATTGCTTGAATAATTGCTTACTTGAATGAAGCCATTTTATATAGTTCAATCAAGAAAAATATATTCTTATGATTTAAGATTTAATTTTTCTTGCATGGAAAAGAAACAATGTTAGATAAAAAATAACATTTTTAAATCAAATATTATAATTTTCTTAAGGTAGAATTAAATAATTATATATTCTTGAGGTAACAATTACAATATTAAAATAAGACTATAATATTGTTGAAATTTAAATTATTATTTTTCTAAGAAGATTATAAATTGTTGCGTATATACGAAACAATGAATGCGTTAGTTTAAGTATATAAGTTTTGATTTGACACTTATTTTTTTCTGTGTAACAAGAATTTAGATAAAAACATTACTTCAAGTCGAGATTTCACGCTTATATTGAACGACAACCTCGAAATTGAGGCTATTGTAATGAAAATACGGAAGTACGAGTTGTTTCTGTGAAAACCTTTTGTGGGGACAATGTCGGCACCGTTGTCGGCATGTATAATCTTGGAGGCAATTAATTCTACAAGAATGAATCCGCACGATGATGTCATCTCAGCTCACATGCACACGACACTTATACTATTTCGATAATTTCAATATATCACGGCAATAAAGATCGCATTTTCTATAGCAGTGTTTCCCAACCAAGTGCAAACGTCACAATCGTCGTGCTTAGCGAATCTTTAAATAAAATCAAACTTAATTAACATTGTAACGAAAACAATTGATTAGCGGTTATTATCGCTTTTTTAATTAATTTACTAATAAACCTCCAATTGACTCCAATTGATCATCATTATTCTGAGAATTGTTCTGCCCTTTTCTTCAGCTCTGCTTTCCCATATGCTTTTTCATTTTATACACGATGTTACTTTACAATGTAGTTCTGATTGATCTGAAACTAGGACGGAAGTTATTAGAGACATTGAATCGATCGAACCAACGCACTTATTATTAGAACATTCGTCGTTTTACTTACGTACTGAATAAGTGCATTAGTTCACCTGTGGTGATCTCAAGATCGACTATATAGCACAGCAACACATAAAAATAACACGTAGTCAATGTTTCAAGGACGATTCCAGATATCTGAGAACGTTTAACGTAAATATTAATAAACGTTTGTTTGTTCAGTTATACAACCTATTTCTATCTCATATTATTGGGCAACAATGTGGAACGCACACTTGGCAACAATAGCTTCATCTGATTACAACAGTAATCAGTAATCGAGTAGCCAAACTTATTCTAAAATATGTTGCATGTTTGGTTTTCCATTAATAATTATATATTTAGTAACGAAATAAAAAATACTGCATAAATGCATGTAAATATATTGAAAATTGCTTAGAAAAAACAATTATATTTGCGAATGTATATTAAACTCCAAAGTTTTATATTTATAATATAAATTCCGTAATATATTGTTTTAATCTTTATGTAATGTCTGCGATAATTCACATTATCGTATATTTTTAATGTAATAATAAAGCATATTGTATCTAAGCATATTGTAATTTTTATATAAACAATATAATCATAATCATTAATGTCCATTTAAAAAAACGTGAAATAATATTTATCTTGCATAACAAGAATTACATTATTAGCTATTAACAAAATAAAATATATAATAAAATTATTAATAAAATAGCGAAACGAGAGTTAAATTGTAAAAAATATAGAAAAGTATTGTAAATATATGACGATGATATATATAATGATATTAAAATACGAAATCTCTTATTGCAGCTATGCGGTCTGGCCATCTTGATCGTGGGCGTTCTTGTTCACATAGAAGATAAAAAGTATATCAACGAAATGGACGGGCTCACTGATAATCTTACATTCCAATCGATAGCATTGATCGTCATCGGCAGTATCATCTTTATCATCGCCTTCTTCGGATGCTGCGGAGCGATTCGCGAGAGTCATTGCATGGTCATCACGGTAAACCATCCAGCAATCTCGACTTATCTTTACTTACATTGATATATTTTAATTTAAGAAACTGGACAGGTCACTGAACTATGTCGAAAGTTAATAAATCTAATATATTTCAAGATTCATAAATTTGATATTGCGCAAAGCACTTTTAACCTTTGTGAATTGAAATCTTTACTTTATTATGAATATAATTTAAATAGAATATAATTTAAAGTTACAAATACTTTTATATCAAATTGCCTTTTTTATATTGACAGTACACAAAAATTTATGAAAACAAAAATTTTAATTCTACGAGATAAATCTTTTCTTATTCACACAAATTAATTTTATATTTTAAAAGACTGTTTTGCATAATGTCAAATAATAAATCTCAAAAGTTATTTATTAATTTTTGATGTAGCTGATTCAGTTCTTGGTTATATAAATAAAACATCAAATTTAATATATTTATAAATTTGAAAATATTATAGAAATTTTATAGAATTGAAACGCGAATGAAATTTATTACATTTTCCGATTTGTGTCTTTATATTCAGTTTTTATTTATCCATTTATTTGTTTTTATTTATCTATTATTTCAAGAATATATTTGTCATAATACGTTTTTGTAATAATATGTTTCTTAAACAACACGTGATTATTATTTGAATCAAACAGCATAATCATTTAATATGTGACAATTTTATCTAATATATGTTTTTCATATAGTTTGCATCTTTACTTTTAACAATCCTGATTATACAAGTGGCTATTGCGATCTACACGTTTGTTGCGTTGAAGAATGCTGACGAGATCAATTTCAAGGAGGAATATAAGACAAAAGTCTTCGACAAATACAATTCCTCGGAAGAGACAAAGGAATTAGTAAATTTGATACAAAAAGAAGTAAGACTGTCTTTTGAAATAATAGTTTTTTACACGTACAAAACAATATATCACGTTACATTATTATTCAAATTTTTGGCGCTCTCAGCTTGTAGTTTAGTAAAATACTATTAGAGATCTTGAATATAATAACTGCATGTAACATTGAAAATAGTTTAAATGAATATGTTTTTGGATTTATACATAATCAATATTTCTATGTATTTCTATGTAAAATGAATTTTTGCAGCTGGAATGTTGTGGTGTTGACAGCTATAATGATTTCAACGGAAATATTCCGGGAAGTTGCTGTGGTAAAAATTCGAGTGACACTTGCCACCAGCAAGACGCTTACCACAGAGGTTGCGTAATCGCACTAAAAGATTTCTTTAAATATGCAAGCGCGATAGTAGGTGGCATCGCTCTGGGTATCGCTGCAATTGAGGTAAATAAATCCCGGGCGAGTTTATAAAGAGATTAAATAAAACTAGAAAATTATCTTATATGTATCGAAAAGATATAATAACTGAAAAAGAGATATGACAAAAGATAATTTTAATAATTTTATATCTGAGCTCAAAAAAGAGTTTCTCTTTTAAGTTTTCAAACGTATAAATTTGTGTTCTTATCAGTTTTCATTTATCCTCATGATTATTTTGCATTAATTGTATGTGCGTGTTATTCAATTTTTTCTCAGCTGATCGGTATCATCTTCGCGCTATGTCTGGCAAATTCCATAAAGAACGCCGAACGCAGAGGCTACAGTGTATAAAAATGGAGCATTGCGAAGGACATCGCCGCGGGCGGGAAACATAACATACGCAACAACGTTTTTACCTATCTATTACCGTCAGCGTACATTCGTCTATAAAATGTGATAAAATATTTACGCTTTCCATACACAATAGATTAAATTAAATTAAATTATTTTTTCTTTCCGGGCAGAAAACAAGTATGGAGCAAAAAAGTGTCTCTTTATATTTCTCTTTCGAGTCTCTTTGCGCGTTGTAAATCATAACTAAAGCATAAAGATAACATATCAATTTCAATAAAATATATTTTTACTTTCTAACTTGAAGAACTTAAATTCTACATTAAAAATTTAACATAGAAGTTGACGTACGGATCTGGCGATGACCGTAAATGATTACTGAGGTTAAATATTTTTTTTTCTTTTATAAAAATTTTATACAATTATATTATTTTGATATGGTATCGCTTTGACTCACATTTTTCCTACCTATTTTCGATAATAATTAGATAAATGCGAAATAAACTAAAATATTTAATTATATATAATTATATATATATACGTGTATATATGTAATTATATATAATATAATTATTTAATGTATAGGGATCGTATTTCATAATCGTTAGTTCGAGTTTTAAACAAAAGTATTTGGTGTACCTATTACAGAGGAGTGATAATATTTTAGAAATATTACAGAGAGATATAATGAATTACAAGATTGTACCTGCAGAAAAGATTTAACATCACTGTTAAGAAAACATGGAAATTTCAAATATGTCTGTTAAGAAAACATGGAATTTTCAAATATGCCTTTACATAAAATTCACTTTGTTTGTACAGCACAATATATTAATGTACAAATATTGTCTATATAAATTTATGTATTTTTCTCTTATAATAAAAGTTACTTTATCTAAGAGAATATATCGCCGTGTCTGCACGCAATAAACAAACGAACAAATGAAAGAACGTACGTTGATATAATATTTTAGCGATAGACGCGGTGATAAAGCGTATATATAAAACTGGGCTTGCTATATAATTGTTTAAATAAAGTTCTTAAATTTTAATAGGCTATCTTACATTGTCGGATTGTTTATATTAAGCGTATTATTTATTTTACCGTTTTTTTATATAATATAAACGCATAAACAATTACCATTGCTCTTGCGAAATAAATTATGTCCAGTTTTGTACTAATTTTGTATTAATTAAATAAATAAAAAGAAGACAAGCTCACGATCGATTTTTGTTTTTTTAAACCGACATTTTTATTGTTTTTTTATTATTTTATTATTTTTTAACATTTTTATTATTTTTATTTTTTTAAATCCTTGTATTCAAAATCTTTTTATCTTTTTATTTCTTTCTCTTCTTTTTTATCCGTTGCTTTCTTTTCTGTGAATCTTTTTATTAAAAATTTTAGCATTTTGCTTTCTTTTCTGTGAATCTTTTTATTAAAAATTTTAGCATTTAACAGTAACTGAATGAAAAAATATATTCGTGCGAGTTCTTAACAAATATGAAAATACTATAAGAATACTGTGTCATACTATAATTATTATGATTTTTTCCTTACATTTGTATTTTTTATATTTAAAAGCGGTACATTATGTCTTTGTAAAATATGCATTTTAATATGCTCTATATATAAATCATTAGCTCAACATTTGTATTGCGATATATATATTTAAAAAATTAAAAAGATATACAGATATATATTTAAATTAGTAAACAAAGGGTGAGTGTTTATTGTATTAAACTTATAGAATATATCAAAATTTTTAAAATATGAAAATGCGAGGGACATAAAATAATGATATATATTTGATATATATATATATATATATATATATATATATTTGCATTATTTTAAGTTAAAATATTTCATCTTGTGTTTCGAAATTGCTAATATTCAATGAATAAAGATGTCTAATAACAAATTGGTAATAATTCCTGAACACATTCTTTATTCAAAAAGATGATGACAACATGGCCCAGCCAATCATCTCTTTTGTTTAGGGACATTTTCCTAACCTAGAATGGCGTCCATTTTTCTCACTTTCATGTTGCCTGTCTGTTCTTTCGACTATCTTCGGACTTGTGAATGGCGCGTATGCGTGTGAGACTTGAATTTGGAAACAGTTAAAATTCAAACCGCCCGGTTGCGTCGCATAATATCGTTAACAAAGTGGCAAACGAAATGGAGTTTTATTGAATTCAAGTGGTTTAGTGTAATGTTTTCACTCAAGTAATTTCTCGTGCCCTCTACGGAATCAAGAATCAGGATGGCACAGAGTAGATCTTCCTCATTTATTTTGTAAGTAAATATCTCTCTATCCGCGCGTCTGCAATAATAACGTCTATATTTATTCCCAGCATTTTTGACAAATGCTGAAACTGAAATATCAGATGTAATTTTTATGTTTACGAATTATTAGATTGCTTCCTTGATCATTATTATAATTTTATTTCAGTTCTATTGATATCTCATCGTGTATCGCGATCGAATAATTTATTAAATGCGTTCTATATGTGAGTAGATTCTTGTTTTCGCGATTAGCACAATTAATACGAATGAGAGATGCAAGGAATATAATCAATGTGTTGTTCTGTGCCAATATCTCTGTTACACATATTTAGTATTTATCTCACGGTAAATATTCGAAAAAAATTGACATTTGATTGACGCAATGATGTAATAATATCGATATTAATATTTTCGCACTTTTTTAGCGACATTTATCGCGTAAATATCCGAAATTGTACTAATTTAATTTGTAAATCAATTTTTTCAATTTTCTTGTATTCTTGTTTGCGCACAAATTAATTTATTACATTTAAAATCAGCACGTCCAAAATAAAAAAAAATTACATCGCGAATTAATTCAACGTTTTGAGATTAAATTAATTAGTATTATGTAGAGCGAATGACTATACAATACAATGATATTGTATTGATTTGAAAAATCTGTTTTTTTTTTAATTTTGACATTATTTATTTCAATTCTAAGATGTTAAATTTTGACTGATTATTATCTTTATATATAATCATATTATAAAGGATATTTTTCGTAGGAGAATATATTTTTTCTCAAAGCTCAATTCTCATTTTTAATCAATATAAAGAGATTATTTATTATCTTTTGACGATAATTAAAATAACACAATTTGCTATATTGAATTGAAATTAAAATATTTACACAATACTAAACTATTGTGTTGTCGTGATTATTTTTTATTATTTATCTCGTCGTTTTCGATCTATAATGTACATACAATTACTATTGTTGTTTCTACTGTCGCTGCGAAATAAAATTAAATATCCAATTTTGCATAACAATAAATAAACAACAAGAATTTAGACGACAATTCAGATGCTTTTTTTCTTTTTACGTTCATATATTGTCGTTATTTATTAAGTTCAAGAGAGGATTGCTTACATCTGCGTTTTGAGCTATAATACATACTATGTACATCGTGTCGTTCAGCAAAAATCACTCTCCATTTCACAATTATCATTTGACTTTGCTGCTACTGCGACCGGGAATAAAGCTGGGGCCATACGGTCCCCAGGTAAAACTTACAAACATCTTAAAGCTATGTCGTTAGTCTATTATTTTCACTTCAGGCTGCAGGACGAAAGTTTTTTTACCTAAAAAAAGAATTTTTCTCCTTTACAACCAGTTTTACATTTTATCGGTATTAAAATATAATGACTAAAATAAATCACGATTTTTTTCTCCTGATTTAAATTAGCATAGCAATAGCGTATTCTATTGGAAGTAATTTTGCGCATTAAGATAGTTGCTAATTAGCATTGATTAATCGATATAAATTAAAAAATACATCCTTTCTCACATAATCAATGAGATGTTCTCATCATTTACTAGATCCATATCTTATTTAATAAATAATAACAGTAATATATATGTATATATATTTGATCGTATAGGATAATGTATATCACAAGGATAATTTAATTTTTTTAGCTCCTAAGAAAAAGTGATTTTTTCATAGATTTGCAAAACATTTGAAAGAAGATATTGTATTTAAAGAAGAAATATATTTAAAGAGTTAGGTCCTCCAGATTAAATTTCATTCTAAATTATTCAAATATATTTTTTTATATATTAATGTTCGTTAAACGAATGAGGAGGAACTACATTTACACAACATAATGTAATGATAAAAGTGACAAGATTGTAAAAAAAGGGAGAGATTAATTGATGGTCTCACTTGCTTGACTAGAACAGCAGCAACGCGAGCAAATATAGAACAACTTTCGACGTCCATGCAGCCTCCATCCACCTTGAATATTGATCCTCGTACTCTTGTCATACTGATATAGCTACGTGTAAAATAATCTTGATCTCTATCTTAAACTTATGTATATACTAATGATATTATGCCTATAATTCGATCAAACGTATTACTCAAAAGTCGTCTCGGAGCGACGACTTTCGTACAAATTACATCGAAGTGCTCCCTTCAGTCACCCGACAAAGTAATTGTTATTTTATTTTTTCTCTATGTAAGATTACCTTTTTCTATCTCTCTTTCACTCCTCACAATCTACTATATTACAAAGTTCGGAAGCGAAATTTACAGGCTCGTTTACGTTCTTATTTCTAAGGACAGAAGAAAATAGTTTGTTGCGCGTAGATCGAATTAACGATGAACGATCTTCGCGAAACTTTTGACGCTCGACGATTAAAGACGGGATCGGAAGGTAGGAGGGAGTAAAGGAGTATAAAATACCTAGCAGTTCATAGAAAATCGACAACTACCTCTTAATCTACGTTCTCTAAGCTCACTTTGGAAGGTGACCGCGCTACGATATATATTTCTCCGGAAGTCATCACAATGATTCAATAACAGTCTATGTCGTTTAAAATGCATCATTCTCGATAGAAACGACATTTCTCTTAATCACATTCAAGATTTCTGATAGTTTAATGCCAATTAATTAATATCATTAGTTTTTAAATATTAAATTCATGGAGTTTGTCGAAATTTTTCAATTCTCAGTGGAAAAAATTCTGAATATCAAACATTCTTTCTTTGTTTCATTAGATCTTTTAGTTCGTTGCGAAAAGAAATTCAAATATAACATATTTTTTGACAAGTCCAATATTTATAAGAGAATTTTGTTACCTAATTTTTTTCAAGCTATCAGAAAGATCTTGCATCTTTCTAACAATCGTGATATCAAATATTCGAAATATTTGTATAAAGATTACCAACTATATCTATGACGCTAGTGTGCGTTCATTCCTTCGAGGACCTTCCAATCGTGGCAATTCATGCCCGCCATACACGCTATTTTAATGTCACAAGTCGACTACAATTTACATATCCTTATCATTAATTATTTGACTAATATTTATCCGCACATATTCATTAATAGATCCTTTTTATTTAACGTACCAAAGTACAGCGCGAATGTAACACAAAACTTATGCGTTCGGATTTCATGCTGAAAGTATTTCAAATTGAAAATATTAGAAATAGATATTTAACTCGATCCGCAGGTTGAATTTCAACTAGGAATCAGCCTGAATTTAACTAAGATCTAGCTTGGACCAACTTGTTTTTAGTGATCTTTCATTTTTCTGTTTTACATTCGACTGTACCATAGTGAGTTATTTGTATTTTGAGTAAGAGGAAGCTCGCAGAGAAAAAGACAAGATACTCTTGTCTTAAATCGTAAATTTATCTCGATACGTGACACTTTGAGTTTTTCGATTATTTTATGTGATAAAAGAAAATCCACACGATTATATAATATTTCAAAACTCGAAACGCGGCGTCGAAAACATTGTAGGATAATGATTTGTTCTTATTCTTCATCATAAATGAATGGCGTTCATGTAGTGAACGATATTGGCCTAATATTTCAAAACAATCGATATTCGTCGATAGCAAAAAAAATAGTAACATTGGTTGCGAATAGTTACTTATCGCTCTATTTTTTACTGCGTTAAATAGGATCAGACTATCAGATGGTTCGTCATTTTGATTCTCTATAATTGGCGGAATCAGGAAGCAAACTTATGATGATGTCGCATTTAGTGAATTCGCGAGCCTTTATTGAACGATAGTATTTTTCAAACTTTGAATATTTAAAATTATAATTTTCTCATTTCTACACATGTCAAAAATAAAAATAGAGAATTTAACACGGTTAAAATAAGAAATATTATCGTTATAGAAAAGAATGGAAACAAAGTTAGATTATTCAATATCAAAAGAATTAAGATAGCTGGATTGATTTTTTAATTGGAAAAGGCTCGCGTGCGCGCATCTAGGAAATAGCTGCTGTGTTCTACAAAATGGATCCGCTATTTCATTCCTAAAGTGGCGAAAGCTTCATGATGTCGCTGTTGAGATCGGCAGTCGGCGCGAGGTCATCTAGGTCGACGGGGCTGCCATCCGAGCCGAGCGAGGAGGAAGGAGCCGCCATTGTCGCCGCGACGAACTCGTCGAGGAAGTCGAAGGAGGCCACCGCCTCACGCTCCTTGTCCCCATAACGCACGAAGAAGTCATCACCGCGACCGATGATGGACGGCCGGGACGAGCCCCAAGTAGACAACCGGAGGACGCGGTGCGCCTGGGCCGCCGACGCTGAAGAAACCAAGGGCACACAGCAGCGGGTCAACAGATGCTGCTCTCAGACTTCACTCGATCGACTCGATTTTGCGCTCTTTCTCTTTCTCTCTTCTCTCTATACCGGCTCTAGCAGACACAGAGTAGCTCGGCTTAGCACTCTCTTTCACGTCTCCCTCTCTCTCTTTCTCTCTCTCTCTCACCCTCTCTCTTTTTTTTCTTTCCTTCTTTTTCTTTTTTACATCTCCTTTATCCGTTCGTATATATCGCCTATCACCTCTCCGCCGTCGCTTCACCGCACCGGTTTCACCTCTTTCTTCCATAGACTTTTTTTTTTAAATTCGGAATTTAGGTATTTTTGGCGGGTGCACGACCGAATGGATGATACATAATGTAAATCGGACAAATTGTGTGCGCATATAATCGATTACAATAGACAAAAGTTACATATTAACATTCTTAAAAATTTATATATATATATACATTTTAATTTCGAACTTTAAATTATCATAATTTTTTTAATACAATGAAATATGATAATTTAATGTTTATGATGATTTAATTTTTAATACATTGAAATATTATAATTTACTATTTTTGCCAGATAACCAATTAAAATTTATAAAATATAATTATATATATATATATATTTTTTTATCTGTAAAAATATAAGTTTAGAGAATTAATACAACATTTAAAATTTATATGTAATTAATTTCTGATAAAATAATTTCCATTTGTCCAATTTACTCTATGACATGATTATGATTCGCTCGAAAATAATAATAATTAAAATCGCGTATATGTAATTAAGCATGTTACATGTTACGAAATTGGGAAAAAGGAATCCACCCAAGTTGGTTACTTTTGCGCTGTGATGTTAAAAATGATTGACAGTGCGGCGAGATGAATGATGAAATACAGGCAAACATATAATAAGGTAAAGCGTCAGAAAGATGAAGATATTGAAACGGTCTTGCACATGCCAATAAGATTTGAAAATTTCTATTCGCTTGTGGTACAATGAGAGAGAAAGTAATTATATTCAATCTACCCTGACGCAATTCCACGCGATGAACTATTCCATTTTACAGTACAAGATTTGTCTTATATATTGCACCGTTGTTTTGTACAATATATGAATTTTTTTATTTTTGAAAGACATTTGCATTCCAACTTGCATTCTCGTCTAAAAGTCTTTGGATATTTTAAATTTTACTATATTTGCACTTTTTTAAACAGATAATTATATACATTTTTTATTATCCATAAAACTAGATAATATATTTAAATAATTGCACTACGTTTGATTACACAATTATCTCCTTCTTTGTCATTTGATTTATATCTTCTTATATATATATGATCAATAGTCTTTTATTTAATACATCCTTGTATTTTGTCCACAAGACTTTCGGACGGTAATGTATGTGCCAAATAGGTCACGCAAATATATATAAGCGCGAAACGAAGAGAGATGGAATTGCGTGAAGGCACTACGCCAGGAACATTTTCTTTGCCGGTTAATAATTCTGTTAGAATAAACCAATAGTCTAAGTCCGCTGTAGGCGTACACTGGTTCAGTTCAGGCCGAAATAGGTTCTCCGGCGCGGCAATGTTTTCCTCCCAATTGGTCATGTCGCTTTTATAGAAATTGATCGTCACTAAGCCGAACTACGTAGCTTTTCTTGTGACAATCAAAGCACACCGCGTAGGAGCTACCATCTGAACAGAAAATATGGAAAAGGCTATGTACAGCGAAAGGGCTACTAGGCGCGAGCGTGAATTGTACTGTGATTGTATACCGTATTGATTGCGAGTATCGAGTAGACAAGAATAAAGCAGCTAAAGTGAGTGCATAACGCGATATATGATGTTGCGACGTTGATTTCAAATGTGTGTCAATTGTGACGAAATGGTGTAGCAGTTAGCAGTGTAGACGTGTTGCCACCTTAAGCTTAGAAAAGCAAGCACTGTTCACACACCACCCACAGAATTTCCTGAAGAGTCATATTAATCATATCAATCTTGTTTTCTTTAACAATATATAACTATACGTATCAGAATATCTAATTTATCATCTCGTGGTCTTAATTTAATAGTGATAAAATAAAGTTTGGCAAATAAAACACATAAATGTGTAAATCTTACAAAAATAATATGAGACTTAAGAATTAAAATATTAGTTTTTATACTAACTTTTTATACTATCTGTCTGATGTAAAATCAGCGTAGCAGTTTTTATCTATAAAATTAAATTGTATATAAAATGATACTTTTGATAATTTAGATATTCTGCATAGGCAATATATACGTTAGATTCTTGTTAATTAAATATTTTAACTTTAAGCTTTCTACATGTTAGAGATTAGTAAATTTCACCAAAAGTTTAAGAGAAAAAAGCATAATGAGAATGGTTATCGATAGGACATTGACATTGATAAAAAATTATGAATTTCACGAAAAGGTGGTGAATAGTGATGCATAGAAACAGCACGATAAAAGTGTCTACAAAATAGTTGTCACCCAGGGACAAATACCTTTCTTTTGTCGTCGGTATCGATGTAATCTATGCAAGTGGCGGTAATCAGGTGGTTCATCCCCCGAGTCGCTGCCTGCCGAACCGCTACTTGATGTCGCCGAAGAACTTTCGCTGCTTGCTAACATCACATCTAAGAGATTGGCTCTGGCCTAAATGGAAATACTGCTTATAATGGTGTTTTCGTGTAAAAATAAACATGGAGACAATGAATTGAAACAATTTATTTATAAAATTTTTAACTTTAATTGAAAAATTATTATTTTAAATAGATAGCAAATAGATAGTTTCTAATAATGACCAATAATGTGAATTTTTATATCCATAAATTAGCAAAATAATAGAACAAATAATTGTATCAATTGCATATATGTATTTAGCTATCTCGTTTGAAATTTATTTACGATTAGAATACGGATTTCGTGTTTCGACGAAACTTACTTTAGGGTCGGTGAAGTCAATATCGCGTTCAACGTGAACCCATCCTGTTGGACAGCAGCAAGCAAGATCCAATTTCTCCAGCACTACCTGCGATTCATTGTTAGTGATAGCGGTGGTGTGATCCTCGCCTTTCCGAATCATACGATTCAGCTCGTCTATAACGTCTTTGGATGTGGCGCGCTCGTGAAAACTCAATGTTCGATCTCTACCTTCCACGAAAAGAGTCGCTCGCGCCGGACTGACCTGTGCGAACATCACGCAATCGTTGTTACAGCAAGGCATTTTACTAGAAAGTAAAGTATGGATTTTATTTATATAAATACAAAAAACATAAGTTAATACTAAATTAATATTAAATTAATACTAATCCGATATTATCACGGTATTAAATATTATATTAATGATTAATATTAAAATAAGCAAAATAAATTCGAGTAACAGTGAAGCAAATTTTTCGTTAAAATTATTTTTCCAAGAAAGAAAAATATACATAATTGTACATTACTCTTTGAAAATTTTTTTTATATAACCTCGCGTATTATTTGAAAAACTTACAACCGTACTGGGTGTAGAGGAAGTTGCAACCTCTTCATCTTCTTCAGGAACGGCTCCTAATTCCGATGGTGCTACTGTTGTGTATGAAATGCCACCGTTACACGAAACAGCACTTACAATCCTCTCTTCAGGTGCCAACGGTGGTACTTGTATCTGATCGAGTAACTCGTCGTTGTTACTCATTTCAATTACGTTTCCAGGATTATTACTGCTCTCTGCGCATGATCCTTCTACTTCCGTGACCATGGCTTCCCCCGCGGAATCATTTTTGTTAGCGTTCACTTCTGTAACTAGTATCCAGAATCTCTTTTAATATTTTTTACACCATTTGAAATTTTGCAGTCTTTTACCATTAAAACATATCTTTTTAAAATATTTTTATTTTTTCTCATTTATAATTACGACAACGATAATTTGAATGTGAAATGAATAGTGCGGTTTTTCAAAGTTAACTGTAGATACGACTAATTATAATTAGAGCCTACCTTCGGCCGAGTGAGACATGACGTTATGTGTTTCCACGGGATTGGGTAATTCCGCAAGGTACATCTGTTGCTCAGCAATAAAGGAGAGGACGCTTTGAAGCGCTTGTTCTCTGTCTGGCGGTGGTCTGCCGCTCCTGGATGATGTGCTAGCCAAGCTTTTGGTGCTCTCGAACTTTACTAATCGATAAAAATCCCTAGTAAAATCAGTACCGATCGATGGAGTATCAGGATCATCGCTGCAGCCGGATAGCGCCGCCGATGAACGTTTACTCGAATTTTCTAAGACTCCCTCTTCGCTGCTCCAAGACGCACCGGGACTCGAAGCATATGGCCAGGGTCCGGTCGCTCTCGCGTCCATTAAAAGCGCGACCTGTAATAGAAAGTTAAATATTAGAATCATTCAAAAGTTGTGCGAAGAGTACTTTTTGAAGAAACATCGCATCAATTAAGATTAATTTTAGTTATAATTCAAAGTAAGTCATTCTGTTATGCTAAAGTTATATTTTTTAAAGTGATTTTTATATTTATTTTTATATTTTATTAAAATATAAAAATCACCTTAAAATTTAAAAATATAAGCAATATTAATATCAATAGGACAAATAATTATTTAAGTAATAATTTAAAAAACATTTTCAAAATTAAATATTAAATAACTGTTAAAAAGTTTTAATAATAAATATTTAATTTGAAACAATAGTACGCGTAATTATATTCATTAGAACATAATTTTGGTGAATTTTCGCGTATATAAGTGATATTATTATTTAAATAACTAAGCAAATGTGTCAACTCTCGATTGATATCGCAATTGACAAGCGTACCAGCTCTCCCCCGGTTCTATCAGCGAGATAGCTCGCGCCATTCCACAGACACTCGTTCGCATCCTCCTCCAATTCCAGGAGATTATGCTCCTTGATTGCCGGCAGAGCGGGCGTGTTTGTAGCAGTCGGTTGCTCCTTCCACATTGCGGATTCATTTTGTACGAGATCTTCCGTAGACAAGGAGAAGCTCCAATCTTCCAGCTCCGCTCTGTCGTACTCCAATTCGAGTAAGTCTCGATGTTGTTGCGCGCTTCTACTGTCATCGAGCCTGAAATCCGCGCAGAGATCTAATCAGTTTTATGTTCAATCGACGAATGCCTGTAATCTACTCATAGAAGAGGATACGATTTCTTCCGACTGAATTGGTTTCGCAAAATACGTAGCTATGTATTGTGACGCGAATTGTATAAATACGTGAAAATAATTTGCATGTATCTTTGAAATATTTTTACGCGAATACAGATTTTAATAATTGAATTTTTTATTAATATGCTAAATTGATTAATGACACATGAAATATACAGTTGTATAATATATAGTATATTAGTTTAACACTAAAAAAAATGAAAATTTATATCAAAGAAAATTTATATTCTCCTCATTCATTCTCACCGTTTGCTTAATCAAGCCATCATAATCCAGCAATTATACGCAAACAAACCTGAGCCATTGTTGGACATACTCGGCGTCCCAGCCCTCCTCCTCCACCAGTAAGAGGGAGGATGAACCCATGGGACTGGGCAGCTTGTATGGCGTGAAATTGGCGGTGGTAGTGAGCTTGAGACAAAGGTGACTATCGGAGAAGCTGCGCATCACGTGCTGATACGGTAGCAGATCCTTGGTCGGCGGATAACTGTGACGCGGATTGATGCCCACTGTGAGATTCAGAGGTAGGAAGAGAACATCCGGATCGCCGGCGTCGAGAGCGACGAGACGCGCATCCGGTGACACGTCGGCTTCGGTCTCGTCGGTGGCCTCCTTCAGATCCTCGAGGCCACGCGCAGAAGGTTCCTGACGCGTTCCTTCGCCCTGAACGTCGCTCGACATGGTCGAATAACCCTCGTCGCGGTTACCGCTCTCCGGACTCTCGCTGCCCTCCTCCTCCGAGGGTTTTTGCGCTACGAACGTTTCGGTCAAGTAGTCCCAAGTCAAGTTTTCAAAATTCAGGGAATTCCGAATAGATATGTCGCGGTTTTATTTTATCATAATTATATTTCATTATTGTTCATCATTTAAAATACTAGAATATCGATATTTCAAAAGCGAGAAAACTAAGAATTTAGAGAGAGGTTGTTAGAATTATTATAAAAGTCTATTATATGAATAGATTATATTTAATTTCTTAATTTCATACATCATGAATTAGATGAGTTTATAAATTAGAATTATATGACATTTTTAATAATATATTAATGTGATTTATAATTTATAGAATATAAAATATCTGCGATTGTGCTAAGTGCAATTTATTCCAAGAAAGATATTGAATCTCGAAAAATGGAATCATAAAGATAATAATAAAAAGCTGGATTGATAGGGAATTTTTATGAAATTAGTAATTATATTTTTATTTAATTACATTTAAATATATGTTGAATTTTAATTATATATATGGAATTGTATTCAATTCTGAAAGAGACACTTCTACATAATTTAATATATAAAATTTTTTAAACAGTTCGTCTAAAAAATCAATTATACTTATTTTAAGTACACTTAATTTTTCATGACATAACATGTTTATTATAATGAAAGATTAATACCAAGAGGTCTATTGCGTCGGCATTTGGTAGCTGCCATCACGGGTATCTGCAAGTTGAGGGAACGTGGCCTCGACAGAGGGACCCAAGAAGGGTCTAGGCCCAAAGCAGCGACCAGGGTGGCCGGACCAGCCTCAAGAATTCCTTGAATCAGTTCGGTGGGGCTTCCGGGACTGGCAGCTTGCGCCAAAAGTCCTGACAATGCTCGGTTCTGAGCCTCGAGCTCTCGTATACGTCTTTGCAACGCGCCTATCTCCTCTCTAAGCCCCTGAAAAGATAACCAACTGACATTAGCACTCTTCAAATGGATTTCTTGCTGATATCACTCAAGAAGCATATTAGCAGATAGGAAGAAGCGTATTAGCAGCTAGTTAATCCTTTCAAAAAGGTATTCCTTCAAGTGAAACTAATAAAAATAAATATATGCTTCAAGTGTAGTAATTCGTAATTCTTTCGCATTCTATATATGTGATAGTCTTCATGAAGCACGTGTCTTCGTAGCAGATGCAGGCTCTTCGGAGAGGATGAAAAAAAGACAGAAAGAGAGAAAGAAAGAGAGAGGAAGTGTGGTAAAGAGAGCATAGCGATGAACCTTTTGGGATAGGAGAGCGCGGACCACCTGGTTGGCGACGTCGTCCAGGCACCGCTCGTACTGTCGACGCTGAGCGTCGGCGTCCCGCGCCAGGGCGGCGTGTTCCGTCTCCAGAGTCGCCAGACGTGCCACGAGGGCGGCATGCACTTCACCGGCGCATGCTGCCTCGAGACCGCGCAGCTGACCTCGCATCGACTCGTTCTCCAGCTGCAGCTTCGATATCTGCGCCTGGTACTGGTGCACGCGCGCCTGCAAGCAAGCGTGCGACACGCGAAAATTATCGTACCTGTGTCCGATCGGTATCTCCAATTACACGAAATGTCATTTATAACTACGGTAGGATAATTAGCTAGGAATATTTTATTCCAACACAACGTAATAACATATATCCAATGATTAGTATATGACATTTTTGGAACAAGGGAATTATGTTTTTCAGTTGACATTTTATGAATGTAATATCAGTGCATAATCTGGAATTTATTATAACATTGTTACTATTAATTTATTAATATAACATCATAATGATTACCGTATAATTAATTAATGTTGAATATAATAATTATTATTCTTGTTGGCATTTTTAGAACATAAAACATACATAAAGTTTCAATTTAAAATATTAATTATTTTAACAACAGAATTGGATATCTTCCTAAAATAAAATTCAGTTAAAATTATTGAGAAAAAAAGTATCAAGTTATTAGTTCCGAGATCAGTTTATAAAAATAATTTTTCAAAATCTTATTAAAATTACTTGATATTTCACATGTACCATATTTTATTATAAATATTAAAATGATGTAGTATAAGAAGTGATTTTATGAAGTCATCATCCGGATGTTTTAATTTCTAAAATACGATTGTAGATTTCCTGATCTATAAAAACTTAAGACATAAATACATTATTACTTCGGTGAACTTTGAATGTACATTCGACAATTCTAATCCTATTTAAAGCACATTTGCGATCATAATCTCGGCGTGAAAGTAAAAAATTGCGAGCCGACGAAGGCCAGAAGTGCTCCATAAATATCCTACGCGTTATAGCACGCGTTAGAGCTCAATTCCCGGCGGTCGTTAAAATTAAGCGCTAATGGATTGTTTCGATCCTATCAAGCCTGAGTGACTCACTTGTCGTGATCGTTCCTTGGCTTCTGAGTGTTAAAGATCGTGTTCGTGTTTTTAACTCGATCACTTTGGTAAGGAAGAAAAATCGACTGGTCGGATCGCGGAGATTTAAATACTTCGTTCAAACCAAAACAGGTATTTCCGCAATTATCTCAAACGGTCTTATTACAGAGAGGGAACGGGGGACCCGTTCTTAAATTATCCATTCTTAAAATACCTGGAACATTCGCGAGTGTATCTTCTTACTCCTATTTTTAAAAGGAGTAATTATGCCGTGGCATTCGTGACGATTGCCATTTGCTTCTTAAATTACTCGTTCGTGAAAATATACGTAAAGAACAACTTTTCAAATGCATTAAGTGCATTTAGGAACTCAGCTTTTTATTTTTTCCTTAATTTAATTATTATATTTTAAAAGTATATTTTTAAATATTTCTCTTCATTTCTCTTTCAAAAGGAGATGTAAAAGAAATATATGAAAAATATATATCTTATATATATGTATGTTATAATAATGTGTATATATATATATATATATATATATATATATATATATATATATATGTTATAATATATATATATATATAAAATATATATTTTAACAATTATACATAATCATATTAATTTATGTTCTATTTTTATCCAACTTTATTCTTGATAAGTACTTATATATTTGGAATTTTTTTAAATCTTTTTCTTGAAAAACACCACTATTACTCATATACTCTGAAGATGTCTCTAATGTTTAATAACTTTTAGTGTCAAGAATAAAGAATTTTAGTCTGCACCTGGGGTTTCTAAAAACTTTGATCCGTCACTGCCTCTACACTTTCTTTACTTCCATCCTCGAACGGAAGTAATTACATTCGATAGGGTTCGTGATCGTTTGCTTCTGTTATTATGGTTTGCTTCGAGTCAGGATCCGAGTTTTTATGGTAGAAACAAGTTAGAAGAGGTCTCGAACGATTGGATACATTGTTTATCGATAACGATTATGACGACGACGACAAACCGTTCGCGATTCGCTGTCTCGAGCGGTAATAATAACCGGCCGTTATTAGCAGAAAGGCGTTTAACGTTGAATTAGGGCTGCGGAGACCTCTGTCGGAGACAGGGGTGCTAATAGAGGGTGCGTGTGTCTGATTTATAACAGTCGGCCCTCGCTAACACACCCCCGCGTCGCACCGAGCGAGGAAACCAACGATTTTCTGTCGTTCTCCGGTCTAAGGGGGAGTAAAAATGCAGACTGTCTGTGTTTTGCGAATTCTCGTCGACGTGTATTACCTCTCGATATAGAATGTCTCGAAATTCTCTACTTGAAATAATCGAGAATTTAGAAGATGTATTAAAATTTTAAATATATTTTCTTGCAATTAAAAATTAGCTTATTTGGAGCTCATTAATGGCATTGAATGTCAATTTTCCTTATACAGATTTTTATAAAAAGAGATTTATAAGTTAATATTTTTATAGAAAGGGAGAGAGAGAGAGAGAGAGAGAGAGAGAGAGAAATTTGTTTGTTTATTATAATACTTAATTTTACTACAATACTTTACACACACAGAGAAAAATATCATTCTACTGCCAAGAAAAGCGATTACTCAGTTTATTTTTTTTTTTTTTTTAAGTAATAATTTTCTTCAGCAAAGATTATATTCTTGATAATCTTAAAATATACTCATCACAAGTGTTAGAAAATCTCATTATCATGTACTCAAAAGAAGAATTTATTTTCTCTTCAAGAATATTGTAAAGTTATATCAAAGAAAAATCAAACTTACTTTACGTCAATTCTTGTAGTAAGCAAACCAAATTTTTGTTTTAATTTAATATTCTTGACTAAACTACTGCACTTACGAAAATTCAGAATATATTCAATTAAATTTAATGCTTGTGGTAAACTTATGATATATTTGCGGATATACAAACTTATGATATACTTAAAATAAATAATATTTACTTGAATGCAGTATACATTTTTCTCTGTGCACTCTTCATGTTGGATGTTATGTTCAAAATTAGTTATTTCTTCAATTTCTCTTTCCATTCAAAAATTAATTTCACAATTTTCTCAGTGTCTCCATTATTGGATCTCACCTGTCATTCGACTCGACTCTATTTTTTGCAGATTGTCACCAATTCGCGTGCAATGATAGAAGTACACTCACTCATGCATTCAGATATAACGTTATACATCGCTTCCCGTAGGGATTGCGCGGCTTGTCATTGACAGGCGGTGGCGGGTCGACATTGAACCCAGGGATCGAGTGACGATCGATATTAAATGTTATTTCGTAGGGAACGACGATATAGTCTTTCTCTCTCTCTCTTTCTCTCTCTCCTCCTTCCCCTTTTTCTCTCTCGTTCGTTCCCCTTGCTGCTACTGCTATTATTGCGGGAGAGGGGGTCGGAAGCGTTGAGAGAGAATACCCCCGGCACGGTACGACTCTTTTAGGGGCAAACCGCCCGTGAACGAGATAGCGCGCGTGCCGTAAGGATCGGCAGTATAAACGTCCGCGTTTACTGTTCCCTCCCTTTATTGCCTGTGCCCTCGCATACGCGTTTTACGTCGAAAATCATCGCCCGCGAGAGCTTTACGAGGCTCGCGAATTGCGGAAACGAGAAGCGAGAGCGCGTAGAAAGTTTGCATTCGTTTTTATCGATGTTATTTTTCATTTTATTTTGGAAGTAGAATAGCCGCATCGATTCTAGAATACTTCCGCTTCGCGAATTGTTCAGTGCAGTGCGATTACCATATTAATTCTAAATTCTGATCAACTTAGAAAAGTTGAAATAAGGAGTAAAAAAATATTAGAAAAAAAATCAAAGATCTTTTTTTAGATATTTTTAGATATTATTTTGCGAAAAAGATATATATTCTTTATAAAATTGTCACGTTGAGAATTATAATAATAAATTCGAGAAGAGAAATATATAATTTAAATGGAATTTATATATGAATTTAGAAAAATATATACTTTAATTTTAAAATATATAACTTTATAAATCTTTATATTATAAAGGTAAAGCTATATATTCATAATATTATTTACAATTATATTTTTATTTTGCTTAAATTTTTCGCACATTTTTAATTTAATTATTCTTTCGAAAAAGAGAACATGACACCAACTTTTTCCTGAGAAAAGAAAAAAAATTATATAAATTTATGACAAAAGCGGCTGAAATAGAGAAATTAGATCGCTCAACCCTGATAATATGAAACGATGTGCGTGAAACGAGACAAAAGCTGCCGCGACAAGGTATGCTACTTGACGTTTAATAATGAGAACCGAGCTAAATTCGCATTTGTAACAATGCCCGGAACAATCCAGGCCGAGTGCTCACGCAGTGAAATACAATAAGGGCACGTTGCCGTGAAGGAGACAATATTATTGGATAAGGGGAAACCTTTTACCGGGACTGTCATCGCGCGACATACCCGGCTTCCACCGGCAAACCGAACTCCCACGACGATACACGCTGTTCCGTATATATACAGGATTGATCGAGTATCAACATCGATTATCTCGTTCGTCTCGCGTGTAATGTCACGCTGCATTATATTTGATTGACGAGACAGACTCCGGAAATAAATTCGCTGAAGCATTGCATTTCCTATGACGTTTAAGAAACTCTAAATCATACGTAGACCTCGGAGCGTCCATTTAATCAATATTCATAAACTAAAAACGCTCTATAAACTTTCGTATTTAATTTTTGTTATAATCGAAATATATCATATAAATTACGAATAAAGAATCTATATACTCCTGGACAAAATTAACGCATAAATTTTCTTGCACTCTTCTTTCTTTAAAATTTTTCATTAAAATTTAAATATCAGTTTTTAAAGAAAAAGTGAAAAAAAATTATGCGTTAATTTTGTCCAGGAGTATAAGTTAAATCGAAAAGATAGGAAATTATTTAGCTTCCACGCGAAAAAAATCAGTTTTACTTACCTCGTAGGAAAGTGTGAGTGCCGTTTTCTCCTGCTTCAGCTGTTCGGCTCGGTGCTTTTGTTGCAGCAGACTCCGCGACGACTCCTCCATCCTGCAACAACAAATCAGATGTGTCTACATGAGGAAGCTCCCGGATTTTAATCCCTGTTGAAAAGATCCTAATTGAATGAGCCATTGAGACTATTCTCGGTAGCATCCTCGGTAGTTTTCTATTGTGCTGCCGGGAAATTTATTTGCTCTCTCTCGTCGACCTCGCTTCCTGCTCCCGAAGAGCTTCACTTTCAACGAGAAAAATTTTTCTCTCGCGAGATCAACTCGCGCGAAAGAAATATCTTTCTCTTTTCTTTCGGATTTCATCTATTTTTATCTCTTGCTTTCTTATTAAATAAAAATTAAACATAATTGGAAATGCTACGCTTTCCCCTATAAATCTACACAATTTCTTTTGGAACAAATAAAATTTTAAAAATTACAAAGAAAGTAATATTTCTTCTCTCATCTCTTCTCTTTTTAAGAAACTCAGTCATTATAATTTTAAAAAATCGAGTACTTTATTTAAACAAAAATCTTTGCGAATTTTTTCATCTAATATTAGTATTTCGTTTTTTGGCATATTATTCACATTTTAAGAAGTAAATCGAAAGATCAAAATTTTCGTGTGGCAAATCTTCTCATGTGCGTACGTAGCACGAGGTTAATGATCTGATTAGAGATGCGAGGGCGCGGCTGAGATATGAAGCCGATTTAAGCTTTTCGAGGGAGGCCGAGCGAGAGGTTGACGCAGCGCCTGGCAACACCCTCCGTCTTCTCATCGGGGACCCCCACAGGACAGATATCCTTGCTTATGTCCTTGGCGAAGTAACTTTCGAGCCAGTTATGCGAGAGAGTTTCAATTCGATTGTACTCTGCGTTGACATTTAATAAGGATATATTCACAATTCGCGTAGGGAAATTGTCTTTCGCTCGCTTAATTGGACAGCTAAATATAAAGAATTTATAAAGATTGCTATATTTTCTTATTTAAAATTTTCTTATTTAAAATATATATTCCAACGTGATTATTATCTTGATTAAAGTTTAGATATCTGTGTTTTACTAAATTAATAATAAGCTTGATTCACGTGTACACAAGTATTTATGAAGCGAAAATTATCCTAATTTTCTACCACCGTCAGAAGTTAAAAAAAATTAAAAAATATAGCATTCGAAATTATTTCATAATTATTCTTGAATAATTATTCTTATAGTTTAAACAAATAAATATTCGTAAAGGAACTATTCGTTAAGAAATATTTTCTAAATACTACAAAATTATCAATCCTTATTACTTTAAAATTTCTTTTTGAATATCATAATTATTTTAATCTTTACTAATTTTTAATATCATTATCATGATTATTAATTACGTTGAATATTTTCAAAACAATGCTTAATAAGTTTTACAAATACCGCCGAGTATATTTCGTCGCTACTTGTCGTTTTTACATTTTTAGTTAGGCGAAGTACGAGAGACCGAGAGCGCGATCGATCGTCGAAGTAGCGCTCGCAATTGCTGCACCCTTAAAGCAGAGGGTGTAGTTCTCCCCAAGCAGCGCTACTCCCTCGACCTCCCTCTCTTGTCCGCTTTTCTACTTCTCTCTGTTTTCGCTCGGAACACATGGCACGAGCAAGCCGGTCCTCATGATTTACAACTGTTGCTCGGCAAATTCGATTACGATGATTTCGGGATACCACGCGGCATCAAATTGCATACGAAAAGACGCTGAGTTAATTTTGCATATATTCATTCAAGAGGATCTAAGTAGATTGATTTGTTTCTAATACTGCTATACAATTTATTATCTATTTAATTTTTCACTTTGTTATATATTTATTTAATTATATACAGTTTCTTAATAAGTTTCTTAATAAGTGCGAAAAATTTTAGGAGATGATTCTTTGTCGAAAATTAAGGAGGTTTTTTATATACATTAAAAAGTTCTAATAAAAAATTGAATAGGGGTTGCTAGTTTCATCCCCTTATAACAATATTGGAGGCTAAAAAAATTAATAATTAATAAATAATCTTTTTACTAGTATAAAAATATCCACCTAATTTCATTTCTTTAACTTGTTCCAAATTTGAGAAAAAAAATAAAAACCTAACTTTTATCCCCATTGTTGGAGGAGTGCAACTCCACAGGGAGAGATATAGGAGTATACGTTTATGTGAAAAACCCCCCTTAATTTTCAAAAAACCATCAAAGAATCATCTAAAATTTTTCGCACTTATTGAGAAATCTTGTATATGCTCGCTTATTGTATATTAAAACTCACTTTTTTACGTCTTTTTTTATTTATCGCTAGTTTTTATTCTACAATTTTCAATTTATTACGAATTTAGAATATCTCCGTTTAAAAAAGTCAAATTCTACATACACAGAGAAAAATATCATTCTACTGCCAAGAAAAGCGATTACTGTTTATTTTTCTTTTTTTAAGTAATAATTTTCTTCAACAAAGAATATATTCTTGATAATAATCTTAAAATATACTCATCACAAGTGTTAGAAAATCTCATTATCATGTACTCAAAAGAAGAATTCATTTTCTCTTCAAGAATATTGTAAAGTTGTATCAAAGAAAAATCAAACTTACTTTACGTCAACTCTTGTAGTAAGCAAACCAAATTTTTGTTTTAATTTAATATTCTCGACTAAAATACTGTCTTACTAAAATTCAGAACATATTCAATTAAATTTAATGTTTGTGGTAAACCTATGATATATTTGCGGATATACAAACTTATGATATACTTAAAATAAATAACATTTATGAATACAGTATACATTTTTCTCTGTGTAGATTTCTTTACGTTCTACGTTTCGCAAATCGAATCTGTGACGATGGAGGGTGACGATTTTCAGTCGCGCTTACTCTAATTACTGTTTACACATGTCGACAACCACGCAAGTGATACGACACGCACGAAGCCGACGTACACGCACGCGTGAGCTTTGGCAAACTCAAACTCGCCAGAACAAACAGATATTGCTGCAAACGCGTCGTTGAATCGCGTACAGCGCGTTAACGCGATGCGTGGTCGTTTGTGCGTCCTCTGCGTCATTATCATATGGAAATTGTTACGCCCGCTGGCTTTATATACGATCTGCTGGACACGCTTCTGCGTCGACACGCGAGGGATTCGTCCGTCTGTTTAATACGTCGCCGTCACGACACATCGAAACTTCATCGGTCGTGAATTAACGTTTTCGTTCCACCGCGTTCTATTCGTCTATGCAGGGTATGTGCCCTAAAATTATCCCGTAACGATCTCATCGACGCCGATGGAATGGATTCGGCGACCCGATTGTACGAGATTAATTTCCGGCGGGACGTTTCGAAAACACGCACCGCGAATACACTGGCTGCAACGGTTTTCGCATAGTTGGATTTTGCATCCGCTTGTTTTGACTTTAACGGAAAGCTGCGTTTAAATCGCATAATTTTTTTGGATTTATATACTATATGCGTGTCTATAAAATTTCTATTTTATTGTATATTTATTAGAAATATTGCATTCTAATCACAAATTGTTGATCGATATTTGATCACTATTATTACGAATTAAAGACTACAATATAAAATGTATTTTTAAGTTTTTTTTTACACAAAACATTTATTTATACAAACATTTTTTTTTACATTTGGTTAATTGGTATTTTTAATAAATATCACTTTAGAATCTTTGATATCAATATCGATTTGATATTTAATTATTGTTGAATTTTCATCGATATCATTTTACTCGATATAAATAGTTTCATTGAATACTTGAATTATTTATACCGAGATGTCGGCCACAAATGAATGTATTTCCGAAACGTCTCTATGCGAGAGGAATTTCGAGAAGCAAGGTCCTCTCTTACCTTCCACATTCTCTTTCTCCACGACATGTTCGTACAGCTATTTAGGTTGCATTGTTTCTACGTGTGGTTAATAGAAGTCTCTACAGTGGGGCGCCTCGGCGAAAGGGCTTGGAAAATTCAATTTCGTGTCTGGCCGCGTAAAAATAATGCCGCGCTTTCTCTCTCACGCGAGGGTCCGCTCGTAAAAAGCCGCCTGGAGTACGAGAGCCGAATTTTTAATTCGTCCCGCGATCGCGCGACTAGATTCCACCATGTGACCGTGGGAACAAAAGATCACGTTTAATTGAGCGGTCGGTGCGTACGCAAGATCCCGAGATCCCGAAGCTCGGAATTTTAAGTATCGTCCAAGGCCCGGTCGGCTCTTTGTAAAACCGCGCTGTTATCATGAAATACTTTCGACAAGCTACTTTGGAGCGAACTCTTGAGTCCTGATTTATTCGACGAAGGGAAAAAATGGTACGCACATAAAAGATCGCTCCTCCGCGTGGGAAATATATTGTGCTCAATATTCATCATTATCGATTATTTTTAATAAGACTTCTTGTTAATGTTATAAAGCAAATGTATTTAAGTAATTTAATTTATGTATTTAAAAAGGGAATTTCAATTGCACGATATATGTTCAGAATTTATATGAAATTATTCTAAATTATATTAGACTTAATGTGTTAATTCTGTTCTAAAATTATTTGTGATGGTTAACTTAGTATATTCACATTTTAGAATTATCTAAAAAAGAATATGTGAATTATTATTTTTCACGACATAAATAATATACATATAGAAAACTTTCCCTATTAATTTTTAAAATACTTATTCACTTTACATTAATATATATTTATTACATGTATATTATATATTTTATTAATATATATTTTATTTTATATTTTTTTCAACATATATAGTAAGAATTATATTTGCGAGTTTAAATGCGTGACATGTTTGACGTCTCCGAAAGATTGAAATTCGACAGTGTCGCAACTTTTCGGAATTAAAAATCACGCACGGACATAAGAGGGCGTGAGGAATGATGTAAAGGACACCTAAGGATATGGGCAGAGTATGCGCGTCATTATTCATTCACGGCGGCGAAAGGAACCATCGAGCCGACGTATCCGGCTGGTTATAATGCATCATGTCACGTTGCACGCTGTAAAACAAAGATATCAATTTGCTGTACACGCATTCGCTCACACGTGGTGCATGACAGTTGGAGATCATTCTTTCCGGGAATCACGTGTACGAGACAAATAAGAATCTGCATAGATTACGCGAAGACTTCTGAAAATTCTGTGTACGATAATCATTACATTTATTTCATTCATTAATCCTACATTTAATCCTGGAGTTTATTTTTTTCTGACGTTTTATGAAAAAAGATTTTAAAATGTTGAAGAAAAGAGATACGGATAGGTAGCAGAGTTTCGAAAAATATTTCATACAAAGCCGAAACCAATGCACCGTTAATCATTCAACTACAATATCGTTTCGAACAAAAGCGTTATCGATATTTTCAATCATTCATATGCGACTTTGAACCACATATGTTATTTTGCCATATCCTATATTGGGATGGTACATGGTCGGCGATCTCTATTGCCAATCGAGAGCGATAAGTCCGGTTGTCGGCCCGCTAGTTTAATTTCTACGGCATGTTATTGATCTCTGGGAAAAAATGTCAGAAGATTTTTTTTTTTTTCTGTCTACTCGACGGTGCCGAATCAAAGGACTGCGTTTGAAAAGCTCTCCTGTGGACTTGACGAAACGTATCGTTGGTTTTGACAGAATTATATACGAGGGCTTTTTCCTTTTCGCGATCAGCTGCGCTAATATATCAAATAATTTACCGAATAATCCCGCGTATATGGTCTCGATAAAGAAATCCATTTATGTTCGCTAATAACATTTCTCCGAAAGGATACCGTGGAATCGATTCAGATATCCCATAGGGATTAATAAAAGTATATTTGGAAAAATATTGAACAAAACGACTTTTAAATAAAACGTACTTTTAAATAAAATATTATATTAGAGAGAATTATTAGAGAGAATTATTAGAGAGAAGATTTTAATGTAAATTACTTTTATATTATAAATATGAATAAAACATATAAAAATTTAACATATAAAAAACGTATAAAAATTTAAAATAATTTTTAAAAAATCTGTAATGTTTTATTTATTTAATATCTAAACTTATCAAATTGTAGCGTTTATGTATTTATTAAAATATTTAAAATAAGATTGATAAACAGAAAAACTTTTCTCTTTCTCTCTAAAAATTAGAAATTATCTTCAAAATACAAGATATAATAGCTATATATTTTCATATCGTTAACACTTTTCAATATTAAAAAATAGTTTTTATTCTTTTAAAATATGAAAAAGATTTAATTAGTTCTATCGAATTTTTCATCGCGAATGTGCGATATCTCGCGACAGTTTCGATATTAAAATAATAATAAAAGATACAATAGCGGGGAAAAAAGGATAAAGAGAGGGCAAAGGGAGGTTTTATCATTTTAGGGTGGGTTGCAGTATGTTGTTGGATGAGAGCCAATATCGAAGATTTACCATCGGATCCTCTGGTTATTGCGTGGGAAACGCGTGCGGTCTCATTATTTATACGTTACATGGGTACTTTTATATTTATGTATCGCGCACGCGGTCTGCACAGGAAATAAAGTACTGCCTCTACCTGGCATCCGATGAAATAAGCGATTTTCGCGATACTATGATTATGGAGAGGACGCGAAAGAACGGAAAGAAATCGATTCGCACATACTATGGCATATACGATGACCTCGAAGTGTTAGTCAAGGCTTCGTAATTATATCGATTTGTAATACCATCCCTTCTTACTTGAATTACTCATAAAAATGTCTAAATAAAACTCTTATTCACGTCTAGAAAACGTAGATATTTTTCTAGATATCTTTTTTTAAGAAATTTTCATGAAAACTGTCGGTTTAAAAGCTTTAAAAAACTTTATTATTGTCATTTGAGAAATTAAAAAATTATATTTTAAAATATTTATGAATTTATTTATTATATTTTCTAAATTAGAAATTAAAGATATATGTAAAACAAATATTTGTTCAATTTAGCCACCAAAATATGATCTGTAATAATTAAGATATATTTTAATCCAGAAATATAAACATTTAGACTAGATTAGAAATAATCAATTTTTCTAGATAAAATAATTTTCCAAATTATATTTAAAAAAAAAGAAATGGAAGGTAGAACTTTTAAAAGATTAAAGATCTTAGACGGAAGGAAAATCAAAGAAAGCGAAATTTTTTGCAATTTTCGCATTTCTTTATCGCATTCTTTTGCGAGAAGCGTTAAACTTTGAAATCTCTCACCTGGCCAGCTCTCTCTGAAGATGATGGACTCTCGATCGTGTTCTTTCAGCTTCAGCCGTAACTTCGCGTACCCGAGCTTCGGCCTCCATTCGTTGCCGACGTTCTCGTTCCACATCTCGTTGCGTGGCCTCCCTCTACGACAATCCAAACGTTGACATTTATTAATGGCAGCCAGGTAGACGAAAAAAAAAGGAGGAAAGGGCAGAATGGAAAAGGGGAGGGGAATTGTTAATTAACGCGACGATGGAACGACGGCGATGCAAAATTCAGCGACGTGCGTCGGGCACGAAAAAAAAACGGCGTCGTTGCGACAGTCGTGAATAATGAATCGGCAATAATGACGTCGATACGAGCAATCGCACATCGCGAAAAGGTATCGTCGGTTAGAGTATGATTAATTAATGGCGGATTTAATAAAGTGTTCGTAGTGTCGCACGATGGACACGCCAGTGGGTTGTCGTGTTATTCGTTTCGCCGATGCGGGCGGGGCGGGATGGACGTTAATTGACTTGTAATTAATCAGCGCGCACTCGTCATAATTTATTCGTGGTAACGTGCGACGAGCGGCGAGATTAATAAATCACTGTTGGATCGCTTTTCATTTTCCCCCCAATCGGGGAAAAGCGATCGAAATTGTTGGCGGGCAATCAGCGGAATTTTTCGCAACGGACTGAAACCGACGTAATTTCGGCAACAAATTTTCCACGATATATAATATGAACATATTTCACAAGGAAATAAAAATAGTAAAAATCATTTTTTTTAAGTTACAGATACGATTTCAGATGACAAGTGTATAATTATTTTACTTGAAAATATTGAAATGAATTATGACTGAATTTTCGAATAACGATTGTGCATTTATCTATAATAAATTAGCCATATCACTTGTGTAAAATTCCATCTATTAAATTATCTATCTCTAACTAATAGACTAGATTAATAACGAGTAATCGGTCAGGAATAAATTATTCAAATGGAACAGTGAGTTCGCGCAATTCTTCCTAAGATAACGCCCAAGTCTGATCCGTAATTTGAACTCGGCGAAATTTATCGACGACTTGATCCCCGCGGAATCCGATGGATCGATGGCCGCGAGTGGACCGAGAGGAAACGCGTGAGACGGCCGAAAAACTCGTCGATCTTCGGATCGCCGCGTCGCATCGGCAGGCAGGCAGGCATTGCGAGAGGGAATTATTCATGAATTTAAATCGAAGCACCGCACGCTACATTGATTGCGCCCTTCCGAATCGCGTGGCGAGTCTGGGGTCGTCGGGCTCGGGCTCCTCCGTCCACTTCGCGCGCTCTCTCACCGAGTGCCATCAATAATTGTGCCGGACCAATGTGCCGAAAGCAGTATTTCACGCGATTTAACCCGCCGGTAACCGCGGCTATCTCGGGTCCGGCCGTAAATTGTCGTTTGTCCCTGGCTAGAGGAAGCTGGGAAGGACGAAGTTTCGGATGCGGCGCGAGATAATAATGCTCTCAGATTTGCAATAGCAGCGAACGGCTTTGGGAGAAAGACGAATGGTCAGATTTATGTGAATTCTAGGACACGAGCCTCCTAAGACTTATTAGAGGATAAGCGGGCAAACGTATCGATGAGTTGGGAATAACCGTGAAAATTAAAAGGATCAAGTATGTAATAATTTCGACAAAAGTAATATTTTATATAATTTAAGCAACAATTTTTTAAAAAGTAATAATTTTTTATAAGAAATAACGATAGAAGGAAATGTCAATACAATATACAATCTTATAATAATCTTTCACGATAATTTTTCACAATTTCTTTAAATTATGTTCTTCGACAAAATAAATATAATATTACTCTTTTCAAATCAATTATTAAATATAAGTTGTTAATTAATATAAAAATAATAATAAAACGTCTTTCTCTTATTCTTTTTTTAAAATACATCGTTTATATAAATAACATTTTAATTTTAGTTAAATTTTCTTTATTAAAAGGCTCTCGAATAGAAAATTAAAGGTTATCACACAGACAATATGTTAAGAAATCTGTTAAGAAATTTGCAAAACATAATATAATAATTAATTTTGCCCAATACATTCGTAATTATATATGATCTCGTGTGATCTACATTTATCTCGTCCCTCGTATTTGCACGTGTGTGATGCGCCGAAAGTCAATTTTTCGCGGCTTGCTGCGTTTACAATCGGATTCGTAAAAATTCTGCCGACGTCGGCGAATATCGCTGCGATCAGGCGAAAGTCCACCGAAGAAAGGACGCGGGTGGATTCGAGGAGGTGGGGTCCAAAGGGGAGATATCGAGGAATACAATCTGGTAAAAGCCAGGCTGGCCGCCGCTCGCGCGCCGAAGGGTTTAAGAAATGGCCAGAGCGGATTTATGGCAACCTTAAATCCTAACGAACGCTCTTTCCTCCCTCCCTCCCCCGGAGTTTTCCCCGACGAATCTCTCTCCCTCCTGGCGACCGTCTTCTATCGAGAATGTCGTATTTGTGAGGTTACTTCCACTTGGAGCGCGATTTCGGTCGTCTCGGGAAAATCGCGAACACTTTACGACGCAAATCGCGAAGAATAGCGCGACTTTTCTGTCGAATTCTTTGCGAAAAGAAAGTCGTGATTTTTATGACAAATGTTCCTTTCCCGAAATCGTGAAATCAAGAAGGGAAAAACTTTGTATGCGAAAAAAGAATCGAGATGATTTTGTGTAATAAATATAATGACTATTGAAAAATAAGAATTGAAAGAAAAGATTAATTTTTTACAGATACTAAATATCTTTTTATCTATACTTTTGGACAAAACTAACGCATAATTTTTTTTTCACTTTTTCTTTAAAATTTTTCGTTGAAATTTAAATATCAGCCTTTAAAGAAAAAGTGAAAAAATAATTATGCGTTAATTTTGTCCAGGAATATATTTTGATCATTACATTACAGTTATTATAAAATTATTTATCGAAGGCGATTACGATTCGATTCTATTATAATAGTAGCGATTAACGCGGTTTATTAAAATTTCAGTCAAATTAAAGAGGCAAGTCTATAATACGACTTTTGTACTCCATATGCTTAACATCACGGACTCTCTCAGTTTCATCGGATATACCGAATCGAGTTTCGTGCGAGAAAACTGATCTAATCCTCAAAGACACCCCACGGAGAAGTCTACACGCGTTCGAGTAATCCCCTTCCCCTCTCCCCCTTCCCTTCCATCATGAACGATGCGCACGTGTGCCCGCAGTTTCATTCGGGGCACGTGCGGAAGGTTGCAGAAGATGCGCGAGGAAGTCGCCTAATCAACGCGTCGGAGGGAGACTGCATCATCGGAGACCGGGAAATTATTAATGAGCGGCAAAATTCTCCACGGGAGACCGTCCGATCGCGGAAAGCACTCGTTAATAATTCATCGCGAAATAATTCTCTCCCGTCTCGTGATTCGTCGATCCATTGCTTTTCGAGCACGTGGGGAGCGAAATGAGGGAGAAAGAGAGGGACGTGGAATAAAGAAGACGGAAGGATGAAGGGACGAGCTCTCTTCTGCCGGAAAAGACCACCACCTTTCGCTTTTCCGCCATCCGGATTAATAGCTAGGTCACGTGTCTGCGATCCTCGATGCTCTCCGCGAGTGCGGCGATAAATCTTTCAGGTCGGCTCGCTTTCGCACCTCCGAGAATCGCACGGCTCTTCTTCACCCGCGAAAAGTTACGAGGGAATAACACAGAAGGATTGCGGGAAAGGCGAGAGAGAGGGAGAAAAGCAGTACAATAAGACATCCCTCGCGTTCTCGTTCGCGCAAGACAGTAGTCGTGGCAGTCGTTATTCACCCGCAATGGTTTTCCCGCAGTCTGTTTACGAGTGTTAGAAATTACCTTCCAATAAGATTCCGCGCATCTTACTATTGATTTTCCCGCCGCCCCGAAAGTAACAATGTAAGACTGTAAACAATAAAATAATTACTTTCTAAATCAAAATGCGAAGTATATTTCGCGTGCGCATTATAAATTCTGCTTTAGTTAAAAGATTGCGGTTTATACGATAACGGACAGTTTTATGAGGGGAAAATATATAAAATAAAATAAAAATAAACCGAATAAAAATGACGGTCATTTCGCGATACGATTTTTTTTTCACTTTCTGCACGATATATAAATTTGCATCATTCGAAATAAAATATCTCGCGTTTCTGCATTAAATCGGGCTTTTGACGTATAATAAAAAATTGAGTTAACGTTATTTTTAACACCGCTATCGTTGTGATTTAATGCTAGCAATTTGCAATTTCGTTGATAACGAGCATGTTTCGGGAGCAACGACACCGGCTCTCACGTAAAGCTAGCCGTTATCAATGCTCGATGTATTATATCGCGTAATAATACGCTGCATATCAATAAAGCACTTGAATAAAAGTATCACGTTCGCGCGATATATATTGGACGACACGAATGTATGGATATTTGTTGTCTCGTATATACTGGGAAACTTCGACAGTTATCTAATATGCTAAACGCACGTGCATCGCAGAAATTTGCATCGCGATATCATATCGTGAGGCGTTCGCAGATAATTGCGATTCTATCTTTTTCCTTGCATTTAATCGAAATTTATTTTATTTCAAAAATACTCGTGTAACGCATTTACAAATACTGTTATCGATTTGTCTTGAATAACGTTCATTTTATTTTGTAGCGAAAAAGCTGGTTAAAGAATGGTAAAGTTTCTCAGATAGATCATAATTAGATCCTTATAATAATTAAGTGATTATTTATAGAAATAATTGAATTCTCCATCTAGTTATGAGGCTTGCAAATTCTTTAATTTTTATGTAGCAAAATTTTATATTTATTTGATATTAATTTATTAAGAAGAAACACGCTTAAATGTTTTTATTTTATATCGAATAATTGTGAATATTCGCAAAGAACCCCGTACGGTTCTTATGGGATTTGGGGTCCCGGTCAAATTGGCTGAATTTTTGATATGATGTAGGTTTTGACTCACTGAACAAAAGTTCCAATAGCCATCAGGCCAAAAAATCTAAAGTTTTTGAGTTACAGCGGCTCAAATGTCCAAAATTGAAAAACTTAGTCAAAACTTACATCATATCAAAAATCAGCCAATTTGACCGGGACTCCAAATCCCATAA